ATCAGCAAGGGCATTGAAGATAAAACATTGCTGGGTCTTTCAGCATGACAATGACCCCAAACACACCGTCCGGGCAATGAAGGAGTTGCTTCTTAAGAAGCATTTAAGGGTCCTGGAGTGGCCTAGCCAGTCTCCAGATCCCCCTGGAGAGTCTCTCCAGAGGATACGATGTAAGCTACCTATGTTCACCCGGGCTTGATTTCTTCTTTGATTTTGATTTGCTTTAGTTCCCTCTTCTCCTTCTCACTTTTGCGTCTTTTGGGCTGTTTTGCTGTGTATGCTGTCACAGTCAGAGGAGGTATAGCCACTTACTGCCTCCATGCTGCTGTGTTTACCAATGCTAGAGGAGGCGTGGCCTGTTAGTAACAGCGCCGCCCCTCATTGTCTAAGTGGAGGAGATCTAGCGCAAAGTTTCTGCTCAGCCCTTTTTATGGCTTGAATTCATACACAAGCTGAATCAGTGAGCTCAATTTTTTCAATTAAATTTCAAGTTTTAATACAACTTGTATGTAGTAATACACACAAAATAAATCTGGAGTGGTATGGTTCCTTGCAGAGTGGGTTTCAATGGACTGTAGACCATTTTCTGTTACTGACCAAGAGGCCCTCTTAGTATTTTTTCTTCTAAAAAAAGTCAGAATGTTAATAATGTTAATGTAATTTTATGTGGTTTTATTGTTGTTATAATAAACAAATATAGTACATATGTACGCTATGTTGAACATTTATTTTTCCATTCTGACAACCGTTTAAAGACAAATATGGCAACCTTTTTCTGATAGTTCAAAATGCAATCAATTACGATTAATTATTTTTTAAGCTGCAATTAAGTCGATTAAAAATTGCCGTAGTATTTAGATGAACCAAATACTTATTTTCCACCATAATTTGAAAATCTGATTTTCTGGATTTTTTTTCTCATTCTGTCTCCCATAGTTGAGGTATACCTATGATGAAAATTGCAGGCCTCCCTAATTTTTTTAAGTGTGAGAACTTGCGCAATTGGTGGCTTACTAAATACTTTTTTGTCGCACTGTATGTGTATACAGTGGGGCATGTAAACTAAGTATCAAAACATTTGATCAAGAAGTGAAGATAGTTGCAAGGAAATCATGGATTTCCTTGATATTGTCGGGGTGCTTTTTTGGTGGGCGATTAGATCAGGAGTATTTTTTTGGGGAGTCGGTATTTACCTTTGAGTCCGAGGCATTCGAATGTGGTCAGATTTGGAAGGGGGATTGGAGTCAGCTTCAGGGCAGAGATGCCCAGTCCCCCACCTCTACAAGTGGTGCAAACAACGCAACTTCACAGAGAAAGCAATAAACCATTAGCGTCTATAAAAATCCCAGAGCTGTGCTTATGTTCAAATATGGGTACATAACAAGCAACCAATTTTTAAAAAAATATATAAAGTTTCAACATAATGTGCTATGGCAGTTTTCATTGCAATGTGACTTTTCTCCAGTAATTACAGAGATAGCATTTTTCCAACCTCTACTACAAAATCCTGATCCAGGCCTTTTTATATTTTGATATCGCATTAATCCAGTCTCTTCATTGCACTCCGCCTCTGAACTTGTACTGCAATCCACCCACTTGCATTTGTTATTTGTTGGTTTTTATGTGCACAGCCTTCCACAGCTGGTCAGAGAGCACTGTGTAGATGGGCGTATCTAGTTGTGAGAGTGTTTAACATTCTTATCATTCAGCTGTGTGCGAGGCGGAGAGATGCGGAGGGGCATGTTCAGACCCAGGCCAAGTTATAAGGAATTACACAAACACTCAGTCCGTCCCTCCTTGCATTCATCACACATTACTCACTGTGGCCTCTCCAGCTCGTTCTGTGTTAGTCATTTCACAGAGTCATCTGAAGGGAGGAGCTCATTGACAACAGCCTCAAAACATCTGCCATTGTTTTTATCATTAATACGGCTGTGTAAAAACTGTTTTGATCCTTTTTTGAATAGCCACGGCTTCTGACCGGTTTCCCCAATAGTTTCGAAGAATGGGTCAAACACAAGTGGCAAATGTACAAATAAAATAAGGTACCTATTGTTATTGAGGATGCATGTATCTATATTGATGCTGCGAACCAGATAGCGGAAGTCTGACAGGGAATTTCCCTCAGACAGTTATGCTTTAGCTCCCATTGGCTTTCATTGACAATTAATTCCCCTTAGTGTGATTTATTAAGATGAGATAGATACCACAGGGCAGTAGTAAGAGCACACAGGGAGCACACAAAATATACAATATAAGTAGCTGCTATGTTTCTTAGCTATCTCTAAGTGCTTCAATCTCAATATTGATAATAACACTATATTAGTGTTAAGTTATACATACAGTGCCTTGCGAAAGTATTCGGCCCCCTTGAACCTTTCAACATTTTGCCACATTTCAGGCTTCAAACATAAAGATATAAAAATTTAATTTTTTATCATGAATCAACGGGTGGGACACAATTGTGAAGTGGAAAGAAATGTATTGGATAATTTAAACTTTTAAGAGGGGCGTGCAATATTATTCGGCCCCTTTACTTTCAGTGCAGCAAACTCAGTCCAGAAGTTCAGTGAGGATCTTTGAATGATCCAATGTTGTCCTAAATGACTGATGATGATAAATAGAATGCACCTGTGTGTAATCAAGTCTCCGTATAAATGCACCTGCTATTTGATAGACTCAGGGTTCTGTTTAAAGCGCAGAGAGAATCATGAAGACAAAGGAACACACCAGGCAGGTCCGAGATACTGTTGTGGAGAAGTTTAAAGCCGGATTTGGATACAAAAAGATTTCCCAAGCTTTAAACATCTCAAGGAGCACTGTGCAAGCAATTATATTGAAATGGAAGGAGTATCAGACCACTGCAAATCTACCAAGACCTGGCCGTCCCTCCAAACTTTCATCTCAAACAAGGAGAAGACTGATCAGAGATGCAGTCAAGAGGCCCATGATCACTCTGGATGAACTGCAGATAACTACAGCTGAGGTGGGAGAGTCTGTCCATAGGACAACAATCAGTCGTGCACTGCACAAATCTGGCCTTTATGGAAGAGAAGCAAGAAGAAAGCCATTTCTCAAAGATATCCATAAAAAGTCTCGTTTAAAGTTTGCACAAGCCACCTGGGAGACACACCAAACATGTGGAAGAAGGTGCTCTGGTCAGATGAAACCAAAATCGAACTTTTTGGCCACAATGCAAAACCATATGTTTGGCGCAAAAGCAACACAGCTCATCACCCTGAACACACCATCCCCATTGTCAAACATGGTGGTGGCAGCATCATGGTTTGGGCCTGCTTTTCTTCTACAATGGAATGATTCACAAATAGACGTATCCAGGTGTTAGAATGGCCAAGTCAAAGTCCAGACCTGAATCTTCTTGAGAATCTGTGGAAAGAGCTGAAGACTGCTGTTCACAAACGCTCTCCATCCAACCTCACTGAGCTCGCGCTGTTTTGCAAGGAAGAATGGGCAAGAATTCCAGTCTCTCGATGTGCAAAACTGATAGACATACCCCAAGCGACTTGCAGCTGTGATTGCAGCAAAAGGTGGCGCTACAAAGTATTAGTGCAAGGGGGCCGAATAATATTGCACACCCCACTTTCAGTTTTTTATTTTGTTAAAAAAGTTTAAATTATCCAATAAATTTGGTTGCACTTCACGATTGTGTCCCACTTGTTGTTGATTTTTGACAAAAAAATTAATTTTTATATCTTTATGTTTTTAAGCCTGAAATGTGGCGAAATGTTGAAAGGTTCAAGGGGGCCGAATACTTTCGCAAGGCACTGTATAGGGCAGGATAATAAGTAGATTTAGGCTATATCCACACAAAGACAAAACGCTTATAATTTCAGAAACTTTTTCTGTAAACACGGAGTTAGCTCAGTAAATGTGTGCGTCCATATGAATGTAGTCAATACGCCTGAAAACGCTGTGAAACTATGCCAGACCTGTTGGTGGCGCTGTGACGCAATGACGGGATCAAGCCCAAACTTCCGTGGGCATGCGCGGAATTTTGTAAACAGACAACATGGCGAGTGGGCGAGCTGGTACTACATTAGTATGGACGGACGATGAGGTTGAACTGTTGCTTCGGGTCACACTGGATTACAAAACCAACAAGCTACATTGTTGTTGTCATTATTTTCTGAGTGCGGCGCATGCGTGCTTTAACAAGAGGCGGGGCGATGACGCAAGCGTCTCAGATACATTGCGGAGAGGCAGTAACCACGGAGCGGCATATACGGAGTTTTGAAATCTTTCCACTCTGGGACCTACTTTCAAAAATGTTCGTTTACACCCCCCCAAAACGCCGGCCTCGTATGGACGATACACTGGATTGATAAAGTATTTTTGCGTTTAGGCCTGAGCTTGACTTCGTGTGGACAGGGTCAAAGTGACATTCAGTGGAAATTCTGAAATGACAGTATTGCACATGGCGTCCGCACACATGGAGTTAGTGTGCAGACGTAGCGCACCTCGTATTTTTACGCCTCACAATATAGTTCCCCTTTTTATCCGCTGAGAAAATCGACATGTTACATTTCTGTGCTACTATACTTTGTAGTGTAACACGTCACGTAACTGTATTTAAATAGGGAACACGTGGAAGAGTTTGGTAGCTTCTAAAGGGGGGAGGATTTGGTACTATACAGTATGTGGAAGAGGCTGCGTTTGTGCTCCGTTTGCATGACAGAGCGCACGGACAAAGACCAGACGGGTACATATCAACTAGTCTAAGGTAAGGTAAGAACATAGGCCACCGTTTTTACATACTGACATATTCCTTTAATGACAAAACAAGAAATAAAACGAGGATTGGATTCGTCTGCATATCTGGCAACCTGAGTCAGGGAGAGTGGAAGAGTTTGCAGTACCACTTTTGGCCGGATTTTAACATACTGCTTCTTTAAACAGTGAAACACAATGACCATATACGATTGAAAGAGCTGTCAACTGGACTGAGTGTTCATTATCATAACTTGTGCTGTGTTTTTCAGGTCCCCTCTCAGTACTGATCCAAGGGCCGGGCCGGGCCTCGAGAGGGACAGAAATGCCAAAACCGGATCTGCTCTGCTTGGTTCAGCTGCTGGACGGCACCATTCAGACCTTCCGGCTCAGCGTATGTACAAATATAATTCAACACATAATTCAGTGTGGCTAGTCTATTTAAAAGTAACGTGGATTATGTGGAGTAAGTTGTAATGATAAATTTATAAACTGCGATTATGGTAAAATGGATACAACAGATTGATACTGTATTACTGTATCATTATTATTTAGGGCTGTCAAAATTATCACGTTAACACACGTTAATAAATGTTTTCCATTAATCGGGTAATTTTTTTTCTTGTTTTGTCATTAATTATTGACTCATGCCTATGCATCCCATAATAACACTTAGAATGCCGCGGACACATGCGTGTGTAAGATGGTGACAAAGCAGATTGGCCCTCTGGGAATCCAAGTTTTAAAAGAATATACACGTGAACGTGACCGTGGGGCAATTTCTCCTGTTTCCTGTTTGAACTCTGCGAGCTGAGCTGCGGGCGCTCTGGACAGTGGTTCCTCCAGCGGCTGTGATCACGGCGAACGGCGCCGCCGTAACGTGATCATATCCAAGACCATACACGAACAGAACTATTCTCTGCTTGTAGTATGCGTGTCTTTGCGTTACCAGTGCACACAAAAAATACAGCGCAGAAGCTGGACAACGGAACCTCAGTCTCCTCCGTGTCTTCTCCCGAAGCGCACTCGCTAAATTAAAGCTGGGGTACCTAGTTTTCCCTTCCACTACCAGTTCATGTTGGTTGTGCCCAAAAGTAATGTTGTGAGCAAATCAAACAGATTTAATGACATTCTGCATTTCAGATTTCATATCCCTCATATGTAACAAACGATAATTTTGGTCTGAGTATGTATTGTATTTGTTCTAAGAAACAAATACAGTACATATGTACACTATGTTGGCATGTATCTTTCCATTCAAACAACCATTTACAGAAAAAATATGGCATCATTTTGTCGATAGTTCGAAATGCGATTAATTACGATTAATACATTTTTAAGCTGTAATTAACTCGATTAAAAATTGTAATCGTTTGACAGCCCTATTATTATTATTATTATTATTATCACTATTATATTCGTTAAGAAGAAGGCACCTCAACCTCAGCATAAAGCATACAACGTTTCATGAAGCATTGCATGGCAATATACGTTCGCTCCCTACAGGGTGGTGCTAGACTACTACTGTAGACACAGCTGCCCTGGGATGGCAGCAAGGTGACCACCACCAACTAAATACTCGACAATGTGGGTGAACTGTCTTGCTTAAGGGCACAATGACAATTATATCTTCACATAAATTTTTTTCAGGTGCATTGGTAGAGAAGCAAGTGGCTTCAAGTCATCTGTGGAGAAGGGAGCCGTTGTTCGAATTCAGATTTTTCTTTTATTTTTGTGGTGGAAACATCTGTATTTTAATGATGTACAAGTTGTGTATTAGAGAAATTAGAAGAAATTAAGTCCATGGCAACAAGCAGGTAGCAGACTCCATCAAGACAAGTAGTGCAATGCATCAGACTATTCCTTCATGGTCTTTGGTCAAAGGATCATTAACATCTGGATATGCTGAAGAGACATCTGTGTCATCTTCTTTGCTCTTTACATACTTTCTAAACCTTTTTCATACATAAGCTCACTCCCGGTTTTGGTGTCGATTGAGATGAAAGCCATCTTTTTGTACTTGTTGGCCTGGATAAACACGATTCTCCTGACTTTATTTCTCCAGCCGCACAGACACACACTTCCTGTCCGTCGCAGGGGATCGTATGTTGCTTGTATCGGCCCAGTGCGGCTCTAATGGTCTTAGTGTCAGGGCATGATATAGTGACGTTCTATTTTTCCCTTTTCATATTGATCCACATCTTCTGATTAATTCCACGCCCTCCGCTCAAGGACACAAGCGGCATTGTTACTACTCCTTGCACTGCTTTTTACAACTAAAATGTTGGCTTTAGAGCAACAGAGACCCGCACTGGAAAAATCTATTGTGGAGATTTTATATCGGGCACATAATACAGTAGCTGGTTGTAAATCCTCCTCCATTTTACAACCTTGTCTGCTCCAGTACTCATCAACTGTTTGATTAACACAAGACTCAAGCAGTATATATTAATAATAGAACAAGGAACTAATGTAAATTCAATCTCCTAGTTGATCATCCCTCTATGAAGGTACTTGTCTCAAAAAGGTTTTAAAAGATCCCTGTTAATGCAAATGACTAGTTTGTGTTAGACCTTGTGTATTTCAGCACTATAAGTTGCCCCTTGTTTATGTCAGATTTTTGGTAAAAAAAAAAATATAACATTCTGACTAATGGCTGCATATTCCTCACCTCTGGTAAATATCAGCACAGTTGTTAGTACAAACATTTCCCCTGTGATGTTAATGATGCAGGAGGAGACAAATACTGGTACAATTCTGATCTTTATCATTCAGGTGGCTCCGCTTTCAGCATTCAAAAATACAGCTTTTGTTAAAGTATTGTTAATGGTGCATTGTGCACAAGGCAAAAAATATCAATAAAAAATGTAATAAATGCTTGAATCCAGTGTTTTTATCTTACTTTGAGTACACAAACAAGATTTGCCAATGGGACAAGCAAAAATGTGTTGTTTTAAAAAGAACATTTAAGAAATGTCTTCCGTAAAATGAGAACAGCATTCCAAGGAACATTGCAACAGCACTTGAAATAAGACTAAATGGTTTTCCTTGTTCCATCGGAAAATATTGTTTTTAAGACGGAATATAATCAAATTAAGATAAAAACCCTTGATTCATACATTTATTACTTTGTATTTTGTCATTTTCCTGCTGTGCAACTTTCTGCTTCCCGCTTATACCATGGAGTTATTTCTTCACTTGGAATTTTCCTCAGTATGGTACATTTAAAATAGGGATGCACCAATACAGATACTGATCGGTACCAATACTGGTATATTGGTACCGATACCGACTTGACTACTCATACTCGTTGTTATGGTCCTGACCCCTATGCTCACAGCTCAAGTAGTGCGGAGTACAAAAGTAATAATATCTACTTTAGAATAAAAACCATCTTGTTTAGCTGTGCATACAACTGAAGGATTGTGTGTGTGTTTATTTTTTGTTGTTTTTGTCAAGCACTTTGAGTTTCCTTGTGTATGAAATGTGCTACACAAATAAACATCGATCCTATCATTGCACACAGAAATATACATTTTCGGAATTCTTAAAGTAATGCAGCGTTCGATCAATCAGAGGGCAGTATTGTAATGGGTACCAAGTAATGAAAGCAAAACAAACTTGTGTTGTGGGCACAGTGGGAGACTATTGTATGTATTTGTCCAATTGTAGCAGTAATACAGACCAATATTATTTTGACAAACGGCAGCGGAGAGGGCTGTTTCCTTTCTCACAAATGTTTTATTATACTTGCTCCTCTGTTGTGACACCTCACTCGCCATCTTTTAATTTTAATATGTGAAATCTTCTGTAAATCACTCAAAATGGGAGGACCTACAATACAAACGGGCTTCAGCTTTCGGCAAATTGAGGAAAAGATAGACTGTAGTGGTTGGATTGTTAGTTTTTGGGCTGATACAGCAAAATAAAAGTGCTGGATAGAGCTGGGATTGTGACATCACACTTCATCACACTTGATTGATTGATCGATCACACTTCAAACCAAAATTTTAAATGTTTATAAATTACTATCGGAAATGAAGCTCAAATACTTAAGAGCTTTATCTTGCTGTCTCACCATCATATTAATAGAATGTGTCATCAGACTTCTGTCAAATGCCGAGGTTTTGGCTGAGGATGTTGTTTTTGTTTTGTGTGTCTCTTTAGAAACAGGATGAAGGAGCGGTTCTGTTGGACCAAGTGTGCGACCACCTGTGCCTGGAGGAGAGGCAGCTCTTTAGTCTGCAGATTAGAGAGACCAGCTCCATCACGGCCAACACCGTTTCCCCAGTGAGCTCCATAACTGCCTGCTATTTAGATTAAACCCGGTTGGAAATCATTCCTCCAGTCTGGCCACATAATCTCTTAAAGGAGACAAAACATGAAAAACCCAGCGTTTGACTATGTTATTTAGGGGTGTCACGGTATGAAAATTGAATCTCACTATTATTGTGGTATTTTTTAAAGTTCAATGAATATGTTTAGAAAGCATTGATAGTCCTACACAAACTGAAATAGTTTTTAAAAATTTCAAAAGATCCAGCTGCAAGTAACATTTGGTTGATAACATCCACTTAATTATAATACACGTAGTGAATGTATAATAAAATGGTGAAAACAAACAAAGTGCATTGTATTGTAGTACCTTCAACTAGTGCTCAATAATGCTGTGTCTTCATTTCACCGTCTCATCTATTACTGTTTACCTCTTTAGCTTTGCATATCAGCTGCAAAAAGGCAGCTAGATTCATTTTTAATTCGCTAGCGGTGGTGGCGCTGCGGCTGCACATTAACATTATTGACATACGGATAATCAGACAAATCGTTGCATTCTCCCTCAACCCGAAGCATCATCTATTTCAGCTAAAACATTAACGTTATCTTACCTAGCTGGCTGTAGAGTTGTGGGTGATGCTCACACAGATGAGTCATGCGGTTTGAAGTATTGCTGCCTTTAGCAGAAACTTTTTTTTCCATCAGCTGTTCCTTAGAATTCTTAAAAAATCCAAAATATGCCCAGACGTTGTCCTCTTTGAAGGCTGATAAATGTCCTAAGGGCTGTTGTTTCCCCCTTCGGTCATGATTCCATCAGGTTGTATCCTACAGAGTGCGCCCTCGCGGCAACTTCAGCAGACGTACCGCTGCAAAGGCTCATGGTGCCTTGACTGCGGGCGCAGCAATCCACTGAGATATCTTTTCCTTGAATTAAGAACCGCTATATTGGTAACCATGACATCCCTAATGTTATTGTTGTTTCCCCTTTCATATACGCTCTCAAAGTTTATTTGATTAATGAATTTTACTCACCCCCTCTTTTGTACCCCATCATTGCACTTACATTCTGCCCCTGTACATCTGCCACCATGGCATGCCCACAGTTTTTACTTATTTGCTTGAAGACAATAATCAGCTGTTTACTTAATAGCATACTTCTGTTTCTCATATATGATAATCTATAAGCTAAAATTATGTTATGATTCCATATATATGTCTGTCTCTGCAGTCTGCACAGTGATGAGCGCTTACAGCTGCTCTCGTTATTACTCACTTTCTCTCTTTTTTCTGCCTTTTGGTTTAACAGGCCATTTAAAAAAATAACTGAACTGGGATACAAATACATGAAAAAATCTTTTTTTAATGAAAATGTTAGCTTAAAATGTTGATTTGTTGTATTTGTTGACTCATTATATGTTCTTCCTCAGAGGTGGTTAGAGCCTGAGAAGCCTTTGAAGAAACAGATCAAAGGTTGGACTTCTTCTATAGTGTACTATCTACACTTACACACGCACATACACACGTGATCAACTAAGAAGAAGAAGAAGGTCCTTTATTCGTCCCACCATGGGGAAATTTCAGTTTGATGCATATACAGTACATACACATATACATCAAGGCAAGCAGTGAACATCACTTCCGCGCGCCTTATAGGCAAAGTGGGTTAAGTGTCTTACCCAAGGAGACTACGACAGCAGACATCAGTGGAGCCGGTGGAAAAGGTCTTGTGGTGGGCTCAAAGGCCAATGCTCTACCAACTGAGCCACTATTCACCCCCTTCAGTGTGGAGATGTTTGCGCTGGGCATCAGTTACCTAAACATCTCTTACTTGGACATGTTCTTATTTCAGAAATCATAGACCCAACAGATGTGTTCTAATGACTTTAGAATTACATGTATTGGTTGTGTTGTAATCAGACAAATAAGAAATTACAAGAAAATCAATTTAATTTCTATTACATTTAATTTTTGTAAAGCCTTACATCACAACAACAGTAGCCTCAGAGGACTTTACAAAGTTGTCGATTCACCAACCAATTAGAGAATCAAACTGTTTGAAATGCAATAATAAGAAAACATTATTTAGGGGTCCCATTATCACTCCATGAAACCAACATTGTGTCAGTCAGTGGATGAATAGCTCTCCACAGACTGCAGCTGAAGTCAAAATGATGACAGAGAGAATAACTTCTGCACCTTAACTGAAAATCTGAATTGAGATTGTATTTCAAATTCTTACAGTATTACCTATGTATCTTTAGATAGGTAATACTGTATCTTTAGATAGGTAATACTGTATCTTTAGATAAGTATTACCTATCTAAAGAAACATGTTTTAAGCCAATGATACTTTCAACATAAGTTTGGCACAGTTTAATCACCTCATTCAAGTGCTTTCCAACAATTCATTACACTTTTTCGTGTTTCTAACAGGTGTAAAGTTTGTGATCAAAATTAACTAATGCTTGTGATTTGTTGCAGGTCTTGCTTCCCCATTCTATTTAAACTTCAGGGTGCGATTTTTCATCTCAGACCCAAACTCTCTGCAGCACGAACAGACCAGGTGATGTCACACATTTATAAAAGTATGAAACTTGAAGCTGGAACGAGCCCAGGACTAAAGCAGTATCATCCAGGTCCACTAAAAACGTATTTGAGTGACTAGTGGATTTGTGGGAGTGAAGATATTATATAATTTTTGTTATAAGTTGTAACGTGTTCCTTTGTGGTTCCTCCTACAGACACTTGTACTTCCTCCAAATCAAAAGTGACATCAGAGAAGGAAGGTTAGTGATCACAAAGGGACTTTAATTGTTATATTCAAATGAGGTGTTTTACAAAGTGTATATTTTATGTATGTACAGAAAAAATAGATTTATTGCTGTTTTAAAAATAGAATACACTTTTTTATATTTTTTGAATTGTTTGCGTCACTGTGGTTGAATCTGCTGTATTATAAGTCTTGAATCGAATAATTAAATCTGCAGTATCTTTAAAGAAAAAATTGTCTACATTTTGTTATTACTATGGATGATGTAATTTTTTTCAACACTCAACAAAGTATAACAATAATGTGAATGGGCTTCCATTAGAGCAATTTCCAAGTCTGTGACCTCCTGTTACTTACGTGGCAATAAAAATGATTCTGATTCTGATTCTGATTCTGATTAGAATATACTGTATGTATAATACATAGACTGAATTTCAATGAATTTAAGTATGTTTTTTTCCCCAAACCGTGTTTACATAACTGCAGAGCATGAACGATTTATTTTCTATGAATTATAAAATCTTAACATATGGACAAACATTGAATATACTCCACAACTGCACCATAAATAGGAAATCCAACAAAATTCCAAAGCCACTTTATTCATATAGCACAGTCAAGAAAAACAGCAGACAATCCAAGAACAATGCCTAATCTGACGTTACTATTTTAAAGCTGTAAGCCCATTCATCCATTTTCTTCCCTTAATCCATTTCTGGGTCAGGGGGGTGGCAGTCAGAGCTACACCCACTACACATAGCACCAGCCCCTCACTGATCCTCCTGCAGGTGGTGAGTTCACAGGAGCCTTGATCTATTAGTGGGGACTTAGGACAAAGTGGGGTTAAGTGTCTTGCCCAAGGTCACAACGACAGCAGTCATCAGTGGGAGTCGTGAAGTAGGTCTTATGGTGGGCTCAAACCCATGACCTCCAGGCCTCAAGGCCAATGCTCTACCAACTGAGCCACTGTCGTCCCTTACACTAATCGCTGTATAACCAGTAAAATCAATTAAGAGCAGAGAAACACATGATAAATAAAAACTATGAGATATAATGGATGAAAAACATAGAAGTCACATGCTGGTTAATACAGAGAATAAAAATATCACACCAGAGAAACTTCATCATCTTGATAACATCACAAAGAATTTCCATATAGTTTCATTGTCGCTGGGATCTTGACAGACTCGCTCTCAGCCGCGTTTGTGAAGTGCTATTACTCTGTGTTCGCAGGTTGAAGTGCCCGCTGAGTGCTGCTGTCGTCCTGGCCTCTTACGCCGTCCAATGTAAGTCAAGACCCTCATTGAGCGGCTATTATTTATTCTGCTTTCCCACTTTTATCGCTGACTGCCTAAAGGAGTCCCATTTTCACTTCATTCAAGAGGAAACTAGAGAACAGTATGAGTCTGGCGTGTGTGTGAATGGTTGGTAGTGTTCGGAGGGGCTGATGGCACATACTGGTTGCCTCGCTTATGTCAGTGTGCCCCAGGGCAGCTGTGACTAATATAGTAGTTTATCACCAATGTGTATGAAGTGAAAGAATAATGACTTGTGAAGCGTCTTTGAGTGTATTAAATTGACCTCCTGGCCTTAAATGTTGATATAAAATAAGTCATTTTATGAATTCTAATGTTACGAGTAAGTCCCGCCTTCCCTTCTCTTAGCTATAGCTCAAAATCCACGATGCCGTCCACTTTAACCAATCAAGTGACGCCAAGGGCTGTCAATCATCGGCGCTGATGCGCTCGTAGCTGCGTGCATGCTCAGTTGTTTGTTTTCGCGGAGCCTCCAAATCAAGCCTTTATAGGCTCTGGAACTACATGAAAACTGAACAAAGAATTCTGAACATCCGTGCTGAGTTACCCATTTATATACTGAACCTATATCCATAATCATTTATATACTGAACCTATATCCATAATCATTTATATACTGAACCTATATCCATAATCATTTATATACTGAACCTATATCCATAATCATTTATATACTGAACCTATATCCATGATCAGATCCTCTGCAGATGTGTCCTATAATGTTCAATTAATGATAACAACTACTTCTGGGTTTACCGCAATCGCTTTTTTTGTACATTAAAACATTATTTTTGTCAGGAAACCTTAACAAATAATTCTGAAAACCTCCGTGCATGTGGATTAATAATGTGTATGCATGATGTGTTCTCCGATTAACATTTCAGTGTGTTGATTGATTGTTACGGAAACGTAGGCGTAGAAAGGAGGGGGGAGGGAGCTTGGGTCGGTTTTGTACCTCTCTGTTTTTTCTGACAAACTCCAGACAATCACTTTAACAGTGTTTACCCTGAAATACTTATGTTAAAAATATGCTTTTCTATATTGTTCCATGCTCACTAGGGCTGGACCAAGTTAATAGTTTAATGTCAAATCATTGGATATAAACATTATTTAGGAATCGATTCATTGTTTTTTGATTGTTACAATATATAACTCGGATAATTCTATAAGGACTGCAGACTGCAATCCCCATGACTATGTTCTCCAGGGGCATCACTTGAGCTTTTTTTGGGTCAAATGTATAAAATATCCCATACACTGATCTTTCGGGATCCAAGCAACTAACCGATTAATCTAAAGAACGATTGGCCAACTCATCGCGCAATGATCCAATTACTCTACTAATGCTCACATTGTGGCATTGTTAACAGATGTCATATTTTGGTACCTTCTCAATTGCTTACATTTTATTGGGTGCAATATATTTCATATGGACTTTTAAAAACAGTATCATTGTCTGGGCTTGTGCTCCGTCAAAGCCAGTTTGCAGCACAGAGATCCAGCATTTTTCGATTGGGAAACTAAAGTGCTGCTTCTAAAGTTTTGGGATGTTACGGGGTAAGAGGAGTGGTAGTCATGTTCTGGTTTGCTCTCATGACACAGAGGTATGAGCAACACATAGCCGGAAGTATAAAGGTAGCGCCTGTTTAAACGTACATCATAAGGGGTGAGTAAAATGTTTCCTATGGTACATTTTCCATTCCTCCAATTTTGTTCGGCTCTGTCTAAATGTGGGGCATGCTGATGGAGTCTGGATTAGGGCTGCAAGATTTATCGCAATCGAATCAAAATAGAAATTTTTGTGGCAAATTAGCAAATCGCAAATACTGCAATATTTAGATTGTATAACTGCCTTTACAAATAGCAAATAGAATTCCCTCAAAATGGTTTTATGGTTTTTCCTTGAGCACATTAAACACTATCTTGCTTCATAACAGAAATTCCAAATCAAGTGCAAAATCACCTTTACGTAAAACTATAAAATCATAAAAGGCATATATAAACACAAATTTGACATCTATTAACCATTCAGTTTATTTTGTGTTATCCCAAAGCTGAACTTGGCGACCATTCTCCCTCGTTACTCCCTGGTTACCTCTCAAAGTGCCATTTCTTCCCCGAACAAGATGAAGACTTCCTGTCCAAAGTGGAAGACCTGCATCCACAACATAAGTAATTTATTCCACTGATGATGTGTCTGCATATGATACTTCATCAGAAACACTCACCCTGTGTCTTCTCAGGGGATTGAACCAGAGTCAAGCCGACTTGTATTTCCTCAACACAGCACGAACACAAGAACTGTATGGAGTTGAGCTGCACTCCGCAGTGGTAATTATATTTTGCTCTTTTCATAATTGTTCTGCTTTTAGTAGGGTCAATATACTAATTGGTGGTTTTATGTTAGACTGGGTCTAGTCTATAACATACTAAAAGTTGGACAAAATCGGAGTATGGGAAAGTGTCAAAATTTGGAGATGACTATTTCGGTTTACAAGTCATTTTCCATTTACGTGTGAAGCACTAACTCGGTCAGTTTTCATGATAAATCAATACATTTGTATTTTCATCCAGGTTTTCAGGGTCAATTTTTCACATGGAAGGGTTACCAGTGATGCCAAATAAACCCTTATACCACATCAAGGGGTACTCCAACCCCCATTAACCTTGTTGCACCCACACTGATTCACTTACGTCACAGTACTTTTTCAAAACTTTTAACACCTCATCCTCATCTATCACTGGATCATTTTTCATATTGTCACAATTTCCACCTTGGCAATGCCCACATGCACTGGTACATATGCCTCCTGCAGGTACACCTTAGGGCAGGGGTTTCAAACCGGTTCCAGAAAGGGCCATGTGGGTGCAAGTTTTAGTTCCAACAGCTCAAAACTGAGCAGGAGCACAGATGACTCCACCCATTTCCTCAGGTGAGTCAGGTGAGTAACCTGAAGATTTGAGGAAATGGGTGGAGTCATCTGTGCTCCTACTCAGTTTGGAGCTGTTGGAAGCAGCTCCAAACTGTCCTTTCTGGAAGCGGTTTGAGACCCCTGTATTAGGGTATTGCATCCTTCCGAACAGTTGCAATTAATTATCTTAATCAGTGCATTTGGAGCAGGGCTTTTGTCTGTCATCACTGGAACAAGTTTGTCCCCTTTCACCTTCCACCCCCACTCAGATAACACCATTTCATTACTACATACCATCCACTCCATAACCTGGTATTAAGTCCACAAAGAATGAAATTTACAGGCAAAGGTTGTTGGTGGGAGTCGTTCTGGCGTGACGAACGTCTTAGCTCTCGCAACTTTCTTGCAGAGCATATTGTATCTAATAGATGCCAGGAAGTCCTTCTGATCTGCATTGAACAACGCAACCATTTCTTTACAACCATTGGTTTCCACAACATCCTGGCTTTGCTTTGGTAGAGAGAATTTTTTTGAACAGTTTGTCATTCTCTCTTGATGATTTTTTGGAACACCAACTTCTTTCCTATTCCTAATACCCTGGACACTAAATCACATCCCGTAAAGGCATGCAGGAACCTTGATATTGAAGACGTAGGATTTCGACTTCTCAGAGCGGAAATAAACCATAGTACATTTGGAAATGTACAGTGGGGCAAAAAAGTATTTAGTCAGCCACCGATTGTGCAAGTTCTCCCACTTAAAATAATGACAGAGGTCTGTAATTTTCATCATAGGTACACTTCAACTGTGAAAGACAGAATGTGAAAAAAAATCCAGGAATTCACATTGTAGGATTTTTAAAGAATTTATTTGTAAATTATGGTGGAAAATAAGTGTTTGGTCACTTCAAAAAAGGAAGATCTCTGGCTCTCACAGACCTGTAACTTCTTCTTTAAGAAGCTCTTCTGTCCTCCACTTGTTACCTGTATTAATGGCACCTGTTTGAACTCGTTATCTGTATATTAGACACCTGTCCACAGCCTCAAACAGTCAGACTCCAAACTCCACTATGGCAAAGACCAAAGAGCTGTCGAAAGACACCAGGAAAAGAATTGGTGACCTGCACCAGACTGGGAAGATTGAATCTACAATAGGCAAGCAGCTTGTAAGTAGTAAGTGAGTAGTAAGTAAGCTTTATTTATATACCGCCTTTCACAGAACAGAGTCACAAAGCGGTTTACAATTGTTATTTTTTTTGGGCACTTGTCCTCTCACTCCACACAGAGATGGGAGCGGGGTCGCCGAACAGGAGGCGCATGCCAGACCTATTGTACATATTTTTAGTGGTAGGGGAAACCGGAGTACCCGGAGGAAACCTACGCAGACACGGGGAGAACATGCAAACTCCACTCAGAAAGGCCCTGGTCCGGCCGGGATTCGAACCCAGGACCTTCTTGCTGAGAGGCGAGAGTGCTATCCACTCAGCCACCGTGCCGCCCTCCACTTGGTGTGAACAAATCAACTGTGGGAGCAAAAATCAGAAAAAGACCACTGATAATCTCCCTCGATCTAGGGCTCCACGCAAGATCTCTGGTGAATGACCTGCAGAGAGCTGGGACCAAAGTAACAAAGGTTACCATCAGTAACACACTACAACGACACCCCCTGCTGAAGCCAGTGCATGTTCAGGCCCGTCTGAAGTTTGCCAGAGAGCACATAGATGATACAGCAGAGGATTGAGAGAATGTCATGTGGTCAGATGAAACCAAAGTAGAACTGTTTGGTATAAACTGTTTGGAGGAAGAAGAATACTGAGTTGCATCCCAAGAACACCATACCTACTGTGAAGCATGGGGGTGGAAACGTCATGCTTTGGGGCTGTTTTTCTGCTAAGGGGACAGGACGACTGATCCGTGTTAAGGAAAGAATGAATGGGGCCATGTATCGTGAGATTTTGAGCCAAAACCTCCTTCCATCAGTGAGAGTTTTGAAGATGAAACGTGGCTGGGTCTTCCAGCATGACAATGATCCCAAACACACCACCCGGGCAACAAAGGAGTGGCTCCGTAAGAAGCATTTGAAAGTCCTGGAGTGGCCTCGCTAGTCTCCAGACCTCAACCCCATTGAAAATCTGTGGAGGGAGTTGAAAGTCTGTGTTGCTCGGCGACAGCCCAGTAACATGGAGGAATGGGCCAAAATACCAGCTACTGTGTTTGCAATCCTGGTAAATACCTTTATTATATGACTTGGACCGTACGTGCGCTCTGATTGGTTGATTTGCGGTCTGATATTTTCCCATCTCGGACCGTTACCATGACAATTGGTCCGAACAGCGTGTATCACATTTGATATCTTTCCATGGACTGTTACCATGACAATCTGTCCACAGCCCTTATCACACAAAACCAAGTCGGACATGAACATACTTCACAAATATCTCAAAAGCATTGGTAAAGACACAGACGAGAGTCATATAATAAAACATTTATAACCTCGCTTGCTCGGTCTGTACAGAGAAATATCAGACCTTGGCCTTTTGATATTTCTCCATACAGACCTCAGTTAATAAGGCGTTAATAGTAATCGTTTGCTCTGTTATTTCCAACAAAGGTTATATTACAAAATATTGAGTTGAATTTGTTATTGACCAAATACTTATTTTCCACCATAATTTACAAATAAATTCTTTAAAAATCCTACAATGTGAATTCCTGGATTTTTTTTTTTCACATTCTGTCTCTCACAGTTGAAGTGAACCTATGATGAAAAAGACAAACCTCTGTTATTATTTTAAGTGGGAGAACTTGCACAATCGGTGGCTGACTAAATACTTTTTTGCCCCACTGTATGCATGGAACAGCAAGAGAACAAGAAGATCTGTGTCTTCTCCAATGAGGGTGCTTGATTTGAAAGCGGACTTATTGATCGCTGCCTTCACGATTTCAACGTCGGCATCTGCTTCTGTTTGAATAATGTCACAGCCTTTCTGCCACATTCGTTCCATTCAACAAGAAGTCCTCCTTTTTCCCAGCAAATGTTGTCACCTCTGTAATGTTCACCTTTTTTGGATTCAGCCTTTTACTCTGTAACTGATGAGTGCAGTCCTTTATACTTGGTCCAACTTTGTAACCATCAAACACGGCAGTTGTTCTCCCACAGTGTTCAACAGCAAATGAGACAAAATTGTTTGCAATCGAGCTGTAGGTACTCCCCTCCTTTCATTTCAGACGGTGAAGAGGAGATCTTCCTTCCATCTAGTACATTGTGCTCTGTGACTGGAGCAGTTTGTGTCACAGCATTGTCTGATTTTGTTCGAACATAATTTCTAAAATCCTCTGCGAGCTGCGGTTTGTTCGTTTGACGTAAGATGCCCTTTCCTTCGAACAAAGACATCGAGTAGAGACAGAGTTTATAGGACATGATATCATCCAGCCTTAGATTACCAGTTCTGAGACCACGATAAACCTCTGGAATAGGAGTGCTGGGTCAATTATATGATCTGCAGAAACTTTATGTTCTTGCTCGATGCTAGCCTTCAAACTCAGTTTGTGACAGTAGGAGAAAACTGATTGTCCATCCATCTTCTGTACAGTGTCTTTTCCGGTTTTGAACATTGACATTCTCATTGGCATCAATCCCTGTGGTAATATTGCGTAAACATTCATCACATGAAAATGGTTTAAAGCTGCCTAGTTGTTCTGCAACTATCCCAAGGTCTGTCTCATCTCTTCTCACCCTTATGTTGTTCACTTGTTGCGCAACTTCTTGCGGTAAGTTCTTGCATGGCGAGGTTGTAAGCGGATGACACAGTGGAAGACATGGACCAAACTGTCCTCTGGTGCTCGGACATCATCAGTTTATTAACATCACAGCTATAGCAAGACATCTACTACCAAGAGAATCAGACTTTGGGGGGGTTTCAGTTGTTTTCTCAAGAATCCTATACCCTATAGAACAATTTCATTTGTATACGAAGTTAAGGGGCCCAATTAATAGAAGAAAGTTCTAATTCACCACTGGTACCCATTTTAAAAATAATCACCCATATGCCTGTTTGTGAACCTGGGTGGGGGCAAAACAGTGTTTAGGGGTTAGGAGTACCCCTAGATATGGTATAAGGGTATATTTGGCATCACTGGTAACCCTGTCATGTGAAAGATTGACCCTGAAAACCTGGATAAAAATCCAAGATATATTGATTTATCATGAAAACTGACCGAGTTGGTGCTTCACATGTAAATGGAAAATGACTTGTAAACCGAAATAAGTCATCTTCGAAATTCGACACTTTCCCATACTCCGATTTTGTCCAACTTTTAGTATGTTAAAGTCTAGACCCAGTCTAAAATAAAACCACAAAAAAACAAAATGTTGCAATTTTTTTGGGGTTGTGGGTACGCGGGCAGTATATTGACCCTACTATTTGGCATGTTGCTGCTGGTTGAAATGAAACCTCAAGCAGACCCACTTTGGGTTAATGATGATGTCTGTATACTGTATCGTGAGTATTTATTGTAGTAATTTTAAAGCCCAAAAATAATAAAATGTTCAAATGTTTTTGGTTAATATAGTAACAAATGGCCCATGCCCTGTACACATTTTACACAGATTTTTATCTAAATCTAACGTAGTCTAAGTTTCAACTACTACCACTTGATGCGACAGTTGATCTTTCGTGTTTTGTCTTTCTTACTCTATCATTTTTCTTCTTGTATATATTACTTCTCCGAAAGGATTTTTTCTTGGAAATAAAAGCACATCAAAACACATTAATACATAACAAGGCACAAGACAAAATAGTTTCACAATCTGAAACATAGAATTCCAAGGTAGTGTGTTTAAATGTGTGTGTTCTGCAAACAATAGCAGAAATTTCTATATTTGGAATTCCTGCTCTGCCATCATCTATCAGTGGTTTATTATTTATATTAACATCAAGGGCACAAGAGTGAAATACAGAACCACAAAGACAGAAAAGTGGCACATCCTGAGTCCTGTTTTAAAGGTTATTTTGGTTTTACTTGTGACGATAAATAAATGAAATTCTTTTCTATTGTTAGGACACTAACAATGCCCCTTTGATGGTTGGGTTGGCCTCGAGTGGAGTGGCCATGTTCTGCAACACCGTCTGCTCCAGTTTCTTCCCTTGGTGAGGACAGCAATTACAATGTTTGGATTCATTGGTGCGCATTGTTTTAAATGAGGAACTTTTATACACAGGGGGAATATCATCAAGATTTCCTTTAAAAGAAAACGATTTTTAATACATCTTAAACGCAAACATGTGAGTATTTCTTTTACATTCATTTTTAAATCTGTGTTTTATGTGTTGTTCATGTACAAAATGTATTCATTCAATTCTAACAGTATTATTACTGTAATTTCCTTCTGTAAAATCACTATTATCATTACCATCCACCCATTCTTTTTTTTATTTTATCTGGGGCCGTCATAACCTCATACATCCTATGCTTCCAGCTTTAAACAGATTGTGTTGCTGATATTATGCTTACAGTACTACATTCTTCAACATTTATCATAAAAGACAACTCCTATTATTTTTCTTCTAAAGGGAGAGACCCAGGACTGCGTGGTGTCCTTGGATCTTCCGTGTCCTAAAAGCTGTAAAAACCTGTGGAGGTCCTGCGTGGATCATCACACGTTCTTCAGCTGTAATCGCACAGTGAAAAACCCCAAACACAGTAACACAATCCAGACCTACAAAAATCTCATCACGGAGCACCTCGGTCTGGGGAACCACAAGACCGACAAGTAAGAAGCTGCGGTTTTTCACACTCGATATTTTTCCCTCCAGCAGTTCAATGCTTTTTTATGCAATCTCAACATAAAACATTATCTTTGTTTTATCCAAAGTTGTTCTGCTGTTCAGTGTGAAAAAGTATGTAATAGCTATTATTGGATCAGCAGCGGGCCGGTGTGTCAGAAGGTAATGGGTGGAATGGTTTGGAATCCGGTCCTACGTCGTTCGCTTTCCTCCGAGAATCTGGAGACAAAGAGCCTTCCTTCCAGATCGCCTCCGTCCACCCCAAACTGGTAAGACTGGTGCCAAACAAAAAAATGTATGTCATTTTTTTGTTTTTGCATCACACACAATGCATCTCTAACAGTTCCCTTCAGCAAAGTGGATACGTTTTTCTTTGAAATAGTTGTGAGCAACACCTCCACTGTTTTCTGTCTACTGCTAACATTCCAATATAATATTCCAAAGATATTCTGTATTATTTTTTATTTTTTTGAGTGATTCATATATGTTTGAAGAATAATTATTGTCTAACAACCAAGACTGCATTGATATTCCTGGCTCGTCCGACCACTTCCTCCGTTCTATTTGCCATGTAATACACAGAGGATTGAACAGCAATTTTCGGGCATTTTGGCTTGACTGAACAAAACGCTTGCAGGCACGAGCTTGATCCGTAGTCTGAGCAGGAGCGTTTGTCGAGAATGTGTTCACAGGGACGTCAGGGGGGCAAAGCGCAAATCAATACAGGGATATTGAATACGGATGGCCTCCTGGACCTCTGGTTTCTTTCATTACATAGTTTTAGATCAATATTAACAATTCAAATGTTCAAAATGTATGGTAATGATCGACTGGTTTGATAGCAACACATGGGTTGGTATTAGGAATGTGTCAATAGTTATACTCTTATTGAATAACTGTGCCTATGCAGGGATATTTGTTGGATCAGGTATCAGTTCTATGAAGCTAATATGCAGATTGTGGCTTTCTATTAGTGTAATAAGACTATTTACTATCAGATACAAATAACTCAATGTTAAATGGAGGGAAAGTGACTGCATTCCGTTCCTTAATTGGTATCAGTTCATATCTGATATTGAAAGTCAAAGTATCGGACTTAGAAAAGGTGGATAATTTACAAAGCCCAATTGGAAAGCTTTCAACTGTTTTTGACTTGTGAATTCCTCGTCTCTCAGGAGGAGTTCCAGAGTCCGTCATGGCGCCTCCAAACCGCGGCCCTCGTCAGTGGAGTTCAGTGATTTGAAGGAGATGTCTGAGGGAGAAGATGTGTTTTACACGTACAGAGCATCAGTGAGCAGCCGAGACAGTGAAGGAGATGGCTCAACACATCTGTGAGTTAAAGATACTGTACTGTCTTACTGTGTTGCAACATACTGTAGACTTTTATTTGGGGTAATTTCTCCAGATGCTGGAATCTACAAATCCTGCATCATTGTTATTTATATGATTGAATTATGAGTAGGGGTGGGAACCTAAGGGTACCTCACGATACGATACAATACACGATACAAAGCTCATGATAACGATATTATCACAATAACGAGTTTTAAAGACAATAATAAAACATCACCTTGAATTAAAGTTTTGCCTATTTTTAACTCTATGGTCTTACACTTTGGTTTCCCTCTTCCAGTAATCTTATCTATTGTTTGCCACAACACAAAAATGAATTAGTTAACTGATTAATGTTGATTCAGATTCAGCTTATTTACAGTAAAACCACATTGGAATTCATGTGCAAAAGTACATGTGTGGGCGAAGGTAAATATGGCGAATAAAGGATCTCTCAATCTTCTCCAGTTGAGGTCAAGGAACGTATAGAAGATTCCAGTGAGGGCTTTATATTGACATGACTATTATCTGTTCTATACTTTCTATACAGGTTTTTTGTTGTTTAAGATGTAAGTGTTTGAAATGATCACGCAATATTACTGTTTTCATTTTTATTTTCAAAGACAACATGAACCTCTGAATGACGACAGCATCGGTGAGGAGGACGGCGATCACAGCATAAACCACAACAATAATGTAAGGGCGACAGTTGCTCTGCGTTCCTCCTGTTCTGTCTGTGTTTGTCTGTAATCAAACTGTGATGGATCCTCAGAACGGCCCCAGCGATGGAGACCTACTGCTGATACGACTTACTCCGGATCACGAGGGGAAGTTTGGTTTCAATGTCAAAGTAAGTTTTTATGTATACTGTTCACAAACTTCAATGGAGATGCTTACTCAGGACACACAAACAGTCAAACACAAATACATGCGCATACACACATGCACACATAAACGCACAAAAGCTCATGCACACATGCACACACACATTTACATACATACACACACTTTGTAGTGCTATGACCATAAAAACATTGCCTTGCAGGGTGGAGTGGACCAGAATATGCCACTTGCCATTTCTCACGTGAAGCCGGAATCTCCTGTGAGTTAATTCCACATTTAAACTTCTTCATGTTTCCCCTTTGAAACATATTGGTGAAACTCGTTCAAAATCGTTTATATTGACATGCTGTGGTTTACAGGCGGGGAAGTGTGAGCCCCAGCTCCTGGAGGGGGATCTGGTTGTCCTCATTAATGGACGGGACATCTCTGAACACACCCATGATCAGGTCGTCATGTTCATCCGAGCCAGTCGAGAGTCTCACTCCAGGGAGCTGGCTTTGCTCGTCAAACGTAAAGGTGAAATTCCATTCACGTGTCCCTGTAACTTCACCTCAAGATCACATTTTATGGCCCAAAATAGTGCTTTTACAGTTTTATATGTTAGTATTTGTATTCATTGACTCATACATGCAGGGATAAGATGGGTGAGAGAAGCGGGATTCATACAAAGCAATCTTGAGTCAAGCATGCACCCACCCGTAACTGTCCACTGTGTGATCTTTAAAGGGACTGTATATAATATCTTCTATATATGTCCACAGATAATGTACAAGATATACAGATCCTAGTTATTTTGAAGTAGTAAAAAGCATATGCTACCTCTGTGATTCACCGTGTACTATCTTTTTTATATATAACAAAATTCACAATTAAAAAAATAGCACCACACGAAACGAAAGCGGGTACCGAAATAAGTAGTCCTACATATTAGACCAACTTTATAAACCCACTAATATTGCATACTACATATTGTCCCTTTAGGTATTCATCTCATTAAAAGCCCAAACCCCCTTAAGAGATAGAACACAACAAGAAGTACTGATCACATAAAGCTAGAATGCTCCATTGCACAGAGTTTAAACTATATCTTTATAGGAACGCTTTTTACAAAGTCACCCCCCACATCTGCATGTTTATATTACCTTTCCTTATGCTTTAGGTGCGACACGTGTGCTCCCTCAGCTGCAGCTTCCCGTCCTGACGTTAGCCACACCGGGGGATAAGTCTATGTCGCCGATCCAGTCAGAACCCGTCACAACTCTGGAAGAGTCCATGCGGCAGCTGGAGAGAGGGATCCAGTCTGGCACCCTCTGCTTCCACTTTGATGTAGTTAAAAAGACTATGAATGACTGTGAATGCATGTATTGTCTGCTCTTTAGTGATGATCTATGATGCCCTTGACTCAGTATTATATATTTTTAACATTTTAAAACCTCATTATGACTTTCATATTCAGTCCTTTGTTTTTGGATTTGTGCCTTTACCCTGCGTCACTGTAAACGTGGTCACATCAATGGCAAACGTTGCAAACATTGGATTTTTAGAATGCTTCAAGGAGGATTCAAGAACCAATTTATTTGCTACTTGCAGTAAAAACAACAGTAAAAACGCCTTACAAAAAATAATTTTATCGTACATAAAAACAATTTATGTTTTAGAGTTTAGAGCTCTCCTCTAGGAGAGTTGACCACCTTGTTTAGAGATCTCCTTTAATGTTTACAGTAGTTTTGACAGAGAGCTTTTTTGCACTCTCAATAACTTGTCAATATTCATTCACTCCATACACTGTGGTGATCTACAACTACTGTAGCCACAGCTGCCCTGGGGCACACAAACAGAAGTGAGGCAACAAGTATGTGCCATTTGCCCCTCCAGCCCCCACCAACCAATGACTCAGACACCAGACTCATTCTAGGCAATATGTTTGAAACGTCTTGCCTAAGGACACAAGGACAGTTTGGCACTTTACAGCCGCAGCTGCCCCACTGTGGCCCATAGCCGTACTAACCAGGCCCTTCTCTGCTTAGCTTCTGAAATATTGACGGTATCTGGGTTTCACATGCAGGTGGCGCCATACTTTAAAGCAGACCACCTTGTTGAGAGCTCTCTTTAAGCAGAGTGGACCACCTTGTTTAGAGCTTTTGCAACAATTTGATATGTGTTTTTGTCCCATTTCAGTTTAACGCATACTTTTGCTGCTGAATCATCAATGTATCGCCCTCATCCTAACAGCACGTACTGATGGTTAGAATGGCAGGTGGAGGAAAGCATGGACCCTAAAACATGCATGAGTCCCACTCAAACGTGTAAATGACAATGAAAAACAATTATAACAACTTCTAAAGCACTTAAAAGTCAAATTAGCATAATAGTTCACCAATTGCTGTAATCGTAATAAGAGTTTCTGCAAGAATGAAAAGAACAGGCCAGAAGTGCCAAGAACAATCTGTGTCAGAAATAAGTGTAGGAAAGGCACAGTTCATTTCGAAAGTTTCAGTAAGATTTTAGAGGATTTAAAAGGTTCTTGTTGCTGTAGAAAAAACATGGACATGAGCGGATGCAGAGGAGTGGATCATATGTGGGCAGGCATTATCTTGAGTAACCTCTGAACAGCCAAGAGGAATAAAAGGAAATATAGGGATTTGCTATATTCAAAACAGAAGTTGATTCATTGTTGTGTAAGACAGTCGTCATGAGAGAATGAGTCCCTTTGATATTGTTTCTTTCTTCTCCAGAATTTGTACAGGAGGAAGGCTGACATGTCACTAAGCTGCTCCCGACTTTCTGAAAACTTGGAAAAGAATCGTTATAGAGATGTTTTACCATGTAAGTCCCAATTTGATAAAGGCAGGTGTTACACTATGTCAAGGAAGTAATGCTATGTTTTTGTTTTTTAAGTTCCAGAATTATTATATAGATTGGATTGTGGCAGGAAGTGTGTGTACTTTAGATAGTGAAGTCTGGGGCATCTCTGCTCAGACTACTGCCCCTGTGACCCAGCAACAGATAAAACGGAAGAAAATAGACAGATAGACTGTGTCACATCTCATCCTTTATGAATGATTTTGAACAATATCCTAATTTTTGAAGAAGCTATGTGGAAAAAGAAGGAAATTAACAATGTAGAAAAAAATGAATGGAAAAAGTGATGTTGTATTGCTTCACTCTTAATGTTTTTACTGTTCACTTTTGTGAACAGTAAACTGCAGTAACTTAACTTTTCTTTGGATTACAAATCTCATGTGTTTAATGTGTCAAAAGTAAATTTGTTGTGATCCTGTGGCGCTGTGACGCTAACTGAGGCCCCCTGTGTGTGTCCTCCTCTTTTCACAGATGACGATACAAGAGTTGTGCTCCAAGGCCCAGAAGACTACATCAACGCCAGCCACATAACGGTGAGACATGTCCTTCGGTTCCTTCATCTGTCAATATAAGAGATAACAGAAGATAAACATACTGTACGCCTTTCGTGTGGATTTGGTAAGAATCTCCACAAAATTGACTCCTCTTCTTGGTTTCCATGGAAATGCTGTACCTTTCGGCTGAGATCAATAAAGTTTATCTTACCTTATATCCTCAGTATAGGTTAGCTTCAGAAAGCTACAGTTTCAACACAGTTGTAGAAAACTAAACATCTGTAGCTAACTACAGATATTTATTTGGGTTTGGGTTGGAATTGATAATTACACAACTTCTTTTTGAAGAATTCTGGCAGATATTTTAATAATGTGACGTATGTTAACCAAAAGTCCATACATAATTTTGACTTTAGACTAATTGAATTCACAATTATTAGATAAAACTGCATTTCTGCTGTGCAGTATCATAAAATCATTAACACTTATGTATTATTGTACGTCCTCTCATGGTTTGGTTCTCCTCTTCATGTTTGTGCATTTCTCTGTGTTTGCCTGTGTGCTTTGCAGGTGGCGCCCCCTCTGTCTGGTGTGTGTCTGCGGTATGTTGCTGCTCAGGGGCCGCTGCCTCAGACCTGCGCTCACTTCTGGCAGAGCGTCTGGGAGCAGAAGGCTCACACAGTCATCATGCTGACCACACTGACGGAGAGGGGACGGGTACACTCACACAAGCATACATTATCCACCTACAGTTCTCACTCTTACATAGACGTGTGTATGATATGTAGCAAAGGAGAGCATTTTATATTTTACATTTCACAAATGTTGACATTTTTTTTACAGTCGTTTTATTGAAATTAAGTGGAAAAGCAAATCTCTCCACTAATTGCCCAATCTGCATTCCCACTCTCACCTGTAGTTATGGACTTTGCGTAATGTACAAATGGATCAGATTGTGATCTGATTATTGACATCAACAGTGAAATCCGTGCGTATTACAAGCGTAAACACGCCGTTAAGAAGAGCATCAATTTCTTTCTTTTTTTTGCGTCAAAGTCACGTTCCTGGTTTATCGTTCTGGGGAAGATGGCTGATTAGATGATGCAACATAATGTTGCGTGTTTCTCTTTGTGTACATTGGGGGTGAGGGTGGCTTTGATAAGGCTGGCACACCCGGCTCAGACAACAATTTGTTGTTGTTTGGCACATCAACTGAGTGTTGTGGTGGACCCCAAGTCTTGTGAGAACGGCTGTGACCGTTTCTAGTCCGTTGCTTGCCTCATGTAGAAGCAAATTTAAGACTCCTGTTGGTCAGCTGTGCACATGTAGATTATTTCTTTGGAAAAACAAGAAACAAATGCTATATGATTTATCAAGGTCCCATCTAATGAAGTCCTCTATGCCAAAGCTTTGCAGTTACTAAGCAACAGAAGACTTCAAATAACTGATTCGTATTTGATATTTGTCCAGACCTTCTCTCCACCAAAGGGTCGCATGAAAATACCTGTTGATTATCGTCCTTGCTTCAGCTCATTGCTTTTGCACCTCATTTTGCAGACACAACAATATACAAGCTCTAGGAAACTGTGTCTATTTGATGACTCACTTGAAATGTCATTTATGCTGCAGACGAAGTGCCACCAGTACTGGCCTCATCCGCCTCAAGTGAAGAGCTACGGGCAGATGCAGGTGAAATGCCATTCGGAGGAGTGTAACTTGGCCTATGTCACCAGACGCTTCACACTCACCCATATGAAGGTAACACTTCCATTCAATACTATTGCTTTATTCATCCCCACGTGAGACAGGGCAGTTTGTGCCAGAAGTGTAAATAAATATATATTACACTATTTACGTGTAGAAATCGGTTGCATTGCTAATACATGTGTTTTGCAGAAATTCACTCGTCCCATACACAAAAAACCCACATATAAAATGGAAGACAAAATAATATATACATGTTTTTGTTCGTGGCATTTTTTTTCTAAAGCATTTTCACTCTCAAAGTTGTTTTTAGAGCAATTAATGCATGCTTGAGTGATTTACTGTCTTTTCCTCTTTACCAGTAGACAAGAGTAGTTTCTATAATGTATTACACAACTGCATACAGTACTTACTTGACTGTGAAGCACACCTGTATATAAACCACACCAGCTCCACATGTACTGTAGGCTGCACTTCAATATTAGTTGCAGATTTTGTAATGTAACACTTTACAACCAACCAACAGCTCATGAAACAATAGACGACTGTTTAAATCCGTCACCGTCTGATTTAATGACAAGGTGTTTTAATCTATTTCACAATAACATTCTTACTAAAACTCTGAGTCAAAATAATAAATCCATAAACTATTCAGAAAACGGCCCTAATCACAAATAAACAGGTCCTGTGTATTTTCCTGCACCTCATAACAGCAGACACATCTTCTCTGTCTGCTGTTCACATAAACACACTGAAGCAGAAATGTGTGCTACGTCATCAGGTCTGGAGATCTCTACAATCCCTATTTTCTTCTGGCATCTTTTTTCTTTTATTTAATATAATTGCTCTTTATTATTTTAGTAGTTCTTAAAAGTGTTTTTCACATCAACCTTTTGTAATAACAAAAGGGATTCAGCCAGTAACTAGTCTCATTACATCAAATGGAAATACCAATCAGGATAGTTCACTTCAGTAGTTGCTTACCACCGCCCATGTATTTTTGTGGCCCCAATCTGTGAACGGGCTCTATAAATATTCTAATGTTTTTCATTTGAAATAACTCAGGGGTCGGTTTGCTTTGATGTGAAGTGTTTAAGTGTGAACCCTTCTCTTGGTTTACTCCTGGCAGGCTGAGTCGGAGGTGTGCGAAAGCGTAAACCCAGCCATAGACTTGTCACATTAGCTCCTTGGTAAATGTCCAGCGAAGCATTGCCGAGTTCACAAACATGGAAACACTGATATACTGCCATGTGGGTCCATCTGTTCCTCTGGCAGCACGGCTAAAACCTATGTGAACTCACTGGCAAAGCACCCAAGGACCAGACTCAGCACTTTCACTGGTGTCCCCTTCTCTCCTCCACCTGTCTGTGTGGGGCGACGCTATACACATCTTTTTACTGAAGGTGTTTTCCACTTTCTTCTTGTAGTTTTTTTCTTTTTTGTAATCATCAGCCACTCTTGTGCAGGTTTGATAGATGGCTTAAATTTAAAATGTTCCATAAAGCGGTCCTGAGTGCTAATAGTTCATCTGTGTCTGCGTAGTCCGGAGAGGAGCGAGCTGTGACCCACCTGCAGTACGTAGCCTGGCCCGACCATGGTGTCCCTGACGACCCCTCGGACTTCCTGCTCTTCGTCAGATCAGTGAGAGAGAGGAGGAGAGGGGAGGAGCCGCTCATGGTCCACTGCAGGTAACACTTTTCTTCAAATGTGGTTCGGATGTGGTCTGTAGATGTAGAGAACTAATCGAACCCTCAAACGTTGCCTTGATGTTGTTTTGGGTGCATTTGGAAATGATCAAATTGCATCATTGGTGAAAATGAAAAAAAAAAATTTAGATGATTTTCGTGCTCGTTTGATTTTCTGTATAATACACTTTGATGAGAATGAACACAAGGCTGCACAGTTTAATGTTTCTGTAACTGCAGCTGGTGGTGTGCCATGGGATTGTTTTTCATGAAAAATATGTGTCACAGCTAAAACTAGAAACTTGCAATGGCTGAAGCCATTGCGATTGACTGCGGAACAGATCTAATGTGGAAATCTGCTAAAAAAAATCCTTGAAATCCTTTAAAAAGCCTTGAAACTGTTAAAATACTTGATAGATATTTGAAACTCCTGAAGTCCTTGAAATTGTTGAAACCTTTAAACTCCTGAAATCCTTGAAACTGTTGAAACATTGAAACTCCTGAAATCCTTGAAACTTTTTTAAACCTGGAAACTGTTGAAAGTGTGGAAACTCCTGAAATCCTTGAACCTCCTGATATCCTTGAAACTGGTTAAATTCTTAAACAGCTGAAATCCTTGAAACTACTGAATGTATTGAAAGTGTCCTTGAAACTGAAAAATCCCCTCACCGCTGAAACAATTTGGTTCCTGTAACTAAGGAAACCTGGTCTGTGGTCATTATCTGGTGGTGGTCTGAGTCTTCGTTTGGGTCTTGGTCTGGTGGTATAATGCAACCTATTAGGTTGCATTATACATGAAAAAACCCTATTAAGTTGCATTATACTGGTTTACATGAAAAAAACCCTATTAAGTTGCATTATACTGGTTTACATGGAAAAATCCCTATTAAGTTGCATAATACTGGTTTACATGGAAAAATCCCCATTAAGTTGCATTATACTGGTTTACATGGAAAAATCCCTATTAAGTTGCATTATACTGGTTTACATGGAAAAATCCCTATTAAGTTGCATAATACTGGTTTACATGGAAAAATCCCCATTAAGTTGCATTATACTGGTTTACATGGAAAAATCCCCATTAAGTTGCATTATACTGGTTTACATGGAAAAATCCCTATTAAGTTGCATTGTACTGGTTTACATGGAAAAAACCCTATTAAGTTGCATTATACTGGTTTACATGGAAAAAACCCTATTAAGTTGCATTATACTGGTTTACATGTAAAAACCCCTATTAAGTTGCATTATACTGGTTTACATGGAAAAATCCCCATTAAGTTGCATTATACTGGTTTACATGAAAAAAAACCCTATTAAGTTGCATTATACTGGTTTACATGAAAAAACCCTATTAAGTTGCATTATACTGGTTTACATGGAAAAATCCCTATTAAGTTGCATTATACTGGTTTACATGGAAAAATCCCTATTAGGTTGCATGATTACACTGAAGTCCTTGAAACTGCTGAAGTCCTTGAAACTGCTGAAGTCCTTGAAACTGCTGAAGTCCTTGAAACTGTTGAAGTCCTTGAAACTCTTGAAATCTTGAAACTGCTGAAATCCTTGAAACTGTTGAATCCTTGAAACTGTTGAATCATTGAAACTGTAGAAATGTCTGAAAGAGCTGAAGTCCTATTAAAATGCATGGGCCTATTAAAATGCATTGCAGAATTCTCAATGCAGATTTTTGTCCGATTGCGGAAAAACCGGAAATCGCTGAAGTCCCAAAAGTAATAGCAATAATCTCCCAAACATGTGGAACGTTTTGATGTATAACTTGTGGAAATTGTTGAAAATGTGAAAGCTGTGAAACGTGTCAAAAAAAAAACGGAATAAAGAAATACAAAACCAATGGTTGACTGCGGAAGGTTCCGCAGTCAATCAATAAGGTTGGGGAACACTGCCTTATACTGTCAAATTATTGATAAACTAGAATATTAGAGATGGATTAAATTGATAAATAGTTTGAAGCATCAACCGCAGTAAGGATCATAGTGAGACGCCTGCATTGTTGAACAGATTTGTTTTTTTTGAATTACAGCGCTGGTATTGGACGGACAGGTGTACTCATCACCATGGAAACGGGGCTGGCATTGTTGGATCAGAGTCGACCTGTGTTTCCTCTGGAGATTGTGAAAACACTGAGAGACCAGCGCGCCATGATGGTTCAAACCACGGTAGGAATCGTCGCTTATGTTTAGTACCAGGAAAGTTAACAGAGTTCTATATTATGGTACAAACAAGGAGAAAATGACAGGTGTAGCAATAACACCTCTTTATCTTCAGCCAAAAGTCACTCCCCGTACTGCCAGAGCGGCCAAATGGTAAATGGTCACATATAGTACTTCATACACCCATGTACGCAGAGACTGTGGGCGAGATGGGTTAAGTGTCTTGCCTATGGACACAAATTGGAGCTGGTTTCTGTTTCAATCTGACTCCAATATTTCAAATTAGAGGTGGGCGAAATAGTGAAGGTTTCATATCAGTTTTCTTGAAAACAAATGACTATTTTATCACGGTTCATGTGATACTATTTGGAAGTCTTCTAGTGGTGATATATAGTTCTGATTATTTGTAGTGATTTACTTATAGACCATCAAAGTCTTCTCCTTATTCTCAAAATTCAAATTCAACACCATAAATTGGTCAAAATGAAAACATTGCACTCATTTACTTTCCTGAATTCATTGAATAATGCAACGATGTATGAATTACTTTTATACGCTGCATAAAGTACATATTTCATTACTGTCACCGTTGCCAGTATTATGAAACATGATATGGTCCCTCATGAAGCTGTTTTTTTTATTGTGCTGACGGCTCACTTGTCGTGTTGCCTCCATCTGTTTGCAATGGAAAACCTGCTCATTCCTGGGACTGGCTTTACTGTAAGAAGTCCATATATAACTGTGACACCAAGGAGACCACTCTCATTCTGGAAGAAAACTGGAAAAACACTAGTTCGAGTCACACTATATTCAGATGCAGCTATTTTTATGTTTTTTATTTCAGATGAGATCAGATAATGTTCTCTCCGTGAAGAAAGCAATGTAAATTCTTCTTTGATTTTCTAAGATGTCGGAGCACTAATAACACACATTGAACCACTTGTTTTGAAATTATAGGCTTTACCAAATGGTTGAAGTGTTAAAAGGGCCTAAAACCAAGTGATACCCCAATGAGGTAGATTTCAGCTTCAAGTATAGTGAGTCAAAAAGTGATCCACCAAACGGTTGAAGAAACCCTTAAATGGTCAATGGTAATGGTAATGGCATCATAAACAACTGACATTGGTTTTTACTTTCTAGCAGACTACAATTGTATTTGCAGGGAGCGGTATAATCCAAGCAACCCTCCATCTTGGCTGTATCAATTCTTGTGACCTTTAGTTTATCTCCCAAACCTTCAGCTATTGCATAATGTTGTATACATGTGTTGTTCTTTTTCTTTCAGTGTCAGTTCCAGTTTGTTTGTGAGGCCATTTTACGTGTCTACAAAGAGAAACACGATGGGTCTTCTGCTCCAGTCCAGTCCTAATCACACAGAGACAGCAAAAACAGTGCATTTTCTTCTGGTCACGCACAAGATGACTCCCACTGAAGCATCTACCCCTCCAGGATGCGCACTCCGCCTGCATAATAAGTGCAAAAGTGTCCTAAGAGAACAGCTGGTGGTGAAACGTCAAGATTACCATGCTGCTATACACCTATTTGGCCTTTCGTCTTCTGCTGATTGTGCACAACGCTGGTACTGGCTCCCGTCTCCATAGTGACTGATGTATAAGTCTTGTGAGAGCTAATTTCTGACCAGGAGGCCACTTAGCATTGCTTCCACTTATAAGAATTAGCGTGCCTTAAACTGATAGCTCCCAGACGCTGGATCGAATCGGGCGACAGACGAAAACAAAGATGATCTGTGGTACTTCTGCCTCTCCGACAATGACTGTGGCTTTTTTTTGGTACGTTTGTTTAAGTCAAAGGAGCAACACACACTGTAAACAAGTTTAAATTATTAACACTCAATAAACACTGATTTTATGATTTTTACTTCATGTTGTCTTCTTGTATAAAATAGCACTTTTGAAGTTGGTCGCTTGACTTTGCAGTGCAACACCGGAATACCTCAACCAAATGTCTGAAGTACTGGCTTGGCAGCTGATAAAGTGCAGTTTTGATTTCAAGATTACATAATCTCTGATTTAACTTAATTTTAATTTTCTGATGACGAAAACGTGAACTATAGTGTGAGTCAGCGGCTTCACTCCAAACACCCACTAGGTGCAGACACTGACATCTCTGCTCTTCTGTCTGGTGACACATCTATGGGTCAGTCCCGTGAGGCGCACGCGGGGCGGCAGATGGCGCTGCCTTGACGCTGTCGTCGAGTCCAGTTGAGGAGCAGAAGTTTGTTCTGCGTTGAGTAGCGCACATGCGCAGAGCAGGCTGTTTGTCCAGTTTCACTGGTTGACTTTTACCTGTGAGGTAGACTATAGTTTCGGTTCGCCGGGGGGGGACTCGCAAACAAGCGCCTTCAATCCAGAGGCGACAGGACCGGGATCTCACGCGTACAGTGGGGTCTCCTCCGGGTCTGAGGTCTAGGTCTGAGGTCTGGGTCTGGGTTTCTGTGCGCAGGAGGCAGGTGCGGGGAAAGGGTGCACGGAGGAGAGCTGCAGCTGAAGCGTCAGTCAGGACACGGGCAGGACACGGGCAGGACGCAGTCACTTATGTCGCGGGGCTGCGCTCTAAGCACCGTGTGACTGAGGAGGGTCTCCTCCGCGGGGGAAACGCTCCGGGACCAGGAAGATGATGGGATTTCTGCGTCGGACGTTCAGTCGCCGTTCGAGGAACCGTTTCCACAGAGAAAGAGATGAGCGGGACGGAGCGCTGACTGGGAACCCCCTGCTTCTGCCCCATCAGCAGCAGGTGGTCCATGCCCCCGCGGTGGTCACCGGGGGGGCTTCAGTGCACATCCCCGCGGCCGGAGGAGCGCGCACTTCCATCACCTGCCGAGTGCTGCTGCTGGACGGATCCGACGTGAACGTGGACCTGCCCGTGAGTCCACAACACATGATCTATGTCACTAACAAATCAATATTACACACAGTTGTGCAGGACAGGTGCTCAGGGCAACTACAGCGAGATGAGAGAAGTTGGTGTTAAAAAGTGATTTGTTCGTGTGAAGTTTGAGGCTAAATAATGTCGAGAGAGAAGCCTGTGCTCCATCACATGACGACTTATGTGGACATCACTTTTGGAGCATTTCTGCCGTCATCTTGACTGGTTGTATTTGTCGTAGGCCAGTAGCCTGTCGGTCTGTGTTTCCCTGATGTCAGTGGCCGCTGTGGGCTGTGTGTGGTGGTTGTGTGTGGGAGATGTTGAAGGTTGTGTGTGTCACTGTCGCTGTTGCGTGTCTTTGAGTCTCTTGTATTGAGCATCAACAAGACAAACATATGGGCTCGTGTGATTTGGTTTTAGGCTTTGGTCCATTCACTTGCAGTAACATTTCGACCTACGTTTCCTGTTGTTGAAATATATTCACTTTCAATAATTACATCCTGTTTGGTAAGTTTTAGTGTAACTGTATATGCCTAGCATAGGCCTAGATACACTAATTACCCCAGCAACAATGCTCCATGACTCCACCGCACGGTTACTTTTGAGTAATAAGTCAATCACATCAGTCTATTATATAACTTGTGATGAGTGAAAAAATCTTCAAAGACTTCAAAGCATTGGCACAATGATTTTCACTGATTAGACGTTGGCATGTGTTATGAAAATATGTGAAGACATATGAAAATAATGTATAAAACAAAGAGGGGAAAAGTACAGTGTGAAGCTTCCATGGACTGGTCTCACAGATGATGATGGGCTGTCCTTTTTCTGCATCTACCCTGCATTGAACATTTCTCTAACTCAGTTATCGCTTAAAGCCTCAGCCTGTAGGTTTTAGCCAAGAATAGAGTATAGCATAAACTCATGCTTAAAAAGGTCCATGTGTCCTAACTGACTCCACACACCTGAGTCGTACCTGTCCCGCAGAGAACATAAAACACATTATTTAGAATGTGTAAATGATCATCCGTAAAGACAAGTGCAGTAGATTCTCCATCAACAGAATGTTACAGATTGTTTTAAAAATACCATGACAAGCATACATTCTGATCATAGTGGCTTACCATTTACTGTCTCTGGTTAGTTGGTGTTAGCTGCACGCCTTAACATATATGAAGTTTAATGGTATAGTGTGATAACAAGCAAGAGACCAGAAAGTGACACTGTGACATTATAACAGGATAACCTTTGTGTATTATTAGTAATACCAGGACGTAGGTCTGAAGACTCACAAGGTCGGAAGAACTCGACTTTTCTCAATCTCTATTATCAACATGTGTATAGAAATCAAGAGAAAATCATGAGGGTGAGGGGGAGGACTCGTTGTTTCTTCTAAACACAAAAACTATCACGGAACTGATTTAAGAATAAGTTTAGTGTTTGCCCCTGCATGTGCACAAGCATAGCCCAAAAATCACATTTCAATAAAACGACCAAACCTCAGAATGCCCGGCCTGATCATAACTGTCCCTAAGCTTTACATGACACCTTGTGCAAATGTGAAAACGGTGGCTTCATATTTGATTTTGGCCCCTCTCTGCTGCAGATTAATCCTTTAATACCTCAGATTTCCTCACATTCAAACACAAACCAGGAAGTTTGGACTGGCTATCTCGATCCAAAGTGCAAGGCCTGTGTCTTGTGTCCACTCCACACCCCCTCTCACTTTTATTGGCTTCAAACACAGCAGCAACAATGTAAAGTGTGATCCCGAATGACCCATGCTGCCTTCTCTAACCTTCTGTAAAGATAATTAAGTTCTCACTGAGATAGAATTGTAAATGTCACACTGTCAAATTGGCCCAGCTTAACAATTACTGTTTACTTCTGCTCATTATATTCTGATGATCTATGAAAAAGGAATTTTGATGGCTGTGTCTGTGTTCTAGAAGTTACCCGTGGGGATTAAGTCTGTGTGACGTATAACTGGTATTATAATCTATAATGGTAACAATGGCAGGGATTTAAGAGTGGTATTATTTTGTTCTTGTCCTGAGGCACGTACTGTGAATTCTTGAAGTGAGATGTTGAAGACCAGTTTAAACCTGTGTTACACCTTAAGTCTCACGTTGAGACTTGTTCTGTCTTGTCCTGTCTTGTCTTTGTATAGTCCTGGGTTGGTCTTTTATTGCCTATCACAGTCGTCCTGGTGGTTTTGTGTAGAATTGGTTTATGTGATGGTTTTGCAACGTGATTCAAATACGCTCGCACAAAAGTTCATTTATTTCTGTAATTCAAAGTGGCATATGCCTTTGTTTGTTTTTATGATTATGGCTTACAGTCCATTTTCAATATATTAAATTTTTTGGCTAAGTTTTATTTGGGGGTTTTCCTGAGCTGTGAGTCAATGATCAACATAACAAATAAAGGCTTGACATATCTCACTTTCCGTGTAATGGGTAGGGCATATATTTATATATCTGTTTCATCGTGTAAGTTAAATTGCAGAAGCAACATTTAGAATTTTTATCAATATTCTAATTGATTATTCAGTTTCACCTGTTTGTGGATAATTCACTTTGTAGAGAGAGCTTGTTTTAAACCCCGACACAAGGAAAACAAACTTGTAGACAAATTCTGCTCCACTTAGGGAAAATATGGTCTCTTTATTTAAACCAATTAACAAATGAACATGTGTCCGTTAGTCATTTAAAGCTGGAGTACCTAACTTTGAAACTACAACAAATGTATATTTATGTTCAATAATACATGTGACTAGTTCCTCGCTCCCAAAAAGGTTTTGTTCTTCCACTAGTTTTCACATGCATGTATTTCTGAACTGGCCCTCCCTCAGCCAATCAGCTCCCAGTATGTAAGAGATAACAAGTTTTCTTAAAAGATGAAGACAGCATGTTGTGATCTGAAAAAGTTACATAAACATGATTATTTCTGTAGAGACCAAAAAGTGAGGTACTCCAGCCTTAAGTCCGTTCACATCCTTTGAACAGTTAGAGTGGACCAGACCAACAAGTGTGAACACGTCCTCAAACTGTGCGAACTTCACATGAACATGTTTTCTTCTTCCCCAAACTTCCCTGTTTCTCACTAATATTATTTTCCCGTTTCAGAGTAAATCCAAAGGCCAGGACCTTTTCGATCAAATCATGTATCACATAGATTTAGTGGAGACTGACTATTTCGGACTTCAGTACATGGACTCGGACCAAGTCTCGGTGAGTAGACCACACGCGCTGACAGTACGACTGCTGTAATATAATTTTGTCTGGATAACTTTCTCTCTTCTCCCTCTCTAGCACTGGCTGGATATGTCCAAACTCATAAAGAAACAAATCAGAGGCAAGTATTTTCCCCCATGTCTCATTGCGGTCTGGTTTTATGAGCCGGGACTTGGGAGTCAGGATTGGGGAGCAGGTGAGGAGGGGGGGGAGCAGGTGGCCCGGTGGCCCATTATCACATGTTGACATGGTGATTAGCAGCAGCCAGGAGCCACAGCTTTGTTTGTTCAAAGGGAAAGTGAACGCTTGAAGAGAGCGAAAGAGGAGGAAAGTGCACACTCGACAAACTCCACTCAATCGGTTACGTTCACGAGAGACTGCTCTAAAGAGAGAGACTGTTCTGAAGAGAGAGACTGTTCTAGAGAGAGAGACTGTTCTAGAGAGAGAGACTGTTCTAGAGAGAGAGACTGTTCTAGAGAGAGAGACTGTTCTTAAGAGAGAGACTGTTCTAAAGACTGTTCTAAAGAGAGACTGTTCTAAAGAGACTGTTCTAAAGAGACTGTTCTAAAGAGAGACTGTTCTAAAGAGAGACTGTTCTAAAGAGACTGTTCTAAAGGGAGAGACTGTTCTAAAGAGAGAGACTGTTCTGAAGAGAGACTGTTCTAAAGAGAGAGACTGTTCTAGAGAGCGAGACTGTTCTAGAGAGAGACTGTTCTAGAGAGAGACTGTTCTAGAGAGAGAGACTGTTCTAGAGAGAGAGACTGTTCTAGAGAGAGAGACTGTTCTAGAGAGAGAGACTGTTCTAGAGAGAGAGACTGTTCTAGAGAGAGAGACTGTTTTAAAGAGACTGTTCTAAAGAGACTGTTCTAAAGAGAGACTGTTCTAAAGAGAGAGACTGTTCTAAAGAGAGAGACTGTTCTAAAGAGACTGTTCTAAAGAGACTGTTCTAAAGAGACTGTTCTAAAGAGAGACTGTTCTAAAGAGAGACTGTTCTAAAGAGAGACTGTTCTAAAGAGAGACTGTTCTAAAGAGAGACTGTTCTAAAGAGAGACTGTTCTAGAGAGAGAGACTGTTCTAGAGAGACTTTTCTAAAGAGAGACTGTTCTAAAGAGAGACTGTTCTAAAGAGAGAGACTGTTCTAGAGAGAGAGACTGTTCTAGAGAGAGAGACTGTTCTAAAGAGAAACTGTTCTAAAGAGAGAGACTGTTCTAGAGAGAGAGACTGTTCTGAAGAGAGAGACTGTTGAAGCTGAAGAGAGAGACTGTTCTAGAGAGACTGTTCTAGAGAGAGAGACTGTTCTAAAGACTGTTCTAAAGAGAGACTGTTCTAAAGAGACTGTTCTAAAGAGAGACTGTTCTAAAGAGAGACTGTTCTAAAGAGACTGTTCTAAAGAGACTGTTCTAAAGGGAGAGACTGTTCTGAAGAGAGACTGTTCTAAAGAGAGAGACTGTTCTAGAGAGAGAGACTGTTCTAGAGAGAGAGACTGTTCTAGAGAGAGAGACTGTTCTAGAGAGAGACTGTTCTAGAGAGAGAGACTGTTCTAAAGAGACTGTTCTAACGAGAGACTGTTCTAAAGAGAGACTGTTCTAAAGAGAGAGACTGTTCTAAAGAGACTGTTCTAAAGAGACTGTTCTAAAGAGAGACTGTTCTAAAGAGAGACTGTTCTAAAGAGACTGACTGTTCTAGAGAGACTGTTCTAAAGAGAGAGACTGTTCTAAAGAGAGAGACTGTTCTAAAGAGAGAGACTGTTCTAAAGAGAGAGACTGTTCTAAAGAGAGAGACTGTTCTAGAGAGACTGTTCTAAAGAGAGTGTTCTAAAGAGAGAGAGAGACTGTTCTAGAGAGAGACTGTTCTAGAGAGAGAGACTGTTCTAAAGAGACTGTTCTAAAGAGAGACTGTTCTAAAGAGAGACTGTTCTAAAGAGACTGTTCTAAAGAGAGAGACTGTTCTAAAGAGAGAGACTGTTCTAGAGAGAGAGACTGTTCTAAGAGAGAGAGACTGTTCTAAGAGAGAGACTGTTCTAGGAGACTGTTCTAGAGAGAGACTGTTCTAAAGAGACTGTTCTAGAGAGAGACTGTTCTAAGAGAGAGACTGTTCTAAGAGAGAGACTGTTCTAAGAGAGACTGTTCTAAAGAAGAGACTGTTCTAAAGAGAGAGACTGTTCTAAAGAGAGAGACTGTTCTAGAGGAAGAGACTGTTCTAAGAGAGAGACTGTTCTAAGAGAGAGACTGTTCTAGAGAGAGAGACTGTTCTAGAGAGAGAGACTGTTCTAGCGAGACTGTTCTAAAGAGAGAGACTGTTCTAAACAGACTGTTCTAAAGAGAGAGACTGTTCTAAAGAGAGAGACTGTTCTAAAGAGAGAGACTGTTCTAAAGAGAGACTGTTCTAAAGAGAGAGACTGTTCTAAAGAGAGAGACTGTTCTAGAAGAGAGACTGTTCTAAAGAGACTGTTCTAGAGAGAGAGACTGTTCTAGAGAGAGAGACTGTTCTAGCGAGACTGTTCTAAAGAGAGAGACTGTTCTAAAGAGACTGTTCTAAAGAGAGAGACTGTTCTAAAGAGAGAGACTGTTCTAAAGAGAGAGACTGTTCTAAAGAAAGAGACTGTTCTAAAGAGAGAGACTGTTCTAAAGAGAGTGTTCTAAAGAGACTGTTCTAGAGAGAGAGACTGTTCTAGAGAGAGAGACTGTTCTAGAGAGAGAGACTGTTCTAGAGAGAGAGACTGTTCTAGCGAGACTGTTCTAAAGAGACTGTTCTAAAGAGAGAGACTGTTCTAAAGAGAGAGACTGTTCTAAAGAGAGAGACTGTTCTAAAGAGAGACTGTTCTAAAGAGAGACTGTTCTAGAGAGAGAGACTGTTCTAGAGAGAGAGACTGATATAGAGAGACTGATCTAAAGAGACTGCTCCAAAGAGAGACTGATCTAGAGAGAGACTGATCTAGAGAGAGAGACTGTTCTAAAGAGACAGTTATAAAAGATAAGTGGAGTTTACTGTTGTACTATCTCGGTTTACGTTTGTGACGAATCATGAAAAATCTGTGCAGGTTTGGATGTCACAGGGCGGCCTCTAACAAGTGTTATGATGATGGATTTATATGGCAATTATTCTTTTGATTTAGGGTCAGAATTGTATCTAAATTAGATGAAGAAAAAATTGAAGTGAAGGACATTATAATACGGCTCCTGTCAAATTTCCCAACAAAACAATTTTATCAAATTAAGAAATATTTGCATTTGTTTAAATTTTATTTGTAATTCGTGACTCCATGAGACTTAAAATCACATCTTGCTGTTGTGTCACATGACCAAGATGTAAGGAGAAAATCTGATAATTTTTCAAAATAAAGCATAATTCTAACTCTGATAGTAAAAAACAAATAATGCAAGTTATTATTTTCCATGGCCTGGTATCAGAGAACTGATCAGGGGTCGCTCTAAGGGGGTCCCCTACACTCTACCCCATTCAGTTAAATTCATACATGAACAGATTTACCAATATTACCTTGTATCTATTGTGATACAAGGGATTTGTCGTCATGGGGACAGTTTTATGTAATGATTGATCTTTCATAAAACAAACATTGATCTGATTTAACAGTAGTTAAATGAGTAGTTAATGGTGCGTTCAGTGTGAGAGACAAAGTGATGCAGTGATAGACTCTGATCTAACTCAAGCTAAAGAAGACTCTGTAATAGGGCCACTGTTCTGGATCTGCTTGTAACGTTGACCTCTTTAGCAGACGGACCGTACAGACTCTTCTTCAGAGTCAAGTTCTACTCGTCGGAGCCCAATAACCTGCGGGAGGAATTCACAAGGTAATCTTCACACAGCCAAACATAACATAGGAATTCATACATCAGTTAAGTAGACTTCACTTAATAAACATAAATCCGGTTCAGCGCCGTTTTGACAAGTTTAGATCTGTCCGTTTCTCGCATCAAGGTAATTATTACCTCAGCTCGAACTCGTGTACTCTGACCCTGAGATAATTCAAGACTAAATGAGACTCACTTGTTTGGACGTTCTTTTCTTTAGACTTTTAGTTGTGTCTCTATTGATTCAAGTTTTAGTCTTGTGCTGAAGATTTACTGTGGAAAAAAAACCCAAGTCCTTATTGCACCTGTCATGTGCACCTCTGACAGACGAGGGCATTAAAAATCCACAAAAACATATTTTCATCATCAAATTTCTTCATCTTACTCCACAAACTGTATATTGACTGTTGTGAAATGTATGGTGTACAACTATTACAACTATTACTACTATTGCCCCACTGGATAATGATATACAAAACCACAGATGCAATTTGAGGCAGTAAATGCTTGAATAAAGTCATTCTTGATTTCGGCGTCTGTCTTTCAATGAAGTATCAATTGTTTTTACATTCAAAGTGAGAATTGGCTTGTCTCATAAAAACAAAATGTAATAACCTCATTCAAGGCATTTCTGGTTCACTTTGTGTCTTTTTTTGCTGTGTGCCATTTCTTTGTTACAAACTGAGGGATTTAATATTTTTATCTTTTTTTTAATGTACTGTGATTATTTATGATTTTAATGCTTTCTTGTTTTGTTCAGCACTTTGAATTGCCTTGTGTATGAATTGTGCTATACAGATAAACTTGCCTTGCCTTGCCTTAAATATATTGTGGGAAAATATGAGACTAGAAAGTTATTTAATTCGTGTGGTTATTTCTTTTGTGCGTTCTCCGCTCTGGTGTCTGGAGGCTGGTCCAAGAGGGAGGGAAGGCTAATTACTCTGCTGCTCTGGGCACATTCAAATTAAGGCCAAATGGGCAGCGCGCTCGTTAACACAAAGACAATGAGGAAGATCTATGGATCTGTCTTGTTTATCTGTCCAGCCGATGTGCTCCAGTCTACAGTCTACACTGTTCAGTGTGTGGGGATAACTCTGTGTATTATGCAACACTTTGGACCTAGTCTAAACCTGGTTTAAACCTGGCTTAGACCTGGACTGATCAACGTTACACTTCCTACACTAGTGAGAAGATTATATGACCATGTAAGTCTTTAGTTACAGATGAACCATGGAAATTTAATGGTTTTTATTGATTTTTTTGCAAGGTTTTCTTGTTATGCAATTTATACATTTATTAAAGCAAAAACTAAATACCTCAAAATGCATGACCAGAGTACTGTACTTGGTTAGATATTTCGTTTAGTTAAATATTTTCATTTTAAAGCTACAGTAGCGACTGTGGCTTTAAAATGACAGGAGCTCAGTTGGTAGAGCACTGGTCTTTGGACCTCCTGGTCGTAAATTCGAGCCCACCACGATGCATGTCACCTGCTCCCACTGATGTCTTCTGTTGTTGTGTCCCTGGGCAAGATTCTTAACCCCACATTGCCTGAAGCCCCCGCTGAAAGACCAAGGCCATGTCTTCGATGACGGAGACGTCATCATCCTGTGGACCCACCACCTGCAGGAAGATCAGCGAGGGATGGGTTGCAGCTCTGATTGCCATCTCCCCGATCCAGAAATAGAATAATAAAGGGGATGAAAATGACATGACATGACATGACATTTTAAAGCTGGGGTACCTAACTTTCAAGCCACAAAAAAAAATAACTTCCATCCATTTGGTTTTAACCCCTAGTGTTCACATACTATGTACTTTTGTGTCTTTTGATCATTTTTTTCAGGCAGAGAAGTGAAAAAGAGGGACCTAAGTTTATCCAAAGACCTTTTGTTGCGACGCATCAATATGTTTGTAAATGTAGTTAGCCCGGTTTTAAGTTCTGCCAAAGTGTAAACAATGTGAAAGTAAAGAGGCTTGAGCTAGTTTAACCGTAGTTTTACAAAGAGAAGGAAAAATGCTCATTTGCATCATAATAATACACCAGATTGTAGCTTTGTAGTTCCATCTGCAGTCCCACAGTCACTAACATACACTCATTTTAGAATAATATTGTTCCAAATTATTCAAAGCTAGTATTCTCCACAGGACTTATCACCAGATAAACATTACCAACGTGTACTTTGTATCTTTTTTTGTTGTATTTTACGAGAATATTGCTGCCATAACTGTGAGATTCAAACAAGTTCACATTAGTTCATTGATTTGGATCTGGGGGCCGCACCTTATGATTAGTTACAATGATTGTTTTATGTATTTCATGTTGAAAAAAATATATTATAAATACTGTGTGCGGAAAAACCCACTTCAAAGTGTACAACCATTAATTTAAGCAGGCTTTATTTGTAAAAGTCAATCTCTGAGAAATACTGAGATCCAGGGCTCAATGGACACAGCTTTTGATTGTTTTGATTTTTTTTAATAACAAGAATTCCCCACCTTTCCTGCATCTGAGAAATGAAACAAGGAAATAACACTGTTTTTAAATTCTTCTTTTACAGATATCTTTTCGTGTTGCAACTTCGGCAAGACATCCTGTCGGGCAAGTAAGGATCTTTGCGGTTCTAAATGCACTTGTAAGGTTTATCTGCGATTCAGGGTCATATTTACATAGTCGCAGGCAGCAGCAGGGCCACACCCAAGACTGAGAATAGTTCCAACAAATAGACAAATGAGCTGCCTCTCCCTCCACTGTGCGTGTCCACAGAGAACTCGCCGTGTCCTATTGATGGACTCAATCTCACACTCTGACTCTCCAGGATTCTTTTATTAGTGAGAAACCAATTTATTGATATCTGTTGTTACCAGTGACATTGAAACCAGTTTGAGTTTGTCGCATCTTTCATTTTTAGATTAGCAGGAAACACCTAGCAGATCCTCTCTAAATATGATGAGAATTTTACAGACTGATTGTAAAGAGGAAGGCCATAGCTTTCAGTTGAATGTTGGATTTCTAATAGTACAATCAGATTAAAATGTGGCTCATAGTTTAATGAAAGAAATTAATTTCAAATTGAGTTGGTTGTTCCATGTTTCACACTGAACAGAACAAGAGACTATAATATCTCTTAGGCCAATACTAACTAGGTGTTAGTAGAGTTCTTGTCCTGAAACTACTCCATGACTTTCTCTAAATATATTTTGTTTTTAAAGATGCTATCCCCGGCCTCCCCTCCTCCATGAATGAGGAAAATGTTTAAAGCTAAATGAATAAATGTCAAACATGATTGGTTTTCAATTTTTAAAAGCAGTTGGTTTTATAAAAGGTGAATGAATTACAATAATCTAGTGGCTTACCGAGCAAGGTCACTCAGGGCAATGGGAAATGTAATACTACTTGGGAAAAAATGTCTTTGTCGTAAGTTCGAAAAGTTCAAACAAAGCATTGCGCTCTCAGATTACAATGTATTTTGTATTTTTGCCTTTATCAAACTTTTTCTGTTTTTTTCTGTGAGACCAGATTATAATTTATGAAGAGACTGTGGCCGAAAAGTCACAAATATAAACTAATTGGCATTTGAAAACTGAGAGTGTGATACTTAGTTTGAATATTAAGTGCATCGTTCTGTATTCGTCCAGGATGGTTCCTTCAAAGCTGCGTCTTCTGCAGTGTGTAGCTGCAGCCAGGGTCATTAAATCAAATCACTAGATATAGCCAAATTCAAGGCCTGGAAAGCTTCCCATTTGACAACAAGGGATTGAATTTAGGAGATTACCACAATTGTGTGTGTGTGTGTGTGTGTGTGTGTGTGTGTGTGTGTGTGTGTGTGTGTGTGTGTGTGTGTGTGTGTGTGTGTGTGTGTGTGTGTGTGTGTGTGTGTGTGTGTGTGTGTGTGTGTGTGTGTGTGTGTGTGTGTGTGTGTGTGTGTGTGTGTGCGCACGTGCTGGAATAGTATTGGTTTTGGAGACGCACTGGTGACTTTAAAAGAGAAATATCTGTCTAAAATGATGATAATTATGGGTATTATCGACATAAAAATACAACCTTGGTGGTATTCTTTTTCTTAGTGGCAATATAACTTTTTCAAAGATCTAGCTTTCATGTACAAAATCCCACAATCCACAGCCTCATGTATTAATCAAATCAGATATATTATTGCAGTCTATAACCAGCCTAACGTGGTTGAAAATGGAGCATGGTTATTCAATGGTTCTCCCCAATCCAATCTATTCTACCAAGCCTGTTTTGTACACGTTTTCTCTCAAGTGATTTCATGTTGCCCAGAAGCACATGTTTGGAGGCCTTTTAATGTTGTTTTCATTTCTGGGAACAGAAACACAAGACCCATTTCAGCTTCTTTCACCCATACATTAATAGCGGCATTTGGCCATAGGATTCCAAGCTGCTCCCCTCCTTTATTGTAAACATAGGCTCTGTACAATGTTGCACCATCACGTGGACTCCCCCCATTGTGTGGGAGGCTACGGTGAATATGAGGAGGTGACTGTGTGCTACCTGAGCCTGTGACCAGTCCCCAGACGCCCATCCAAGAGCAGGGGGGCCGAGGTCGTAAAAGGTATAGAGCGCAACAGCCCCACGGGGCATCCATAAAGTATCTATCTATCTGCCTATCTATCATAGATGAATGGGAGATATGTCCAGAAGACAGAGGTTTTTAGGAGAGTCTAAAACTGTTGAGTCTAAACAGAGATTAGTTTTTGCTTGAAAATGAAATTAAGCTTGACATCTCCATTGAAACAAGCAAGTTACTACTACAAAGTATGTTTAGACCCTGGAATTGAATGCATGAAACATAAAGGTTTGTAGGAGACCTTTTCAGGTGGCGCAGTTGTTAGCGCTTGTGCCTCACAGCCCAGAGGTTCCTGGGTTTGATTCCACCTCAGACCTTTCTGTGTGGAGTTGGCACGTCTGCGTAGGTTTCCTCCGGGTGCGCTGGTTTCCCCTACCACTAAAAATATATGCACAACAGGTCTGGCATGCATCTCCTGTTTGGTGACCCCGCTCCTATCTCTGTGTGGAGTGATAAACAACAAGCGCTTTGAGACTCTGGCGCTATATAAAAAAAGTTTTAGACTCTTTTCAGTCAACAAATATGTCTTTCAATTTAATTATGTAAATCTATTGTAGTTTTAGTAAATCCTCCTGTTCTGGGAGTCTTGACCAGATGATAAGTCCTCTGCTTTTAACATTATTATTATTATTATTATTATTAATGTATTAACTTTCAACAAGGACAATGTACATTTACAACATTAATTTTTCCATTTCCTGCATTGCACCAGAGCTGGCGATAGGCTGATCTACATCCTCAGTTCCCCGTCAGGAGAACAACAGACTTACATGTAGAAGTAACGACATGCCCCCTTCAGTGCCACTGTGGCTCCCTGTCAGGAGCAGAGTGTATGATGTAGAATCATGTCGACCTCCATCATCTTCATCATCACGCTGCAGAAACACAAACTCCTCAAACGCTGTTATTTGAACGTTTGAACATTTGAAAAGACCCTCCTGAAACCGCATCAGACATGATTCCTCCTCCTGTGTGGGGAAAAGAGACACAAAAGTGCTTCACAAATGTTCTTTGGAATTTCCAGACTCGGCACTGAAAAAAAAAGGATAAAATATGAGGTCATAATTGCTTGAATCTGAAGGTTTTCATCCTGACTGTTTTATAACAGTCATTTAGTGTTATTTCAAGAACTGTTGCTTTATCTTCCCATTCTTGTATCTTTGCTCTTGCATTTTTGCTTGTTCCATTGGCAAATCTTGTTTTAAGTCAAAATATGTTCAATTTAAGATTTGCCAAATTTCATCAAAGTGTGTGATTGCCCATCGAGTCTGATACCCCGGTGTATACCTGGTTATGATTCTGGATCCCAGGCACTGGTCAAAAGGCTATTTCAGAAAGTGAATTTCTGATTTCCTACAGCATTGTTTCAAAAGAGTGTTATATTTAAAGCAGATTGATGATTATGGCTTACACATAATGAAAACCTAAGATTATATTTTTTGTAACACAAAATATCACCTAAGACCAATCAAAACAAACAGCTCGTGTAAAATACAAAAAACTCATTCAATACTTTGTTGAGACTATTTTGCATGAATCAGTACAATAACAATAAAGACATATCTGTATCTTAAAAGCCATATATTTTATGATGGCTTCCTGTGACTCAGATACAGATGTGTTCTTGGAGGCTGAGTTTGTTTATGGTTTTGGTTTGGGACTCGGGGAGGCATGTATGAAGGGAGAGGGAGGGGTGAGGTGGCATATAAAATGGTAGAAGGGAGAGGGAAGCGGGTGTGGGGGCGTAAAATGTCAGACCAGAGAGATGGGATGAAGTTGACGAGACAAATGCTAAAGCGCAGGAGGATTTAATCAGTTAAAAGCCTTAAGTAGTCGTATACTGTATAGACATAGAACTAATACATGATGGATTACATGTTCAGACTTAAAGCTATGCCCCACACTCAAAGTTCTCCTTAACTACTGTACAAGAATATCAACACATTTACTACAGTAGATTTATGCCGATAGTATTATCTTGTTTTCTGTTGCTGAAAAATATTGGTCTATTTTAGTCACTTATATGCTAGGTTCAAATCATAGACTGTATATATTAACGGACGTAGTCACGCCTATCTCCGCCGTACTAACTAATGGGCCAAAAATTGGGCTCATGGAATGATTCAAAAAGGCCACGGGGGCTGGAAAAATTGAAAAAAAAACGCATCTGGCCAAAATGACGTGCGCTGACATGCTTGCAATACCACCCCGGGCCGATGGGGGTGGACCCAGAAGAAGAATTAGCCAATGCAACATATAGCATTGGCAGACCTCTCGAAAACACCTTTACAGGATGGTCCAAAAGTTGGCTCTTGGCCCAAAGCTCCGTTCCACATGTGTGTCAATGCTGAGGGGGGTGAATTTTTGGATCACTCTAGTTTACTTGCTAGAGTAAACTAGACTGACGCATGCGCAGATGCGTTTTTTCACAATTTTCGGCGGAGATAGGCGTGAGATAGGCGTGACTACGTCCGTTAATATTTACAGTCTATGATCTGCGCATGTGTCAGCCGGCAGGTACCCCAGCTTCAAAAATGTCTTAACGTAAATGAACCAACATTTACTCTGTATGCAATAATATTTTCTCTATGCTTTTAAATATACTGGTGTGCAAAAATCCTGCAAATCAAATTCAAGAAGGCGCTAACGTTACTGCTTCACTATAGTATGTTTGAAATGTATAAACTAGTACAAAATGTAATGACATTAGTTTTTACTTCTTAATCTTCTCACACTGAGCAGACTCTCCTCTCTGCAGATAGAACCTGTCCTGCTTCTCTCAAATGTAGATTAACACATCATACTGTGGAATATTCTCAGCAATAGTTGTGTTTGTATTCAGCCCAAATTGGAATACACGTCTGGAGCTGTGGGACCTATATCTTACAAACACTTTCCATTCAAAACACTAGTTGGATGTGAGAGTTTCCTTCATGTGTTGACTCCTCCGACTCTCCTAGTTCCGTGTATTTGGGCCATACTTCCCCTGAGCTTGGTCTATTATAAAACTCGGATCAGGCCTGCTGCCTATTTTAGAAAAGGGCTGCTCCGCTCCGCTTTTACACACACTTTTGGCACATTGTTTTGTTTTTTTTTTCAACATGTCACAAATGAGACGGGCTGCTACAAGAGAATAATCCCCCCATTATGTTTTCAGATTAAAATGTCCGTATGATGTGGCAGTGGAGCTGGGGGCATACTGTTTACAAAGTGAGTATTATTCCTTATATGTTTGTTTGATTGGTTTTATTTTGGTCACCACATCAACAAAGTTCAAACATATGATATAATAAAGGGGAATAGGCAGAAACAATGCTTATTCCACACCAGCAGTTTAACCAGCTCTTAAATTTTACTTTTTATATTCTGTAATTATTTGAAACTTAAGATAAGTTTTTTAATGTAACAAAGAAGTCATTTTTTTAAAGTCTTCACCCCAAGAACAGAAGCACACTTTTGTGCGTTTGTATTTATTTAGTTTTTTTGTTATTGTTTACATTGGAGATGTATTGTTTCTTTGTTTTATCGTGTTTTCTTTCTGAATGTTGACGTGTCCATGTGTTTTGTTGTCTTTAATCAAAAAAAGAAGTAGAATCACAAAAGAAAACTAAAAACTAACAAAACACCTTGTTTCACTTTAGTTCTTGCTTTAGAGATTCAAAAAGCTTCTTACTTACAGTTTACAAAGTGAATATTATTCCTTATGTGAAGAGTCATCTTTTGTCTTGGTTGAGATTATTGCTCCAAATGTGAAATGACGTTAGAATCCAAAACCCTGACCCTTCACGGTCCTTTGTCCATCTCACTCCTGGAGTTATTTTATGATGTATCGTTTAAAGGGACGCATGTAATATTTATGTTATTAATAATGTGCCCCCAGATAATAGGTCAAGGTTATATCAATATATCAATGGAATACAGAAAATATTAAAGATGATGTAGTAATTGCTTGAATTAAGTGTTTTTTTTATCCTAATCTGAGCACATTCTTACAATTTTATAACAACATAATTTTGCTTATATCATTGGCAAATCTTGTTTTAAGGCGGTCAAAAATGCTCTCAAATTAAGATACCTGTGACTTATTTTTTCTTTTGCTTTCTAAAAATTCAGCAATTTAGTTACAATTTCAAACGGATATACAATCAGAGCAGAATGAGGGGCTAGTTTGTTAGGTAACATTTTTATTAATTAATTTTTTAATGACAACATTCAAAAACAATAAAAACGCTGCACATTTAGTTCATTGAAGCAGATACAAAAAAAGTAGTCCGATGCAATACAGACCATTTCAGAATGTTAATCAATGCCAAATCCTTTTTACGGCTTACTAGTTACAAAGTAATTTATGCTCTCATATGTGTTTTTAGAGTGAGTCATGGCTGTTAGTCATTTAGATTTTCTTTCATCTGCGTCACCTTCACCCTGCTCCGCTCAGACACACCCACTGTCTTTACATTGTTCACTGAAGGGCCTTTTGCATGATAATGAAAAAATATTGAAAATGTCATCAGAAAATATTGAACATTTTGGGCCATTGTCTTGAAGGGTGTCGTAGACTTGTTGATTTGCTACAGATTCAAAAATCAGACCATTTTAATCAAATACATTTAGGAGAATCAAACCACAAAATGACAAATTGAGTATTCAGGAAATCTGTCCTGGAGCATCCCCGGTCCTTAGACCCAAAACCAAGTGTTAGAAAAAGGGAGGAGCCTGATGTGGATTCAGTTCTCTTAGGAAATAGTTCTTTTATCATTATTAAGATTTAAAATATACAATACATATGTGTCATAGATTCTTTATAGCAGACAGAAGCATGGCATGTCTTCTTTAATTAAGACATTCCAAACTGAGTCAAATTAGACTTTGACATTATTGATGGATAGGCTTTTTAATACAGTCGATTTGTTTAGATGTAAAATACTGCAATGACTCCTGGAGTTTGTGGCACTTTTATTGCTTCTGTACGGCTCACACACAAAATTGGTCATTTATAACCATTTGTCAATATTAGTCATATTTTGGCCATGCAGCATCAGAATTCCTTCTTCCTTTTTTATATTCTCTGGTCCCTGCATTGCCGCTCATACTGATTTGTGGAAATGTACTTTATATACATTTTTGAACGACTATACTTTTATTTTCAACTCGGTCTATTTTTTTCTACGTGTCCCACCTCTAGTAACAAGCAAAATGTATTTATCTGCAGCAGACATAACATTCTGTACTTTTCCATGTATGAGTTTTGCATTGGATATAAGCTTTGTGACTTTATATTTTATTGATGAATTTGGATGTTGACTTTTGCATGTAGGCTCTGTGCATCTGTTAGTCTTTTTCATTCTGCTTTTTCTGTCATGTTTCTTCCTGAGTTCATGAATGTTTAATCATATTTATGTTTGCATTTTCTATTCCAGGTGAGCTGGGAGACTGTGACCCGTTGGAGCACTCTCCGATGCTGGTTTCGGAGTTTCGTTTCACCCCTAAACAGACAGAGGCCATGGAGGCAGACATCTTCGGCAGGTGGCTGGATCTCAGGTTAAAATCCTTTTCAACTTTAATCAAATATTAATGTGTTCTGATATCAAAAAAATTTGCACTTTTAATTATTTGGCATTGTTCCCATATCAAAAAACAGCATGGATGGATCTAGAAATAACTCCATGTCTAAGCTGGTGATTTTCAAATAAAAATAATAATAAAAACAATTCTACACCTCCATCTGTTGGTAGCATATGGACAGGGCTTTAATATGAATCTGTCAATATAATGAAACACACCTAAACAGATGTATTATGAGCCTACATTAAAAAGGCAGAGTCAGATTTGAGCTGCCTAAAACCATTACTGATCATAAGTCACAATAACATAAGTTTCTAGTTTTGTTTTTGAATGCTTTTTGTGCATAAAAGTATCTTTGTGTTTGTGCCGGTCGCTCGTAGATCTGTTGGTGGTTGTTTCTCGGGTTGATGAGTTTATCTAAATTTCCCTGCTCCTCGCCTCACGCTGGACTCTGTGTGAAGGATTATCAGATTAATCCCTGCAGGTCTTGATTGATTCTGGGCAGTGTTGAACCGGCTGCAGCCTCATTGCCCTGCTCCCGTTTGGGATTACTTTCACATTTGGGATTACTTTCACATATGCTGATCTCCCGGCGACCCACGCTGAGGTCACTGTCTCTGTTAAATGTTTCTCTTGTTCATAACTTCACGAAGAAGGACTGTTTTACTCAACAAGTTAGATATCGCACGATTGGAGTATTCAAGTTTATCCAAATGTCCTAGTTACACTATGGACCCAGCTGTTTTCTGCCTCTTCAAAACTTTTTTAATTCAAATTAGTTTTGTCTCCAGTCTAAAGATATTTTTACACCTGTGTTCTTTCAATTACATCATATTAGAAAAAGGCAAGATGTATTTCCCTGCTTCTACCTGTAGGTGGGGGTGTTTCACAACCCCTGCTATTTTCTTTATCGAATATCCATGTTTATCCAATTGTGTTCAAATACTCAACACTCAAAAATTAAAAGCTAAATAGTTTCAATATCACAATTAAATTTAAGGTACCTAACTTCCAAACCACCAAACAGTTTTGTTCTATCACTAGTTTTAACATTTGTGTATTTGTTTCCTGTCACATATTTACTGACGTAAGAGTCAAATAGTGACTCACAGGGCTCTTTCTTACATGTAAAAAAAAGTTTCCTAATAAGTTGTTGTTTTGATTTACAATTTACTTTTACAAGACTGTTTCTATTTGGACAAAGAAAATTTATTATTTACGAAAGAGACGACATCTACACATGATGCACAATATTTGTTCTTTATTTATACAAAGGTATAGAATATTTACTGGTGAAAATAGTAAACATTATTCTGTAATTTACCTTAAAATGTCAAAGTATTGTTTGTTATCGATTCATTACTCGCAAAGTAACACATGCCAGACCTTTGAAAATGGCTCTGTCCACAATATTCTAATTTTGATGTTTTATTCCTGGTTTTTACAGCTTTGAGCCATAATTATCAACATGAAAAAGATATAATCTCACTTTGCGTGTAATGAGTCTCATATATTAGTTTCACATCGTAAATTCAATTACAGAAGAAAATAGACCTTTGCACAATATTCTTAGTGTCTGAGTTCCACCTGTACACACATACAGTCTATGGTACACACGCACACGCAGGTACAGACGCAGGTACAGACGCAGGTACACACACAGGTACAGACGCAGGTACACACGCAGGTACAGACGCAGGTACAGGTACACACACACACACAGGTACACACGCAGGTACACACGCAGGTACAGACGCAGGTACACACGCAGGTACACACGCAGGTACACACGCAGGTACACACGCAGGTACAGACGCAGGTACACACGCAGGTACACACACAGGTACACACGCAGGTACACACGCAGGTACAGACGCGGGTACAGACGCGGGTACAGACGCGGGTACAGACGCAGGTACACACGCAGGTGTACACACGCAGGTGTACACACGCAGGTGCACACGCGCAGGCACACGCGCAGGCACACGCGCAGGCACACGCGCAGGTACACGCGCAGGTACACACGCAGGTGCACACACGCAGGTGTACACACGCAGGTGCACACGCGCAGGCACACGCGCAGGCACACGCGCAGGTACACACGCAGGTACACACGCAGGTGTACACACGCAGGTGTACACACGCAGGTGCACACGCGCAGGTGCACACGCGCAGGCACACACGCAGGCACACGCGCAGGTACACGCGCCGGTACACACGCAGGTGCACACACGCAGGTACACGCGCAGGCACACGCGCAGATACACACGCAGGCACACGCGCAGGCACACACGCACGCACACACTTAGGCACACACGCAGATACACACGCAGGCACACGCGCAGGTACACGCGCAGGCACACGCGCAGATACACACGCAGGCACACGCGCAGGCACACACGCACGCACACACTTAGGCACACACGCAGGTACACATCCAGTCTGAATGGAGTTTAACATTGTGAGTTCAGCCCACTGTGGCTCTGACTAATATCTCTTTTTAAAACTCATTTCTTTGTGGAGTGAGTCACCTGCGCAGTGCTTCTCATGTGGCAGCGACACTGAAGTGATGTGTGTCTTTTGTGCTTCTCGCTCACAGGGGAAAGAGCCCGTCGCAGGCAGAAATCTCCTTCCTCAACAAATGCAAGTGGCTGGAACTCTACGGAGTCGACATGCACTTTGTCAAGGTGTGTGAGCGCGGAATGGGATGAAAGGACTCAAAATAGCACCTGGAAATACACGAATCCAAAGCATTACAATAAACGGGAGAATCCAGCTTCGCTTTATGAGAAAACACTTGGCAATGAAATGAGAAGAATGGAGAAAGTGACTAAAATAACCAAAATAAACAGCATTTAGAATGATTTGAAGCCACGGATTGCAGCTTTTTTGTAAATAGATGATATACTAATATAGAATGTATGTGTTAAGTTATTTGGGGCTTCTATACCAGACAAAAGAAACATGTCAGGGTAATAACATCGCTATCTTTATAATTGCTTGGTATAGAAAAAGCTTATAACTTAATCTACAAAGAAACCAGATGTTTTTATGACACTGAAGCAAACGTGTCTAATCTGAATTAAAAATAATAATAAATGAAATCAGACTTGTTTTTGTTTTGGAGATTCCAAAGGTTCTACTGTAAAATAGGAAAGCATATTTTGACCACATATAAGCCGCACTTGAATATAAGCCCATACAATCACGCAGAGGATTTTGAACCCTAAATACAGTGTCTTTATTATGACGTCAATAGAACTTTTAGTCTTTTTTTTCTTGTGCAGATTTTTAAGTGAGAAATAGCTTGTCATTATCCTCTGTGAACAAGACATTCTGTGCTCGTTCGATTTGCATATGTCATTTTAAGGCAGTCAAAATACACTCAAGCTATGATAAAAAATAGTTTAATTTTTACCACTGCCTTTTTTGTATATTTTTTATTAAAGTAAGTAAAGTGTTTATTTCAAATTGATATTATCATACAGCCAAAAAAATAAACAAGATACAGACATTTACTTTGAACAATACAGTTTGAAAAGGGGTTGTACAAAGAAAATGCTAAATTAATCAAAAGACTGTTTTAAGTATAAAGTAGTTTGTGATTTATTAGATTTACTTTTGCTTTCACTTGCTGTTGTGTAGAATGTTTGTGCTGCTGTGTGTTTCCAGGGCCGGGATGGAGGGGAATATGCGCTGGGTCTCACTCCAACTGGGATCTTGGTATTTGAAGGTTCCAACAAAATCGGCCTGTTCTTTTGGCAAGTGGTTAAAGTCTATTTTTAGTGTGTTTTGATTAAAGATGTGAGAGGTGTGCTGTATAAAGGGAGAGAACTGCTGCCAACCCAAAACAGACTGTACATTTTAGGCTAATTGCGATGATTAAACAGAACGTTCAGAATAGTCCGGGCGATTCTTTGTCACTTAATCCTCTTCAGGTGGAAGTTACTTATTACAGTGTTGCATAATCATTCATATTCTCTTCAGTCATCTTTCCTTTCATTACAGCTCACATACTAATATATATATTTTTAAAGACTTTATGTAGGATTTTGTTTTTTATTTTTAATCTCAGTCCATTTCAACCTATATTATTTAACTCATTTTAAGACATTTATGACAGCATAATTTCTGCAGGTTTTGTGAGTACTGTACTGAGGTTTGTGGAAAAAAAGTTGTAATTTAAAAACCCTGCCGGCCATCAGACTGTGGCCCTCAAGTATTACATCTACTGCTGCTTGTTGATTTTACTGTCATTGTTTTTATTTTCAACATATGTTCAATGTATAACAACAGGTTTTTACAAGAAGTCATTTTTTTCCACAGGCCTAAAATCACTCGTCTGGACTTCAAGAGGAGCCGCCTCACGCTGGTCGTAGTGGAGGACGATGAGCAGGTTTGTACTTGAATACTGTTTAACACCTCATTAACACATATATATAAATAAATGAATAACATACATCTGTTACTGTATATTTCACAGGGCCGGGAGCAGGAGCACACGTTTGTCTTTCAGTTGGCCAGCTCCAAAAGCTGCAAAACATTGTGGAAGTGTGCAGTCGAAAGCCATTCATTCTTCCGGTTACGTCAACCTGGCAACGGCAAAGCCAACCGCAACGACTTCTCCAGATTGGGCTCACGATTCAGATTCAGGTGAAAACTTGCAACGCACGGGTGATATAAACACACATATAAACACACACAAACATTGGACTGAAAGCTTGTGATGTCGATGTACAGACTACAATAATGTCCTCGCTGCTCTTTTCTGCTGACTTTAACCAAAAACTACTTCAAAATGAATAATCTGCAAGAAAGTCTCTGCTCAGACTGCTGCCTCCTCAACCCAGCCTCAATTTTAGAGTTTTATACTTTTACACTAGATCTACAATATCTTATTATGAGTGCTCCTTTTTGCTCTGTGGGACAAATACAAACTCTCTAATCTTATTTGAGATGAAGCGAAGAAAAAGGATGCAATAAAAAACTAAATAATATAGAAACTAAATTCCAATTTTCAATCGCAGCCCAAACCAGACCATTACAAACTCTACAACCAACTTCCAGCGATAATACTTTTATATAGCAAAAGAAAGATGATGAATACAAGAATAAAAACACATACAATACAAGCATAACTAACCGAGGATAGTTTTAAACATTAAAGCCTGAAGTCCACGGCCAAAGGAAAGGTCTTTGCATCGGTCCATCTTCGCTGGTATCACTTTATTTTCTTAAATGATCTGACGAGGCTATTTTTCATTGGGAACATGACTTCAACCACATCTGTCCAGACACTTCTGTTACTCCCCCCATTTCATCTGCGTTTACAATTTACATAATCTACCTGAAAATGTTTTCCTATGTGCCGCATGAAACTCGGGGCCAATCAGGACCAATCAAGAAATCCAACTGCGTCCTTCAAAGACTGATGACACGCTCCAAACCAAAATATATATTGACCAAATCAGGTGCGATACCAAACCACAGAAACTAATGAAGGATGAGACCAGGAAGAGAACGCAAGTTACTTCTGCAACTGCCACAAAGTATTCAACAAGTGTCTTGTACACTGAAGTGCAGCCTCATTGTCTGTGGTTACATGTACTCTGATCATTTGTTTGTTTTCTTGCTACTCCATTATCCGACACGACAAAAGCTAATTCTCAACGCAAAGCCACGTCCGGACAAACAATGAACTTGTGAACAAAGGCTCATCAAATCTGAAACTATTCCATGTACTTTGGATTCTGTACTTTGCTTTAGGACTACACGATTATTCTTAATCAAATACAATCATCAATTTTCAAAAAGTATTATAGCAAAAAAAATCTACTCAGACTTTAACAAATTCAGATTTGATCTACTATTAGGAAAATGTATAGTTAAAGGTATATAGGAGGATCTTTTACTTGGTAATCCGGGTGGATCATCAAGACTATTGGTCCTCCCAATTGTCAGTTGTTCTGGTGATACGTGCTCGTCAAATAAGACCAGAGAGTTTTGTTCAAAAAATGGAGAGGGTCAGTTCTGAAAATCCTTTTATATACCTTTTAATGAGCTTATTTAGGTGAATCCCAACGCGTTTCCCAGGCCATGGTCCCTCCAGTGTGTCCTGGGTCTTCTCTGCATTCTCCAAAAAGGCCTCCAGGAAAGCATAAAAGATGTATCCTAAAGAGATGCTCTGGAGGAGCAGCAACTCTAGTCCAAGCTCCTTCCGTGTGACTGATCTCTAAAGAAGCGTCCAGCCACTTAGAGATCACTAGTTTGGGCAGCTCATATCCACAATGTTGTTCTTACAGTCATTACTCAAAGCTCATCACAATAATATATAATATTGTGACATCCTCAGTAGTAACAACAAGATGCATGTTCAGGAAGAGGAGAGTGTTGAGAAACTCATTAACTACAGCCGCTTCATAATCCTGTAATGAATCACCTCAGCCTCAGTGTAATATCCTGTTGTTGTGTTGTTCACTGTTGCCAGTGGGAAGACTGAGTACCAAGCCACTCACGGCGGCCGGCTGAGGAGAGCCAGCACCTTCGAGAGGCGGCCCAGCAAGAGATACCCATCCCGCTCCCAGTCCCTGGGAAAAGGTGACGCTTCAAACACATGTCCTGGTGCACATAATTTATAGCTTTGCACTGAGCAGAAGATATAACATCTGGTCTGGCTTAAAATCCTTTGAATCAGAATGTTTCATACTTTAATATTTTTGTCCTGACAAATCTATATGTGTATATACAGTATATATCACTTTGACTTTTGATATCAAGTAATTTTGCTTGGGTTTGTTATGAAAAAACAAATTGGCATCAAAAAAATTAAAAGTACAGATGGATTTGTAAAATAAATGTTTGATTTAACCTTTTCACCAGTGCAAGAGAGGTCAGATTTAATTGCCACTGGAGCACAGAAATCTCACCAACACTTCACCGGAAAATCATAAAAGAAGCAAAAATACTGGAGGTTCATTGTGTAAATATAAATGATCAAAAACAGTTGCACGTTAAGAACACCAATCTTTTCTGTTGACAAGTTCCAACTTTTTCTCCCTTTGATTTCATGGCACACTGACCCGACAGTCTAGACGTGAATGTAACGTTTTGAGCACAATAAAGATAAAATGTCTTTTTTCTGTTTTCCAGCTGCCATTTCTCCCATCAAGCCACTACACATCAGGTAAACCAAGACATGTCACTAAACTGTTTTATAATTGTGAGAAATATTCATTTGTGCAACCTTGACCCTAATACTCAGACGACCTAAACCTGACCTCAAATGTAAAAAAAAGATTCTGCCACCATCTCCTGCTCTGAAGTGAGTAAACTAAATATGTGTGTTTTTTCAGTGCACATGCGAGTCCGGATCCTGGGCTTCATCGTGTAAGTGAAGTTTGTACAGTGTTTTATGACTAAGTTACGTTCACACCAATAATCCACTCATTCATACAAATGACCCCTGAACCAACGAGTAATCTACAATCTATTCATTTTCACTCATTCATGTGATGATTTAGAAAATACTGTAAAAAGACGTTATCAACTTAGTTGATCATAATTGTATTCATTGGATTTGACTTGACAAGGTCCAAACTATACACAATTCATAAAAAAAACACATTGGAATATTTGTGCAAAAATACCCAGTATGCACTTGGACAACAAAACACTGAAAACAGAAAAACATATCATTTCTATTGGCAGAAACTGGAATCTACAGTGTAATCTGTAAAAAAAAAAAAACTGAAATATGTATAACACACGCACATTTGTGATTCAGGTGAAGTAAAACAAACACAAACACGTACACCCCACCCCATCTGTTTAAATGCTCCTATCTCAAACTTGGTACACTTATGACGAATCTCCAGATGACGTCATAGACAGAGCAATATTGTGCCTTTTTTTTTTTTTTTAAAGCAAGGATTTCCTCAAAATACTATCAATTTCTCCAGTCAATTTAAGTTGTTTTTTCACCTGCAGCTTCAATTAGACCACGCCATCTCGGATTTAAGTGTAAATGTAGCAGAGTGTAATTCCACACTTTACCACTAGATGACAGTGTTGGCACATTCTAGTTCTCTCTTAATTACTTGGTCATGTTTTAGTAATTATCAAGGTTACGGGACACAATGAACACGTATACGACAAATGTGCACAAATTAAGATATGTTTTTGCCAAATTTGCTTATTTTTCATGACTCTTTGCAGTGTAGCTGTAATCTGGTGCAGAACATACTGTATCTCTCTCTGATCTTAATGTCTCCGTTCACTGTCCCTTCAATAAAGATTAACATAACTGTGCTTTTTTATTCTTCAGTACCAGCACAATATTCCTATGGCCCGAGACTCGTGGCACATGGGCCAGACCGCGCTCACGGCCCCGGTTTACCTGCAGCCATCAGGACACACGCCTCCGCACAGGTACAAACTACACAACCATTTCACATCATCTTCAATAAACCAGGACTGAGAATTAAAGGACAAAAGTAACCATTAATATTACAACATTGTTTGTGAGCTGGGTGTAATTATTTTAGACTAAAAAGGTTTGGGTCAACATACAACTGTGTTTTCCATGAACTCTCTCTGTTGGATTCATGCGCTAACATCAGAGCACAAAGGCTACTGTAATAATCTCTACATTCCATTTAGAGCCTCTAGTTTAACTTTGGCAAAAGGCAAAACTGTCACAAAGTTCATCACATCTTTGTCGGTACATATCAACTTATTGATTTGTCATAAAGGTGCCTAGAAGAGGGGACAATATTTATAAAAATACAAATGATGAACTTGCATAATCTTGGCCAGTAGAATGGACTTTCAGAAATAAGATTAATATGGTGAATGTGTAAATCTAATAACTATAAATTAATTATCTTAGAAAACATTTGGACGTTTTATTTTTCGAAATCTTTCAAAAATTGGCTTTTTTCCCACAGAATGCTAGATCATGAACGCAGCCTGTTGGCAAACACAATGTAGCATTAGAACGCTAATAGGATTTTAGCATTGTCTAATAGGATTTTGATAGGAATCTAATTTAATTAAATTTGTAACAATAATCTAAAAGGATTATTTGAGGAGGGATGGAGCGATGTTTGCCTGAAATAATCCTCTGTACGCCGCCCCATGTTGCTATTCCATTCAATATCACTCATTTCCAGGTAGAGTGGAGTAGAGTAGTCATTTATTTCCAAATAATTAATAAAATGGTGCTTTATAAAAACAAAACAAAATTACATTCCTTGATCATCCCAAACATTAGTCATTGTTTAATATGAAATGTTTTTGGTTCAATACTGAGATATTTAGGAAAAACATATAATAGAAATTTAAAAAACAAAACGGCAAAATTTGGATTAAGTGTCACTGCACAGAGATAATGATTTTAGGTTCAGGAAATACATTTCTTACAAAATCTTTAGAGTGGAAAGAGTGACACCTTTCTGACTGTCTTGTTTTACTGCTCAAACACCTGAATTCTAACATTGGGTCTTGGAACTCATTATGAATGTACTGATAATCTCCTAAAGATAATCCAGATTTGATCATTTAAAGTTAGACACATTTTCTGACTTGCCTTTTTGTTGTAATATTTATTTAATATTTAACTAACTAATTTAAATATTTGTCTTAAATGCTCATATTTTACGAAAATCAAATCACCCCACTGGCAGATCATTTCACTTGCTTACAGTGCTTTTCAAACTGAAATGGGGGATATTTGTCCTAGTTTTGTGAGGGGCTACATTTGCAGTGGGCCATCCTGTTGTAATTCACCTTTATATTATTTTTGGTGGTTTTCTCTACCACTCGGGGGTAATTTCTTTTTTTCAAACTTTTCAAAAACTTGTGATCAACACTGAGAGCAATTGCAGTGTACTAATCGCTAGTACATTTTTTTTTTTTTTTTTAATCTAAATTAGTCCCTTTTCACCTATTGCCCAGGACCCAGGTATATACAGCCCCAGTCCAGCCCTAGCTTTGATGTGTTGTGAGTTGATTCTCAGTCCTGCCATCCTCATTAATCCACCTCCTCTTGTTGTCATCCTGTCTGTGTCCATTCACTCGTGCCGTGGTCGTCCGTCACGTTCAGAAATGCTCCTTCGAGTCCTGTTTCGGCTCGACCCCCGGTGCCCCAGAGGACCGTCAGCATCCTGAAGTCTGCCAGCCTGGTTCATAAGGACAAAGTCATGACTGCACTTTGATGCTCACTTTAGAAACACTTAGCCACTTTGAGACGGTGTGAATGTACCCCAAAGAGCAGCCACAGAAGACTCTACACTGGGGTGAAACTAATGCTGAAAAATGGTGCCTTTACTTTTGTCAACAACCTCACCGGGGCCTGAGGGGGACGGGGATATCGACCTGAAAGCACTACTTTATCAAATGTTGTTATTTTACTGCACACTGTGGGACTAGAGGAGGGCACTTTTTCACAAGGCTTTACCTGCATTTGATTCCAGCAAACACTCAAACTTTATTTCACATTATTTTATTTTAAATGGCATTTTAATAAGTAGTTAAGTTTCGCTTGACAAAACCAAGAGCAGGGGTCTCCAAACTTTTACCCTCTGAGCTATGTTTGTTTTCAGGACAAAAGTGGCAGTGAACTCCTCCTTTAGACCGAGGAATGGTAGTCCACATAATGTTTTTTTTTTATCTTGATTTGAGAGCATTTTGACATTCTTTTAAACAAGATTTTCAAACAGAACAACCAGCGTTAGTCTTATTTGATTGTTTTAAGGCAGTCAACATGTTTTAAAATGAATGCAGCTACATTTTGACAATATATTTTACAGTGCAGTTTCACCGACCCATAAAATAATCAACTCTCGGCTATTAGTGCACAAAGCTAAAGGAGCCATTTGCAATAGTTGTAAACATGTGACTCATAAAATGATCCTGTTACTTTAAAAGGGCGATGTTTGTTTGCGATGACATCATGCTCGCTGTTTTCTGACATTTAAAAGAAAAATAATGGTCATGAATTAATTTTGTCAAGTGAAATTATGTTCTTTAGAATCACATAACAGTGGTTGCAGCTGGTTATTTTCAAATGTAGAAAGAAAAACCAAAACACCTCCCTCTGGTGGTAGCATAGGGTTATGGCGGGCCGATAGCATTATTTTTCCATTTGTTTCACCGTATGTTCTCTATTTAAGATCATATTTCACATTCTAAAACATGAGTAGGTCTCATTATTATTTTTATTTGCCAACAAAATGCAGAATATTTCTCCTGACACGGCTGAATTTGTAAGCAGCTTGTGGTTGTGCACATGTCTGTCCCTCCGTGTTTGGGTATTTAGCTTTGACCCATCATCCCAAATCTTGCACCAGAGGTAAAAATCCTCCTGCTCAGGTCTAGATCAAACCGAGAGAGTTGTCCCTGTCACACAGCCGCAGCTCTCCGCTCCAGCAGCACCGAAGCCAATCATTCAGACACGATCATTGAATTATCCTCATTAGCTCAAAACCATGTCATTGTTTATTAGTGAACGCTGTAGTATCTCTTTTTTTCCTCTTTTAATGATGCATGTTGTTTGTCCCAACTGAAAGATTCTTGTGAAAGTAAACTATTATGAACAAATCCGACCACTTCATGCTGTCTTTATCTGTTATCACTGTAACATGTTATCTTTTGCACACGTGTAAAAGGTTCTTCCAAATCACGGGTTGACCCTTTGGGCTGAGAGCTGATTGGCTGAGTGACGGTGGTCCTCTCAATTTCACTTGTCTGTCTGTTAAAGCTGAGCTACAGATGTAAAAGAAGCCAAACTGTTTTAAAGTTTTTTTTTAATGGATTATTGCATGGATCCATTTGGTCTTCTGATAGATTCTACAACTACAAGACCAGAGCGGTGTCAGTTTCTTCCTCCCTTGACATGTCTCGTCAGCTGTTTTACAGTTTTTGGCACCGTCTTCCTACCACCTGTAACCGGGTTTAAGGTTTGAAAGTTTGGTACCCCAGCTTTAAATGATAACGGGTATTATAGTTGTCTTTCTTCACTTGTCTAGGTTGATTTGAATAAAAAATACTGTACTCTGCCTGACCAAAAAAGAAGAAATATGTTAATGTTATGTTAGCTTTGATTACAGAACGCCTTCCCTCTGGAGTTGTTTTGAAAATCTTCTCCAAAGACAGAACATTCATTTCCACAGTGTTCATACTTTTGATTTGAGAGTTAAATCCTTACTTTCCAGCACATATCAAAGATTCTGAGTGGGGATGAGATCTGATCCCTGCGGGGCACGTGTTAAAATGACACTTACATCCGTTCAGAGCAGCTTTTATGGGCACCACCTGACTCTGATCTTAAATCGAGCTGAATCCACATGGAGGCTACTTATGTAAGTAGTAAGTAAGCTTTTATTTATATACCGCCTTTTCACTGCACATCGGAGTCTCAAAGCGGTTTACAATTGTTATTTTTTTTTACTTATGGTCATCTCCTGAACCGTACTATATCTTCATCTGTCTAATGTTAATGTTCTTATCCTGCATTACGTCACCCACCTCTGTCCTCAGCCATTCATCTTCACCAACATCTAGAAGAAGCCATTTTGATGTCTCTTTGTGTCTGTGTTTTGATGTACTTGTGTCGTGTTTATGTTGGAATGATGTCTGTGCTGAAATGACACTTCTATCGTAAAGTTACTGTAGCTCAGTGGTTTAGTAATGCTTTCACCGAGAATGTGGTCGAGTTTGGTAGAACAGTACGATGTTTACAAGACTGGACTAGTTTGATGTTTACTTCAAATGTGCTGAAACAGTGGCTCAAAGGGAAATGTATGTTATCAATAGGAAAAAAAAGATATTTCAGAGCCAAAGTTAAGATTCCTGTGACCTGTCCGTTTGAAGGTGCACTCTTAATGATAACAACCTTCACACTGGAATAAAAAGTCATATTTGAATTTGATTTGATTTGATTTGGGACATTTTTTGCCCGTTTCAAGCACAGCGCTGCAGTGTATCTCATTACAAAAGGGACATATCTTGATGTGAAACTAATTGTTTTATGTTTTGGTCGAAATAAACTACTGATGAACAACAAAACAAACAAAGGGTAAGGAGTGCTGCGTGGTACAAGCGTGTAGAATTATTAAATTACTATTTTCGTGGGTTTTTTCAAATAAATTATAACTGTCACACACAATTCTCCACCTCATAGATACACAGGGACGTTGCTTGAAAGAACTAATTGTAAACTATCAAAAAGAGACATTTGGGCAAAGATGGAGTGTGACTTCTCCTGATGCCTGATAAACATTATCTATTGAGATAAAACAAAATAAATGTCGTAATAAAATGGACATAAAAACTACTTTCTTTGCAGTGTTTGTCTTCATTTGTTTGGCAAATGGAACAAGTAAATATTTCGTGTTTTACTTAGAATAAGATACGTTTTTCTCACATCGGAGAAGAGAAAATTGCTTAAACAAAAAACACATGTTATTTCCGAAATTCATATGCATTTTGACTAAATTGATGTATTTTCATTTATACAGTGAAATGTTTGGGAGCATTCCAGGCAACGCATTCATATCTGTAGGTTCAGCTATAGTTGCAGCTTTTGTAATTTGCTAATACATGATTTAAAGCTGGTCTAATTAACTTATTTTCTGTAATGCATTTAGTTTATCCCAAGAGAAAGAGTCTTGTAAATGCAAATTATAATGTACCGTATTAGTCTTGATCTTATGCAAACTAGAGCCTCATGAGTCCATTTATTCACTTTTGGGGATGACACTTTTTCACTTTTCTGGCTAAATAGCAGCTGTAACAGAAGCAAAAGAAATTCTGAATGTTAAAACTAGTGATACAAACTCGTCATGAGCTTTTAGAAGTATAAATTGTAAAATGTTTGGGTCAATAAATGAATGTGAATCTTCCAGCCGTATGTACTGTGCCATGTGCTGGGATGTGTTGCTTGCAGCTTCCCTCTGAGTGGCCCCAGCTCCGGACACCAGTTTAGGGAAGAGGACAAGACTCTGATGTCTGGGAAATCCCATCGACATCACAGACGGCACACGCACAGCCAGGACGCACTCTGCCACTCTCACCACAACAACCGTGAGTATTTCAATCACACGTCTCTTTAAGATTAAGGTTAATGGATGCTTTATTCGTCCCACAGTGAGGACATTTCAGTGTTTTATCACCAGTTACAGAACAGTATGAATGAAGAGCACACAGCACAAGATAACTGAACAATAACTGTATAATAAAATAAAATATAAGCTCTAACTTTAGCATGATAAAGAAGATCTAAAATAAACTTTAGCATAATAAAGAAGCAAGAATTAAGTATATATGATATTTTTATACTCTATCCTCTATACGTGAACAAAAATGGTTAAAATCTTTTTACACAAACAAGAAAGAGACTAAATAAAAAACCTCAAAATATATAGTTCTACCTTTGAGCAACTACCGGTGAAAACGTGTATGTTTATCATAATCTGGTTTATTCCCTCTGTGTCTACAGATTACAGTATCATTAGATCATTAATGTGCCTCAAATAGATGACATACAGTAAGTATATCCCACAGCTCCTCCCTCTGCCTGTAACCCAGTCTTCTCGTTAAGAGAGATGTATGGGCTGTCTTACATGCTTTGCTCTTTTGGGGTCAATCCACAGATTTTATGTTATATTTAGCTCTGAAGACAGTAAAGGACATTGTGAAACTTTCACTTTATGTACAGTTTGACCCGGTGTGGAACCTTACCTACATATGTTGTCCTGTGGACCCCTGTTATACCTGTATTACTGCTAAAACATATTTGACCCATCCACAAAGCCTCGAGGGCCGAATAAAAACAATAGGAACTGGTCGGGGCCTAAATAATAGAATGGATTATTACATTATGAAGATATTTTGACATGACTCGTGTGACATGAGTTTCAGTATTATTTCCTGGTTACTTTTTCTGAAAACAAAATGTGTTTATTATTTAGATTGAACTAAAACTGGACCAAATATAACGTAAAACAATTGTTTTTTTATCCAATTATTTAACTTCTAATGATGTGTTGGGTTTAAAAGTTAGAATAAAATAACATGCCTTGGTACAGATTGTAATTTCAATCTGATTATCAGAGTGTAATGCACAAAAGAATTTTGAAAATCCAAAACACCGGTGACGTGTTGCAGGAGGTTACGTGACAGTGGCATAAAAGACATCGCTTGGATCCAATTGTGCAGTCGTATTTTTTTTTTTTTGTACCTGATCAGTCCAATACTCATGTCGTCCATCCTCTAAAGCTAAGCAGTGCATTGTCTGGTCCATGTTTGGATGGGAGACTACTATATAATGTCAGTTAGTACCACAGTACGGTGGCTTGTGTAGGTTTCCTCCGGGTGCTCCGGTTTCCCATACCGCTAAAAATACAATAGGTCATACAGGAGATATGACCCTGCTCCCGTCTCTGTGAGGAGAGAGGCGACACATGCCCACAACAATTGTAAAGTGCTTTGATTACTTACTTACTTAGTTACTAACTGATATTCTGGCTATTGAAAGTAGAAGTCTCAATACTTAATAATAATAATAATAATAATATAATATATATTATTATTATTATTATTATATATAATAAATATTTTTATTTGAGTCCTCCACTTATCGGTACATAACTTTACAACTTTTTACTTTTACTCCTCACTTTTGAACCTAAATATGTGTACTTTCTTCTCCTTGCACTGTAAACGGACACGTTACTTTGCAGAAGTACAAGATTGTTCATTTAGTCAACATTTGACTTTTCACTGCTCACGTTCTTATTGAAGACATCACAGCCGGCAGTTGTCTTGCAATAAGAACCTAAGCTGTAAAATAGTTACTTCACAGATGAAATAAATAAATAAATATAAACTGGACGGAATTGATTCGACATGCTTCTAATATAATTATTTGTTGTAGTTAGCCAAGCTTCTAAGTTCCACCCATTCAGTTCTGTTGTGATTTCAGTATGAAATGTGTCTGAAACAATGAAATATAATTTTACAGTGCTGTAAAGTCAATCTTTTTACTTCAAGGTATATAGGAGGATTTTCGACTTCCGGGTGGATCATCAAGACTATTGGTCCTCTCAATTGTCAATCATTTTGTTGATGAGTAAAAGTATAAAAGTATAAGCTGTCATATGTGCTTAACTAAGTAACTAAATAATTTCAATTTAGTTTCCACATCAAAACAATTTCTGCACAGTTACATTAAAATGATATAGGTTTTGAATCATGATTTATAGAATGTCCAGAAAAGAAGCATTTTAAGCTCTTCACAGTGGGAGAAACTTACGAGTTTGTAAACCACAGCTAGCACAAATGTTTCAACGAGAACGAGGACGAGGAAAGAAACTCAAAAAGACAATTATACAAAGACACTCTTATTACCTCCAATAAACTATTCATGATTTGTCTTCTGTCACACATGAATCATTCCTTGCGACACATTTCCCATGTGGTTGCAGAGCACAGAGCTGGTCGCTGCGCCGCAGATGGACTGGACATCTCCCAGACTTTGCTCAAAGCTCTGGAGTCTGACAGCGACTCTCCTCCGTGGCCTTCACTGCACCTCAACATCGACAACAAGGTCACTATACCACACCTGTCCCCTTTAATGCTATTGTTTTGTTGTGGTTTACTATTGACAGCTGCTCAAATGAATGATAATATTTTCCATTCCACATTGATTTGAATTGATTATATTTATTTCAAACCTGCCCAAGACGTATTCAAAACAATTATAAAATAAATCCACATGGTTTGAAAAGGGACTGGACACAGAGTTATTAGTGCGTTATTAGTTTTTCCCCCATCGCAAGAATGTCCTGGATTTTTATTATAATTGATAGTACTTATATGACACCCAAATAGGCTTCACATGGCATTTTTCATTCTCTCCATACACTGGTGATAAACTCCTACAGTAGCCACAGCTGTCCTGGGGCAGGCTGAGGAAAGCGGAGCAATAACCTGTGCCCTTCTCACCGCGACCGATCATTCATGCAAACACAGACCTGATGTAGCAAAGATAGACATTACACCAAACCGTCTTTGGTGATCTTGCTCCATCTCGCTCCATCTTGCTCTGTCTCGCTCTGTCTTGCTCTGTCTCGCTCTGTCTTGTTCTGTCTTGCTCTACAGTATCTTTCTCCATCTTGCTCTGTCTTGCTCTGTCTTGCTCTGTCTTGCTCTGTCTTGCTCTACAGTATCTTTCTCCATCTTGCTCTGTCTTGCTCTGTCTTGCTCTACAGTATCTTTCTCCGTCTCGCTCCATCTTGCTCTGTCTCGCTCTGTCTTGCTCTGTCTCGCTCTGTCTTGTTCTGTCTTGCTCTACAGTATCTTTCTCCATCTTGCTCTGTCTTGCTCTGTCTTGCTCTGTCTTGCTCTACAGTATCTTTCTCCATCTTGCTCTGTCTTGCTCTGTCTTGCTCTACAGTATCTTTCTCCGTCTCGCTCTGTCTTGCTCTATCTCACTCTATCTAACTCTATGTTGCTCCAGCTTGCTCTATCTTTTTCTATCTTTCTCCGTCTCGCTCCATCTTGCTCTGTCTCGCTCTGTCTTGCTCTGTGTGACGTACTGTGGAGCATTGTAGAAAATTAAACGCGTAAAATTCACTAGTTAAAGGGCAGCATTTTACTCTTCCAGAAACTAAAACCAGTCTGAGCCAATGTGGGATGTTTAGACTAGAAGAGAACAATCTAACATGTTGATACACAAAGTTGGCTTGTGTATGCTGAAAATAACCTCACATTTTGTTCAACCCAATGACTGATTATGTTACTCTCTTGACTCTGGTCTTTTCAATGTAATTTTGTATTCAATTGTTCAACTTCAACAATTAATGCATATATAAAAATAAAACATTCCCACAGTAGATGCTGTATGGAATCTAGCTTGGCCTAATCCGACCATTATTATAGAGTACGAAATGAAAAGAGTATGATGGTATAGTAAGGCCAGGCTAGATGCAATTAGGTGTATCAAAATAAACAAATATATGTATTTACAGAATTGTTAAACTATTTGGTGGATCACTGTTTGAGTCACTACCTACTTGAAACATGTTTTGGAACTTAAATCTAACTAATCGGGGCATTTCTAACTAACCAAGCTGCATCTCAACCAGTTTGTAAAGGCCCACAGTAAGAAAAAACTAGGAATTAATATAAAAAAACAAATTAGTTGTGTTTTTAGGGCTCTCACATCCTAGAAAACCAAAAGAAAAATATACATTTATTATGCATTCAACAACAGAACTTTCCAAAACACGGTTAAAGTTGTTAAAACTTTACGTCAGGGAGAAGAGAAGCCGCTGTGTGACAAGTCCTTGCTGCCGCCCGCCTCTCCCGCCGCGCTGTCCGACCATCATAAGAGCAACATTCTCCTGGGGCAGATGGAGGCTACGTTCAAGGTCAGGATCAATGAGAGGAATTCATAACTCTGTCTATAACAGGCTGAACATCTTTAAAAAAGAACTGGGGCAAGTTGTGTGGTTTACTTTGACTGGGAAGCTTCATCTCATCATCCAGTCCACTCCTCCTTCTCATCCTCGTCTTCATCGCCTGCATGGTCCTGTCTCTGCCCCACACACTTTCACAGTTAAAGCAGAGCTGTGACCCTCTTATGTCTTTGAAGGAGCCACAGTCCTTCTTCTGTCCAGCTGCATCATTGACCACCAGCAGTGTCCAGACCCTGGGGGATTGTGATTTCATGCGGGAAAAAAAATAAAATAAAAGTCCACACAAACCAGACACTCAAATCACCAATTTATTTTTGTTCACCACAGGATGTTTTGTGGTTGCCGTTCTTAAGACATTTGCAGAAGCCACAGCAGCTGATTGGTCATGTGATCTCTTTAGAATGCACACAGAGGAAAATGATTTCATGAAACAAAAACAGGATGTTGAAAGTGCCGTCTATAGGTATATGATGTGTCACCATTTGACCATACTGATGTACTGTTCTTTTAATCATCTTTATTCATAATTAACCTTTCACTCAACAATGTAAAGTGTTTTACAGTTCAATGTGTATCCGTCCAACAGACCCCTGCTCTGTGCCGAATGAATAATAATCTTGTTCCTTGTTCTATTTAGGGGTCTCCAGGTTTTTCTGATTATTTGACAAAGAAAATAACAGCACAAATATTCATATAAGTAGTGACTCAATACACTCAGGTTTGTGCTCTCCCTCGTTCCAAAATGACCACTTTGGATTCTAACTGAATCTGTGTATGAATAAAACCAACATTTATCTGTGGTCTCTTAGATGAGGCTCACAATGTTAAAATGGCTCGATTCTTATTTCCAGAATAAGTGTTATGCTGCTTGTTGATGCTTAAACCAAATTTTAATCTCCATAATCAACAAATCATTAACCAGTGCTAGTGCAGCTTCAGCGGCAGCTACTTGGATGTTACCTGGTGTCTACAACCAGTGTGCCATGGACTTTAGTGTGCCTTGAGATGTTGTTTGGTGCCTTTGGGAATGAACCAATTTCACCTCATTGGTCGAAAAACAATGTGAGAAAATTAGAGAGACTTTTAAATTAGAAAGACCTGATTTCTATACAAAATACTTAGACAAGATTGACTTTACATTGTTGATAAAGGCCGCTTTTTGGTACCAGTTTCAACTTGTGACGTGTGATTGTTTTCGATAGTGATTAGTTTACAGTAAAGACCAGCAGGACTCCTTTAAGCTAAAATCAGCTACAGTGGTTTTCCCCTCACTTTTGTTCACATCATGTTTGCTTTTGTTACAGGAGGCTCCAACAACTCCTCAAGGCAAGAGTTCAAGTGAGACCTTCAGTGACAGGTCAGTCATCTCTTACTGTGTTTTTCCAGTGCAATTCTCTCAGCTGGAAACGTGAAGACTTTGATCCACAAGAGAAACCACTTGGACACAGGCTCAAACAGTAAAATGGAACTTGTGAACTTATAATAACGAGTCTGTTAGGTTCAAGTGCATTGGTTGTATTGTTTCATATGTAAAAAGTAAACATGGGGGTAGCAACTTATCTCATTGTGCACGCCACGGTGATTGTATGGATAAAATGATCTCCCAGTTCACCAATAGGAAATACCAGATGAGGGGCCGTTCATGTGCGATTTACCTCTCAACAAGTGATATTTACTATAATTACCAGAGCACATTAAGGGATAAGGGCTCAGAGCTAGAGCTAAGGCAAAGAATTCAGATTCAGCCTAAGGTCATCTATGAAAGTGGTCTTGAATCATTCACTGGGAGGGAACCTGCTTCTCCTCTATGGTCCAATACTCAAAATTGCACTTTTTAATTATTTTTTAGATATCAGAGCTCTTCTCAAGACTCCACTACGTCCAATTTGACCTCTGACAAAACATCGCAAAGACTGGAGTTCAGTTCAGATGCCGAAAGATCAAAAGCAGACGCCAGCAGCAACCGTAGGAAACGCCTGGTCAGACAGTTCAGCTTGTAAGTATCAACAATCTTTAAAATAGATCACTATTGTTTGTCTTGGTTTGAGTGAAGTTTAAGTGATTTGATCTGATAATTTTTCTCTCTAGCAACATCACTGCAGATAGGTTATACAGATAGGTTTTGATTAACTAATATGCCTTCATTGACTGAGCTGAAGTTGGCTGGATGACCCTGTAAACTCATGATCTTTGGGTTAGCAAGGCAGAGAGCCACGTAAAATTACACAGAGGGCCACAATTGGCCTGCGTGCCGTAGTTTGGAGATGCCTGATTCATACAAAGTCATGATTTTCTTATTGCATGTAGTTGTGAAAAATAGACCTTAAGAAAGTTCAAGTTCTATGGAGATAATTTATTTCAGGGACTGGAAACATATCATATTTATGAGTAGTAGCAGTAGTTTATTTTGAAAAGCAATTGTTGTTTTGAATCAGAAATGCTCTCATTTAGCTTGAGTTTAACCTGTTGTTTTCATGGCCATTCCCAAAGTAATCATGAAGACGAGGACAATCTCCCAGAAGCCCTTGCTGCGATCTCTTCTGAAAGCACGGCTAAGTCTGGTTCTTCAGGCTCCTTGGACCGTCAGATACAGCCGTCCATATACACCCAGGTGAGGAGCAGGAGGAGACGGGCTTTCAATGTTTCTGCCTTATTGCCAATGCTAAACAAAGCCATTTGAGTTATTATTATTTATTATATTTCATTCCATACATTCCACAGTAAACACGCAGGTAAACCTTGGTTCAAATTATTAACAGTTATGCGAGACTTCACTTAAATATGCGCTAAGTATACTTTCTGTCAAACCCAAGGAGGTAGGGAGGTAAATACATACCTGCTTGAAGAATAAGTATTTATAATTGTATAAGTGATATTAACAGTAAAAGTGAATAGTTATATAGTGTGAGACAATTATTAACATTATAACAAATAAAAGTTTGGTGTATCTCACTTTGCATGTAATTTGTTCCACATAATTTATTGGTTTCAAATTGTAAGGTGAAGGTTGTATATTGTGCATAAAATATCAGTACATTTTGAAGAATCTAGCCGTAAAAACCTGACAGGATCTACAGGTACAGTAATATCAATTAATGTGAACTAGGAAAGAAGAAAAACATTGTGACTGAAACTTTGACATCTCTGCAACTGCAAGTGTCCATGTAAACTCTTATGTTTTTCATTTTTAAAACTACTCAGAAAAGAACACTACAAATTCTGTGTAACTTATATCCACCAACACAAACCAGTATCCATGAATCGTGAGGTTGTGACTGTCTCTTTGTAAGGCGTCCTTGACTTCCTAGAAAGGCACCAAATGAATAGAATATGTCATTGTTAATATTATTATAATAATTATTGTAGTTCTACAAATTACCGTAATACATTCCCATTACATTCTGCTCTATCTAATGTGTGTTGTGCAGTTGGAGAGCATGCCGGCCCTGGACGTGGCTCCCTCTCCTCTGGCCTCTCCTCACCCGTCTCCCTCATTCTACCAAAGCTCCAGCCCTCACCTGCAGGACCCGTACATCGCTGCACAGGAAAACAGGTGATACTGCTTTACACGAGAGGAGAGGGGACAAGATCACTGGCCACGTCCCCTCTGAAGGACTGTGACTGGGACTTTTATCCAGGAAGTATTGTTTATGTGGTCGAAGAATCTTTAGAGCTCTTTAATCATTTCCTACATCTGCATGCGTGAGGGTTTCAGGACCAACAATGTGTTTTTTGGCCAACACCATTTTGTGGCTGTGTAAATTCATCAAATAGGTCGAAGTTCAGGTCTACTTTATTGTCCCTGAAATTTGCCACTGTCGGTGGATGCTCTTGGTCTGGACCAGAGTTGGAGGATTTCACGTTGTTAGTAGAAGGGGAATCTGGGTGCTAACCACTCAGCCACTGCACTGGTTTAATGCATCTAGTGTATTCAGTATGAAAAGCATTTGCAAATGTTGGACTAAAAGGTCCAACATCATTAAGAATGATCAATCCTTGTTTCAACCTCAGTGATCTGACGGATTTTGGGCCTAAAGTGACAAAAGACAAAACTGTTCTGTTCCCATAATAATAAAATTGATTTGAAATGTGATCAACAGGAAGATACATTTGTTATTGTCACTGGACCAAATCGTGTATAACTCCTGAACAAGGGAGTTTGATGAGTGTTATGTAAAAATGTGCCTGTTCTCCATCTCCTCTCTGTGAACTAAAATGCTCTGTAACTTATGATTATCCAAGTCCTGATCTCTCTAAACCTTTCTAATCTTTACATTTGATTCCATTCCCTTTAGTGTTGAAGAGGCCAGAGTGGACAGAGAGAAGATCCTCAGAGCCCTCCTCATGACTCAGCTCTGAAGCAGCTACTATCGACATCTGTATATTTGTATATTCAGCTATTTAAGATGTATGTATATACTGTATATTTATATTTCCATTAAGACATAAAGATGGTATATTTGCATAGTTTCAAATTACTTTTTACTCATTACAAAACGGACACAAAGCGGCAGCGCTGGGGTCTGTCGCTGTCAGCTGCTGCAACTGTAAACGTTTCAAATTGCTCTTTTACTCTATTGTATTGTATTTCACTCTGAAAATGAGAAAATTTCAAATTCAATACGTTCTTGAATTTTGTATTCATACCTTGAGCAGAACAGGCTGCAAAAAGTTCTAGTTGAGTTAGATTTGCTTGGATTAAAAACATATTTCAGGATTTCAGAAGTTACATTTGTCAATAAAGTTACTTTTTATTTTATTTTATTCATTTTATGCATTTATGTCAAGCTTTTAAACAGGAATCATTTTTGTAATGTGCAGATCTATGCGGGTTATTGCTCAAAAGAAAATTCAAAATATAAATTCACTTGACCTGTTGCCATCATAGTCCTTGTTTTTATAAGTTTTTCTGAGTTTTTCCTTGCATAAGAAGGGTCTTTGATTACACACACTAGCTGGTTTTGGCTTACATCTTGTTTGTTTTCTTTAAAAAGAATAGCACCACACAAATTTAAATGAAACCAGATCCAAAAATAATTAATCATACCACTGCAGAGTTTGCCGTTTCTGGCTAAACTCCAGCAGGTAGATCGCTTCAGTAATCAGCGATTAGGATCGACATGTGTCACAGGGAGCGGGATTCTGGGGACAAAAGTGTGATTGTAATGACTTTATTAGACCCTCATTGTGCATGTTACATACTGTCACTTTAATATGAGTCGACAAATCTGGCTTTGGGGAAAATGTGTCGCTCTGATCTGAAGACTGTGAACAGACTCTGGGATAATCTTCCATATTCTTAATTTCTGTGAACATTGGTTAATCTGTCTTTTTTTTTTGACTGTTTTAATTGTTTGATTTTCTAATCTTCTATTGGCAAATCAATATTTTTCTGATGTCCTTCTGGGTGACTGGTGAATTGATATTATGGAAAAACGGTGCAAAACTGGTTTATACACTTGTAATCAAAGAGACCAGTTGAATAATTGCAAACAACATTTGCCACTGTTGTTTCTTCTAAATCAAAATATAAAATGTACTAACCTCAAAATTGGATTGAGACAATAACTATATCAGCAATAAAATTGAAATAAGTGTTTATCAGCTGCTCAGAGGTTCTAATGAACAATCCTTATTTGCCAAAAATTGCACAAAATGTGATTCTTTTCTGTCAGTTATTATTCAGTCTGTCATGGCCTGAGCGGGACTTTAAGGTTGCCTTGTTGAGCTGCAGAAGAAAGGCCTAAACTTTCATCAGGAGTGTGTATTATATGTTGTAACACTTTTTGTGTGACATATTTATTAACTTTATGTTTTTATTACAATACGATGATTACAATGTTGATGTTAAGCAAATAAATACATCTTAAATTAGAAATGTGGTTTCATAGCCTTTAGAAGAATGGACCAAATCTCTGTGAACAATGTGAATGTTTCATGATACAACACATGATAAAACCACTGGGATCTCAATGGTAATATTAATTATTGTATTTGTAATAACTGATGGCAGTTATCAGGACGACAGTGGCTCAGTTGGTGGAGCTTTGTTCTTAAAACCTAATGGTTTGATTTTATGCCCTTGAGAAGCACTGCCACAATAGTGGTGATTCATAATCATCATGTATATATCATTATTGAATTAGAATCAAATATTACATAATCAAAACCCCAATCTACTTTGGACTTGTGTGGAACACGAGGGAAGGTCAAAGCTATTTTCTCTAATTACGACTCTTAAAATGATAAATGTGTATTTAGATTTCTAAATCTGATCAACTGCTGCAATATCAGTCTGACCACTAAGGGGAGACAGAACGTGGTTTAAGGGTTATTCGCAGCTCAATCTGATCTCAGTGATCTCAGTCATATAAACACCATCTTTAATCGCAGTATTTGTTATGGTCATAGATCTAAACAATATTCGTTAATAAAGTATAACTGCTGTCTTACAGCGTGTGTCTCAGGTCCCTTCCCTCCTCTGAGGGGCTGGTCTAGTTTTAATGCAATGGCCTGTGCTTTTCATCTCGAGTTATTATTAATTCTGCATCAGTGATTGATACATGTGAAGCAGCAGGTCTCATGATCCATGGGAATGTGGACTAGTCGCACCCTGGGCCTGTTTGCGCTCTGCTCCCGCCCTGTGTGGGAATGCTGCTGTTATAAAGACCATTACAGCGTTTTATCACAAACACGCTGCCATGACTCAACCTATAATTGATCTCTATTTCACAAGACCAGAAGGACTGGCGTGTATGACATGAAATAATATCAGAGAAAATGTGTTAGAAGTATTTTTTGGGGTGCCTAAAAGTAGTGCTTCAGAAATTACACATTATTCAAAAAATGTTGTAAATGTTAAATTTTTTGAACAAATCAGACCAAAACATGCGTCTTCCTCTTGTCAAAAAAGTAAATAGAAAGATAAGGTAACAAGCCAAGTCATTAGAGTAAGTCAGTTGGGTGTTATAAAACGCATAACTCTGCTTTCCTTTTGTAGCAAACAATTAAAAAAAGCATTAAAAATAATCATTCTTCACAAAACTACAAATCTTGTCATGTTGCTTGGACTCAAAAACGTTGGTAACGCAAACTAAGTTTATTTGTACAAACTAGTAAACAATTAGTATATTTTGATTTCTTTACATGGAATTGGAAAAGTACAGACGTCTCCATAAACCTGACTCCATCAGCCCTGGAGGAGGGGCTTCACCTGCTTGTTTCCATGGAGATGCTGTTCTTATTAGATAAAATGGTCAACAGAGAAAATAAACACATATATAGTTTGGTTAAAGAAATGGATCTTAAATGACCTTAAGCTGAGCAATGCAACGCAATACTTATGAAAAAAAAAATCATTCATTCACTTCATACACAGTAGTGGTAGACTACTACTGTAGCCACAGCTGCCCTGGGGCAAACTGACAAAATAAATTAATCTGTACCATCAGCCCCTTGGCAACATGGGTTCATTTACTTTCAGCAGCTTTTACAAGTTAGTCCAGTTTGACCTTATCTTTCCCTAATTTCAAATGTCTTCATTCTAAAACACATTTCTACTTTAGGAGAGCACATGTTTGCGGCCGCCAACTGCGCAGCAAAACATACAGTGACAGATCTACTTCATATTAAAATAATTGTCTCTATGTTTGTGCAAGAAGTACATCAGTTAATTACATTCTAAGCATTTAAGTGTTGGGCTTTGTAGCAGCGACTGGAGGTGTTGCTCTACTGGTTTGGACGAGATAATAGTTGTGTGTTTTAAGGGATCAGCGCTGGGTGGGGTGCGTGATATAATGTTACACAATGTAGAATCAGCCCTGGAGGGTCTGCAGGGTTTTGTCCACTGCTTCCTGCTGTTCCTTCACTGCTCTCTTCACATGTGTTTAATGACAATTGTGGATTAGCCAAAAACATTATGTCATGGCACTAAAATATATTGATTTAGGTTTTTTTTACTATAGGGGTTTTTGATGTAGCCTATATTACAGGCTTGAAACATAATACATCCATGGCTTTAACATATTTCTGACAATTAGAAATGTTAGCTTCAATAAGTATTTATTTGGTCAATGATATGCATCGAATTTCTTCTGTTGCCTGAGAGAGAGAGTAGTTGTTCAAACTTCCCTTTTGTGTGAGAAAATCCCATATTAACATGCTTGACGCGTTGCATCGACAGTAAATAAATAGACTATAAATAGACATTCTACATTTCCGAGTTTCTCCTGTGTTTGCGATTCTAACAAATTGGATTAAGCCGGAGGCAGCAGAGGGGGTGCCAATGGAACCACTACACCAAACGACATCTCATTCCAAACAAGGCAGCCAAGGAAAAAGCTTTTATCCATCACCAGTGAGAGGCTCAAAACACTGTGAGCTACTCTTAATTGACCCATTGTCTTTTGTTAATTCTCTCCCCCATGTTTACTTCTTCATACAAAGAGCAAACAGAAGACCAAAAGTAAAGTTCAGTTCTCACAAGTTTAGTTCTCACATTTATTGTTTCAGCAAGATTTTGTCTCAAAACAACACGGTTCTTCTGCGAAATCACATCAGCGGTTTCCTGTCCATCTAAGTATTGTCACACATTGACGGCCCACCCATTTGTCCAGTTTTGCAAAGGTGAAAGTCGCTTTTGCAAATTTCTGTGAGAAGAATACAAAGAATGATGCTTTGTTGTGTTGTTTGAGCTGCTGAAACCACCTCTGGCTTTTTGCAGGTGTCTTGAAAACATGAGCTGATTTGAAGAATGTAACTTGTGAGGTTGTGTTACAAGAACTGGGGTTTTCCTCTGTTTTAAGGCCCCGACACAAGCAAGAAAATATTAGCAACACACAACACATGGACCGGGCTTGACGTTCATTCATTCATAATTAAATAAAGGCATATATCCTTTGTTTTTCTTTCTTTAATATATTGAATGGCAAATTGTTCTAAAAAAACATTTGATTATATGGGTATAAGTATTTAAAAGTATCAATCATACAAATTATGAATGCTTATGATGATGATGTTGGGTGTGCTAACTTTTCTGATGCTATTGCTTTACTTGGAATGTCAGCCAGTACGATAAAAAACATATCCATTATTTCACTGCATATGTTTTTACTGATAAAATAATTCTTCCGTTGGGTCAACAAATATAACCCGTAACTTAACTTAGTGTTGTCACTCGCTTGCCTGGGATGTCCCACAGTATGGCATTGAAATTTCTATATACATTGGAGACAAATTACAAGTCATATCAGCGGAGGGAAGAGCCGACCCAATTTCAAAATTCTGATTATTGAGCAGTAAAAACATGAACAAGAAACTAAAGAACTGGTCCATTCAAAGCAAGGAGCAACAGAACCTTACATGTGATGTCAACAACAATATATTCATAATAGCCCCTCCCCTTGGCATAGCTACCACCAGTAAGATTTGCTGGAGGAGAATGATAAACCAATGATGAGCGGCCTCAAGGGTTTGAATTGAAGTTGACCAATCAGTGAGCTGCATACAAACACTTTCACTTTCTCATCACAATTTGAAAAGTAACTGACATTCCCTTTAATAATTGTGTTCGCATTCGCAGCGTTCTAGCGGTGATCCACGTCAAGCTCTGCCCACGGACAATAGTTTTGGCTGCACAGGTTCAGAATATGAGCTCACAGTGTAACATAGGAAGAGGATACTGCTAGTTTCATCATGGAGTTTGATTAGCAGTGCATTGCGTTTGGCATTCTGTAAACATCTTGGAGGTTAACTAAACTTCATGCACTAAAGCTTTTAATACAATCACATGTTATGTATAAACTCTGCACATATAAAAACATACAACTATGTAATTAACATATAAAAATGTCTAACTACACATTTATGCGTATCGCTCTTTCGTTCACACATTCACACTTTTACTTTGGTTCACTGAAAATGGTTTGCTCAGTTGCTACATGAATTAGCTTCTCTAGTTTCAGCAAATCCTAACATTATAACATAGTAAAAAAAAAAGATATATCTATAAAGCTTTTCAAATACACTGTGCAATACAAGACAATTGCTATTTGGCTATGGCCATAATGATTTGGTATAAAATACAATTATAACTTTAACATATAAATAACATTTCTAAGGACTATTTAAAAAAACTAAAATACATCAGAAGTCTTTGACAAACCGGACTGTCACATGATCTTTCTGTCTGTGCGTAGTGCGTTCCTACAGCAGGGACAGATCCAAAAACTGCCCCGCAGGCTTGTTCATCAGAGGGAGGGGCATCACTGCTGCTTCTCCTCCATTGGACTGTCCAATCAGACTGCTGCTCAGAACAGAAACCTCTCCTGGGCTCTGCAGGAAAGAGGAATAGGTTTAGCGCAATAAACATGTAGAGATAAATATAAAGATGATCCTTCACCCAAAAGAAACTTCGATTTCTCCCCAGTGCACCACCAAACCACCTCAAACACCCAGTTCTCCGGGGTAGTCTTTTGATTAACTTTCCCAACAACACATCACAATATTCCCAAGATGTAAGGACTGGCTAGTTGAGAAGAAATGTCTAAGTCAAATGAGCAGTTTACTGAAGTGCCTTCCAAAAACAACCAGGAAAGACCCAAGACATGCTGCAACCTCAGCCAATCCTTACCTGCCACCTTCCTTATCCACCTTAAATACACACCCATTCTTTGGGCTGCGTAACAAGTGTCCTGGACGGGTCCTGCGTGTGCATGGGCGCGTGCACAAGAGCATCTTCAGGTGGGTACTGTGGTGTGAGCAACAAAACATGGACTGAGACATGACAGCTAACTAAAGGTATTTCAGAGAGCTGCTGGTTGCTCTGAGTAATCAGGTATAAATACATTAGTCTTTGTCAAATCACTAAACGATGACCGTTTTATGAGCCAGAGTCTTAACTCTCACTCTTAAAGCCTGAGCTCTTCAGATTCAAGTCTGAGCAGGCTGTGTGTGACAGATCAGGGAGAGGAGACAGGACAAACAAGTTTGATCGCCTCTAGGCAAACACAGGGAAGGCCTCATGACACACCCACTGAACAGGATTTGAATAAAGAGCTGAGCTGCAGAGATGCTTTTTGACCTACACAAGACACCTTCAGCTATTTCGTACACAAAGAACATGTGCCTCTTACCTGGTATCCCTGCACTGCATTGATAATGTCTTTGACTCCATTACTTGGGTAGGGAAGGCCTGGCATGCGGACCAGCCCGCCTGGAGAGGTCATAGCTGAGGGGGAGGGGAAGAAGCCAATGGTGGTGGGTGAGCCAGGTGGACTGAAGGAGACAGAGGAGAAAAAGTCCCTTATTATGCTGTGAAAATGTTTGTTGCGATTAGAGAAGGTGCAATGCAGGGCGTTGTTCAAATGTAACCAGCTTTGTTGCTCTGAGAGAAACAGGGGTCAGTGTTGTTTACCAAGGCTTTTCTAATACCACAGTTCAGTCATTAACTACCCTTGTCCAAGACGTTCTCTTTAGAAGAGGACGACATGAGAGAAATTAGTTCCATGACCATTTGTTTTACAAACAATATTCTTTTACTTTAGTCTGTCATGCAATATATCATTATGTTGATACAATTAGTTTAATACAAGGTCTAAGTGATGAAATGGTGGAAAAAAATTATCCAAACATGGCTCTGACCTGGGGTAGTAGGCCGAGTAGTTCATGTTCATGTTCATGTTCATGTTCATGTTCATGTAGAGCTGAGTGGAAGCGGGGTAGTAAGCATGTCCTGGGGCCAGGTGCCGAGGGGCCAGCAGCACTTGGCCAAAGGGAGGGTAGAGAGTAGCTGCTGCTTCGGCTGCAAGGATCTGAGGAGTCGCCGCGAACGAGTACAAAGGCGGAGACAAACCTACAAACAAAAACATATTTAGGGACAAATTTAGAGTGAACACAGGAGCTTGACATCCACAATTGTTTTATGATTGGGTTCAAAAAGAAAGAACGTGCAAACATGCAATAAAAACAGTACTATTAGGAAGAAGAACAATCATTTCTGATTTGTGACAAAATAATTTTGAGCCCATTCATGTTGTAGTACACTCCTATGCTCATGTATTCCATCAAACATTAATACTTTACACGAGGTGAAGCGGCAGAGCTCTGGCCACCTTTCACAGCTCAAACTTGAGGTGTGTCAACCCCACAACCACCACTACAATCTGATAAGACCGGAGAGTTGTAAGCCACGCTCAGTGTTGATTGTTGATTGTTTGCTTACACTTTTCCAACCCACTCAGATGTTTTATGTCCATGTAAAGGTTAAGACATCACAGTCAGTGAACATGCTTTTAATCTAAAGAATTCTATCAGAATGTATCCGGAATGAACAGTTTCAAAAACATGCAACCTGACCAATGATTTACATAACCACACTAAATGATTTGTTGTAGACCAAATGTCCCGTTGACCAAAGTTCTATAGAAACCAAGCCACACTGGCCCATTGGCAGAGACCACCTACCCTGCAGGCCCGAAGCACCCCAGCTCCCAGCAGCACTTACGTCTGGACTTACATGGCGGAGGGCTGAGCCCTGTCCCACTCCTCTGTGTGCGTGCATGTGTGTGTGAGAGCGAGCCGCCCATCAACACCAGCCCCATCTCCTCCGCGCTGCAGGGAAACACCTCCACATATCGGCTGTTCTGCCCGCGCTGGCTCGTCATCACTTGTTTGTGCAGCAGCTGAGACGCCATGTGCGCCCGCTCCGCTGATATCATCTGGATGAAGCAGTCACCAGAAGGACGCCCCTAATCATAAACAACTTTTGATTAGCAAATAGGCAAGTTTATTTGCATGTACAGAATAAGGGGTGCTACCTGTTGGTTCAGGACCATGTGGACACCGTGAGGCCTGATGTCCTGTATGAACTCTCCCAGAAAAGTGAGGATGTCGTCAATACTGGCGGTGTAGGGCAGACCTCTGAGGCGCAAACAGTTCCTGAGGGTACCCGGAGGGGGCAGCAGCGGCACCGCGGGCAGAACAGACAACAGGGGAGCAGGGGCCACTGGTATCAAAGGAGCTGACGAGTATCGGTTTAGCACCTTAAAGACACACACGATCAATCTTAGTGATGTAAAGTAGTACATCTAAGCCAGACTCAACAGAGCTGCTGTTGTGATGTCATGGGACTGAGTGGCACTGGCTCAGGGCCAACCGGACACCAGTGTTTACATTTCTGCTGAGGGCTTATTAACCGTCTGCTGTCACAGATAAAACACATGTGGGAAGCACTTGGGCAGTAACTTGGACAAGGCAATGCCAACATTGAACCAATAAAACCCACTCCAAAAAACTATTAAGCGGAATAAAACCCATAACAAATTAAAATGACCCTTTAGCTAAGAAACCTTTTCACTTAAAGATGCAGACAGTGATTGTTTCCTGACGCATTTTTGTTTTTTATATTGTGGGAATACGTTTCTAAACCCTAAAAGTAGTCAAGTTATCATGTGTTTTCAAATAGTATTGGAATAAGGATAAAAATAAACCAATGGGCTTCGTTCATCCCCAACGAACCAATGGGATGCGTTTCCCCCTTCACCCTCTTCCTGTTTCTCGCGAGTGTGCGCACCTGAGTTATCGGATTATTTTCTAAAACCTAAAAGGGCTGAACAGAAAATGTAAATTTCATGTTTGCCACCCACAGTCCCTGTTGTGACAAAGAAAAGAAAATGCTGGATGTTTGGTTTGGTGGAGAGGCGAGGGGAGGGGGGGAGTGGTTTCCAGTTGGTGCTACGGCTAAGCTAACAAAATCGCTAATGCCGCTTTTCCACAGTATCAGTACAATACGGTACGACACTACTCGTTATGGGCACGGTCCAGTTTTCCATCAAAAATTGTGCCTCCTAGTAACTCCTCAGCGTTGCCAGACCACGTCATTTATGTGCGACGTGCGGTGCATGGAGTTATTATAATATCGGTGATAGCAGGTTTACCTGCACCTTTGATGTGAAGTTAGCAAAAGCTTCATCGGGACCGGAGCATGTACAGTATATAGAGCATTTAAAAAACTGTGTTTTTGTGTCCAGACTAAGTAATGAATTAATAATACTACATGAAGTCTTAGTAAATCTACACAGGTGAAGTAGTAATGACGACAGTGTACCTGCTGGACCTCCGCGGCTGTGCTCTTGAACAGCTCGATGTACCTCCTCCCCAAGATCTCCTTGTGTTTCTTCAGAGCGTTCTGAGCGTGATCTTCACACGAGAAAAGGACAAAGGCGTCACCGGTCGGCCGTCCGTCCGGATATCTAACAAACAGGATGCCGTCTGTGCCGCCGCTCACAGGACACATGTCTTTGAGCTCGTCCTCAGGAGTGAAGAAGGACAGCACCTGCTCCTGGGTCACAGTGAAGGGAAGACCACGCATCCTCACGATGATCTGGTCGTCCCGCGACAGGAACATGGCCACCTCACTGGAGGTCCCTGAAACAAGTACAATCATGGTATTAAGGTGAAGCTACACGGCAGTATTAGGGAACTAAGATATATGAAAAGAAAAAAAAGAAGACATGAGCATTTATAACTATTTTCTATTTTTTCTGTTTATTTGGATAGGACAGCGTGTATTCCTTCTGTAAGTACACCAGATGCTATGTAGCTAATTTCCCTCTGTAGCCACACTCACAAGCACACACTCATTCAACCCTCACCCATTGTACATGTTTTTACTAGGAGGGGAAACCAGAATACCTGGAGAAAACCTACGCAGACATGGGGAGAACATGCAAACTCCACACATAAAGGTCTTGGAGGTGGAATTGAACCAAAGACCTTTTTGCTGCCGCCCACGGATGGATATTGTCATTGTCTCTTTAGTAAAGACACAACACTCACATTTCCTAGTACAAATATTTTTTTTATTGTGGTTGGAGGGGGCTGGGGGACCGATGGGCTGTCTCACTACCATCAGTCTGCCCCAGGGCAGGGCATTGTGTGTGGCATTTCACACAATAAACAATGCATCTAGAGTTATTATCACAAAGAAAAAAGTTATTATAAGATAAGATAGACTTCATTGATCTCACACAGGAGAAATTTACATTATCTCAATCTATACTTTTAAGGTTTTTGTAAAAGCTATACTTAAATTTAAATTTGCCCTCTGTATTTGACCCATCCTGCCAGGGGCAGTGGTCTCTGTAGTACAGCGCCCGGGGACCATCTCCAGGATTTTACCTATTGTACAGTACATGTTCTAGTGGTAGGGGTAGGGGTAGGAAAGTGGAGCAACCGGAGCAACCCTACACAGACACGGAGAGAACATGCAAACTCCAATTAGGAAGGCCCTGTTAGTTTTAGTCTTATTGGTTATTTGGTTGTGACCGTTTATTTTAATGAAGACATCACTGTAGCCTTGGGCTGCAATCCGGAACCATGCTGCCATGCATTAGCTCAATGGCAGCATGGTTCCTGGTTGATTGGGCGTGTGTCCTTCTGTCTTTTGACTAGAATTCAAACCAAGGACCTTCTTCCTGAGAAGTGAAAGTGCTAACCACTCATTTATATGAACCATACAAAGAGCCACAGGGATCATAGAACATGATATGGAACAGAATCAGGTCCCCTTAAAATAGAAATCCTGCATCCAGAGTAGACTATAATAGTAAGTAGTAGTAGTAAGTAAGCTTTATTTATATACCGCCTTTCACAGACCAGAGTCACAAAGCGGTTTACAATTGTTATTTTTTGGGCACTTGTCTCTCACTCCACACAGAGATGGGAGCGGGGTCGCCGAACAGGAGGCGCATGCCAGACCTATTGTACATATTTTTAGTGGTAGGGGAAACCGGAGTACCCGGAGGAAACCTACGCAGACACAGGGAGAACATGCAAACTCCACTCAGAAAGGCCCTGGTCCGGCCGGGATTCGAACCCAGGACCTTCTTGCTGAGAGGCAAGAGTGCTATCCACTCAGCCACCGTGCCGCATCTGAGTGAAAACCACCAAATGTTTACCATGCTAGAGGTTTCCTGAACATTTAGTAAAAATCCAGACATATCTTTTTACTTACTTAAAAGAATGTTCAGAGGTGAGCCAATGATAACTGCCCCCCTCTGACCTTAACATAGTCCCTTTCATTCTACGTTCATTTATCAAAACATAGAATAGTTTGTCCAGTAGAGACTGAATTCTCACCTCCCGCTATCTTCAAGAAGTCATCTCCTGTTGCTTTGTAAACCTTTAAGAGACATACATGTACAAACAATTAGAATAACAGCATATGTACAGTATATCACAGTAGTATAGTTTTAACAGGTTACCTCTATGTATCTGTTGCCCATGTGATGCTTGTGTCTTTGCAGTGCTAAATCTCGGTGTTCTTCATTGATAAAACGGACCAGAGCTTCCCCATTTCTTCTGCCCTGAGCGTTGAGACACAAGGCGGCACCTCCCCTGTACAAAGAGACTTATAGCTCACATGAATGATTCAAGAGTATGTATTCTGTAATCAGGAAAACTTACTTGGCAATGTTAAGGCCTCTAAAAAACCGAGCAATGTCTTGATCCGATGACTGCCATGGCAATCCTCGTGCGCGAATAACCGTGTTGTCGGAAACCTTCTCCATTTTACTGCTACATGGATATATAAAAAAAGAAAAACAATATATATATGTGAAAATGAAGACTTATTCTAAAGTATAAACTTAGAAATATGAAAGGCAATTGACTCACCAAGTACCAGATTCAAACTTATCATTCACCTTTTCAGGATCGGAAAATATGTGACCTGAAAAGAGAAACAAAAGCATGATTAGGATAATAGCTTATAAAATTGTACAGGAACATATTATTGCGCTTACAAAATGGCTCAGAAAGCAGCTCGAGGACAATACTAGCAATCGTCCGGACCTGTTGGACTGCTGCTTCTGGGGGCAAAATGGCTTCGGGGTCCAGTATAAGAGCATCACTGGGAATGCCAAGTGCTGAAGAGTGGTTAAGGAGGAAACAGGGCAAGCACCAGGGGGAGAAAAAAATACTGAGGTAGATCAAATATCGTCCAATACAAGCTTGCTCAAACATGCATGCACCAATGTTTTCCATGTTCTAATATTATATTGTATGTATACATAAATATACTGTGCATATAATATAATATATACACATAGAATGACTCAATGGCAGCATGGGTCCTGGTTGATTGGGCGTGTGTCCTTCTGTGTTGACTAAACATTCCCTCTTCACTGAGCTCATAGTTGGGTGCTTCATTGTCATCTTATTTGCATTTCAAAACCTCTCAACATGCAGGCAACACCCACATCCCATAATATACTGATAAATGAGCTGTTTGGTTTGAACGCTATTAAAGAATATAAACCACAGACTTTGTTTTCTGTATCTGGCTCTAAATACAGTTTGATCTATTTATTGATTTAGAATAATTGATAATGAATTATATGTGAGCCACATTTTCACAGGCTCACATTCTGTGTGTTAACTTCTCCACAACATCATGCTGTTCAGATACCTAAATATGCTGCTCTAAATTGCAATACCCATTAATTTCATACACAGAGGTGGAAAACTACTGTTGTAGCCATTAGGGGTGGGAACCTAAGGGTTAGAGCCCTGCACGGGCCTATTATCTTGGCCCGAGCCCGGCCCTGGCCCGAGGGGGTGGCGCCCCAGCCCGGTCCGATATGGTTTCTGAATTGTCAGGCCCAAAACCCGCATCAAGCCCGACATTTTTTTTTTTTTTTTTACCTCCCATAACAATGTTTTAGCGTGGTATATAGTGCCGCGCACTGATATAAACACAGGCTTGGCTAGAGGGTGGAGTTATACATGGTACTAATGTGTTGCAGTGAGTTCTGTGTGTGCGGATTGAACGGCCGCAGCTGTAAGATACACAGCTGTATGTTACACCGCTGTATGATACACAGATGCCGCAACACACTTGTCATTGACGATACATAGCGTTACTTACAGTACAACACTACACAGGACAACAAACACTACAGGGTGACAGAACGCTATATTCAGTGGGTGCGTTCGTAAATGTAATCTGCCGCTCTAAAAGTGCGCGAGCCCGAGCCCGGCCCGTGTCCGAGGTCATTATACGGTCATCGGTCAGAAGCCCGGCCCTCGGGCTGTCGTGGCCCTCGGGCCAGGGACTCAAGTGCATGGCTCTACTAAGGGTACCTCACGATACGATACAATACACGATACAAAGCTCACGATAACGATTTTATCACGATATGACGTTTATCGATATATTGGTCAGAAATGTACAATATTCCAATTTATGGCATAGATAAATGGAATGGAGATGCGTAATGTAGCCATATATTAAGTATTGATACCAATTTAAAAAAAAAAAAAAAAAAAAAAGCAATTTTTTTTTTTTCTTCAAAAATCGATATTGATACTTGGCAAATGCATATCGATAATCGAATCGCGGGAGAAAGTATCGTGATATATCGAAAAATCTGTATATCGTCACACCAACAGTAGCCATAGCTACGCAATGTGGCCCATCTCAGTGCTATCCAGGCACTACATTGCTCATCTTGATATTAGGCAGGTATAACCACTACAAAAGGGTAAACTAGTCATCAGCAGATTACTGGATTAAGTGTTGCCATCATTTCACAGTTCACAAAGCTACAGAAAGGATACAGTCAGCTATTACGTGCACGTTCAAAGCCTTAAGGTCCGAGGATGGAAAATGTTTCTTGAATTCTTTACGGATGTCGAAAAAGGAGTAGAAGCAGTCAGGCACCAGGATGCTCTAGGAAAAAAATAAACAGAGGCTGGTGTTAAATCAACAGTGACAGTTCCCTTTTTACAGTTGTTTGCTCTCCTCTGATATGGCACAGTGCTGCTGGAGTAAAGACATGTGCAGAGGCTGTAATGCCTGGCTGCTCTTTATGTGGATAACAAGGACATTCCCCCGCTCAGACCACGGTTTGGAATATGTCCTTTCAAATGAACAACATAGCAATATAAAGTCTAGGTTTAAAACTCTGTTTTTGTCTGTATGACTTGATTATCTATTTTGTTTTACTGAGTTTTAAGGATGCTTTATGAATTATGCTATTACAGTCTATATTGTGTAAACTATATTTATTGCAAAATCCAGTCCATGTTATCTTTTGTTTTGATACATTGATTATTACTATTATAGTTTACAGGAGCAGTATGTGCCCAATGAGCTCCACACATTGCTCTTTCTTTAATAATTGATTGATATACTTTATTTATCCCACAAATGGAAATTCAGGAGCTGATACAGACACAACATACAATAGACAGATATGTAGAGTTTATACATTGCTTTTCTTTTCATCTCTGTCCAAAACCAGAAAAGTTAAGCGTAAATTTGTATATAGTGTCTAACTATGGAATAGGCAATCAAGCAATGTTTACCCATTTACATATCAAAGATAATTACAAAGAACACATGTTATTACAATATAGAATGGCAAATAATTAGTATTACCGTACTTTTGTTCCCATTGTATCATTACATACAAACACAAACAACAACAAAACATAACTATTCTGCCATTGGAAACATATGATCAAGCATTCACTCTGACTATGTACTGTACAGTATGAACACATGCAAATGTAATCCATCTTCTCTCCCTCTAACACAGGGTGATGGTCTTTGAACCTCTTCCTACTCCTTTTGAGCACAATTATATGTGCTATCATTATTTGTATACATTGTAATGTATTTGTTGTCAAGTTACTCAATAAATTCAAGCCATCAATATGTAATGATACAGTAGTAGTAGTAGATTTTCATTGTTGCTGTTAAACCAATGAAGATTTTGTCTTAGCGTTCTTTACAGCTGTACAGCACTTTGGACAAGTATCTGTTGTTGTTTTAATGATTTCTTCAAACAGACATTGGATTGGATTCAGAAGCCCTCTGGCATACAAAAATAATTAATTCATACATTGCTCTTTCTGCCAAGTCTTTCTTCACACTTTAGAATTTGTTTTCTATAGTTCGTATTTTTTTTTCAACCAGACTTCCAATTATTTAGCTGAGTACATGGTACAGTAACCCACAACATGCATACATAAGTGAAGTGCTGATGTGACATATTCCTTTGTGGTTGTGCCTCAGCTCCAAGGCGTGCACCCACCCAGCCGGCTCACCTTGTTCGCGGCCTCAGGGTGAATCACTTGACGGATGTGGAGCTGCCCGTCCGTACAGAGGCTAACCGACGTGCCTGTGCCCGCGCTGTTCACCTCGTTCGAGAGCTGGAGGTGGAACTGCGAATATTAAACAAGCGTGAAAACTTTCATTCAAAACAAAACACTCAAAAACAAACAGCTTTCACTAATGTCGGTTTAGTGTGCGTCAGAGCTTATTTCTGCGAATGGTCTCCGAGTCAAATTGTAATTTATATTTCTTATTTAGGACATCTTTCTAAAGTGAATGTTGGAACCCAGTGTCCAGAAGCTCCTACGTCTATACAGAAAATAGTGAACATGAGTAATACATGGATGAAAAAGATAAATTGTTTATTCAACTTGGGCACCTGTGTTAAAAATGTGCGTTAGCAGGTGTTTAAGCGTCTATACAGTCCAGTTAAAAGACTCATATTATGCAACTTTAAACATCTGTAGGTTTGTTTCAACATTATTCTTAAAAAAATATCTTGAGTTTTGTCTAAATGCTCTTACCTCAAACTTCGTACACTGGGACAGATACTTACATTAGTTTTGGCAGTTTTGTTCTTTTCAACTGTAGCCTACAATTATTTAAATTGCAGAATGTGAACTAGATGGTGGTGTTGGCGCATTCTGGTCATCTCTTACTTCATTGGTCATATTCATCCATACATTTTATACTTTAAAGGTATACAGGAGGATTTTCTACTTCCGGATGGATGATCAAGACTATTAGTCCTCCCAATTGTCAATCATTCTGGTGAAACGTGCTCATCAAATAAGACCAGAGAGTTTTGCTCAAAAAGTGGAGAGGGCGGTTCTTTCCTAAAATTTGGGTAAATCCTCCAATATACCACTATGTTTTAAAGTAGTAAAATTATGCATATTTGGCGGTTACTTCTATCAACATTAGTTTTTGATAACAATTGTAAATGTTCATTACAACGTTATTACCATATTCAGAGCCGTTTCTAGACTTTCTACTGATGTAACGCAGTCGGCTCCAGAGTTGTGTTGTTCTGTGCTGTCTTCTTCCTCCTCCTCATCCTCCTGTTTCTCCTCTGAGTCGGTGAGGTCCGGCTTAATGAGCAGCTCATTCACCTTGCCCAACTGGTTCAGACAGGGAAGAAAACAACTGTAGTGCACAAAGACACTCATCTCCTGTAAAAAGCCACTCACAATCACAATGTAACTAGTGTAAAACTAATATTGAAAGAGTATAATGACAGGCAAATTATGTTTTGTCTCTTTGCAATTGTACAATAATTGATAATCATTAAGTTATAAGACATATAAATTTAAAACACAGGTGTCTTCCCCATAATCCAATATTTCATTTAATACCAGCCTTTAATAATAATAATAATGAGTTAAAATGCTTTGGGGGATTGGCTTAACAACTAAAATAAATAGTTTTGTTTTTTTCCTTTCTTTTTTTTTCTTTAAAAGTTAGAAGTTGTTAGTTTTCACAATCTGGTTTAGTAATACCTTAATAATAACAACAGCATGACTTGTAGGCCTCTCGCCCCATAACATAATCGATAATAATAACTTTTCAGTTTTACAATGAAGTTCACGCTACACCTTCACCTAAAATAAAACATATTTTGGATGAAGCCTGACCTTTTTGTTCTTGACATCCACAAGCTGCCACACAAGCTGCCCGAGCTCCTTCTCATCAGACCCGAGCCATTCTCCGCTGGTGCCAGATGTAGCAGTGAAAACCACCACCAGATAATCTACCTGCGCCGTCATTTGAAACAAAAAACAAACTATTCCCAGACTCGGAGGACAGGCCGGGCAGGAGACCTGTACAGGATGTCTTCAAAGGCGCCACTTGTTGACCCCTGAACGCAGAGGGAAGCTCTCAAACTCGTCTGTTTCACGACGTGGTGTTTAACGTGAACGCTCCCTCCGTCACCATCTCATAGTAATGGCTGAACGTGCCTCGGTTTTGTAGAGGACCTACCTGTGGGACCACGTGACCTCACCTGGCGCGTGCTCCAATCATATAGAGCAGTAAAAGGATGCGTCATTATAGTGTTCAGTCCATGATATGGTATGGTATGTGACTATGTTCAGTAATATCCACGTAATATACATTACTGCATCTGCCCTCAAATATCTTAGTTATAATTGACTGACTGCACATAAGCCTCACACGTTACCAGATTTGTTTGCTATTCTTTATAGTCAAGTGATCAATTAACTATTTAAAAGCAGAAACCACCTCATTTCATTTGAGTTATTCTCTAAGTATTTACAGCTACCACAGTTTATTGTTTTCATGTATGTTTTTTTTAATGCTCCTTTTACCCCGTTAACGTGCGCTGCAAAGCTGCAACACTAAAACCAATGTGGGATGAATGGTTCCCTTGTAATCCGGATATCCTCTGATCATAACAATATTCAAATATAGCTTAATTTAATTATGCTATAAAAGGAAGCTCAGACCAAATTGCATATTATGTGTGTATTTATTTACATTTATAGACACGGGATGCCCATTTCATTGATGCCCGTTTCATCAACAACAACAATAATGACAACAGACACAACAACGCAGCAACAACAACAAAAAACAACACATAAATGAGCATAATAATAATAATAATAAAAAAGACGTGAAAATGTTTATAACATTGTACAATTTTAAATTTTAACTCATAGATGAATGGTTCGGATTGAAATGTTATAGCAGACAGTAGACAGGTTTAAAAACATCAACATCAAACCAAAACGAAAAACAGACCAAATAAAATTATACAAACCGGAAGTGCTGGGCCGGGACCCCGGAAGCAGCTTGTTCTCATAGGAGGACAGTAGAAAATGATGGCGGGGGAGACTTCTATGGAGCTATTATTTCTAGATACGTTTAAGCATCAAAGTGCAGAGGTAAACTGTCTGTTCCATTCTGCTCAGCGTGCGACTATGAAACAGAATAATGGCTAAATGCATTTTTTACTGCTATCAAATGAATATGTCTTAGTGCGATGCTAAACTTGCTAATAGCGGCTAACGGGTTAACTTTACCTTGTTTTGTCGTATTTAATGCAGCTGCACTTTAAGACTTCTGCAAAATATGTTGTAATTAAACTTGAGCGAGCTTACAACATATTTTGATTATACATGATTGTGTTATAGCATTGTTATTTTTCTGTCGGGCTGGTATTTTTGATACTCGAATGATGCATCTCTTTCTGACATGTTAGCCAACACAATAAGATAATGAAGATAACTATTATTTACCATTATAAATGAACAACTCGCCATATTTGCGTGCTATACTAAACCGGTAATATTCAAGTTATCTTAGGAAATTATTCTTGTAAACACACATATGCGCTATATTGATTCCATGTGTTATGGGGAATGTAATTATATACAACTAAATTCGTGGCATTCGTTGTGCTTCATTACTAAAATTGTTGGTGCAAGCTTTACTTATGAAGTGTATTGTGTGCTGCTGTTTTAGATAACCAATGTTGATGTGGTGCGGTTTCCATGTGGAGTCCTAATAACAGAAGTGCGGGTCATTCCTCCAGGATTAAAGGCTCACAGCAGTTTACCTGATAGCAGAGCATTTGGGTAAGATTGCAATATTTCAATTACTTTTCTACTACTACTCACACAAAGTTTTATCATGACATACGAGATGGAAATTTGCCTTTATAGACATCAGTGTGTAGAACCTGCCTGCAATCGCTGCTAAATAAGTGATTGTATTGCCAGCATAGACATCCATTAACCTGCATCTATGCGTTTTATTCTCTGTGGTTGGGTCATGTCTGACTGAATTTCAATATTGCAACCTGAATTAAACAATTTATGAGGGTCATTCTGCTTTCTGATTGGGTGATTACCTAAAAACACCAAAAAAAATTAGGGATAATATAGACTTTATTGATCTCACACAGGAGAAATTTACATGTCACATCTGGCATGGAAAGAATCACTCAAGATTTGTGCAGAAGACAGAAGTGTGCAAACAAGGCAAAAAATATAGTCTTTTCAGGATATATTATGTACAACAAAAAAGTCGCAATTAATGAAACAGTGGCAATAGTGTTGCAGGTTTCAGTCGTAGTGCAAGTGACTTAAAGTGACTTATTGTACAGTCTGACAGCAGTGGGGATAAAGGCCCTGCGGTAGAGCTCTTTCTTACACTGAGGGTGGAAGACTGAGTCTTCCACTGAAGGAGCTCCTCAGCTCCTCTACAGTCCTTGGGAGGTGTTGTTCATGATGGAGGTGACTTTGACTAGCACCCTCCTGTCACTCACCTACTCCAGAGTCCAGGGAGCAGCCCAGAGTGGAGCTAGCCCTCCTGGTCAGCTTGTTCAGTCTACTCCTGTCCCGCTCTGTGCTGCCCGGGGCCCAGCACACGGCAGCGTAGTGTATGGCAGACTAGGGATGTAAATCGGTGACTGTTTAACCGGTGGTTGACTGTCACAGCGTTAACCGGTCAAAGCTGTTGGTTAAAAAAAAGAAAAGGGGGCGAGGGAAGGTCTCTTAATAACGCTATTTTAAACATTATTAGCACGTGTGAAGAAGCGGGTCCGTCTCTAGCTGTGTGCGCCAATGTATTAGTAAACTCGGGGTCGACTTTCATGCCGCACGGGCCGCGCACACACAAACACACATGCACGCACACACAAGTGCCATTTCACACTCACGCACTTTTCCCCCGTTCCATTCATACGCAACATCCACACGCATCATCCATACTCTCGTCCATCTCTCCCCTCCGTTACTAGTCCGCCAAAATTGTACACTTGTGAGGGTTAGAACTCCATTGGAGTATACACACACATACATTTTCACACATACTGTTCATATACACACATACCGTTCTGTCGCGCTCCTCTTTGTCACGGAGCCCAAAGGATCCTCGCAAATACGCGGCTTCGGTCAAACCACATGGGAACACGTTTGTGCTGATGGTCCTTGTCATTAGATCAGCTCCACACACATCACTTGTATTTAAACTTTAGCGGAAACCTGCGAGACGCGGTTGGTCACTCGCTGCTCTGAGCCGTTGTTTGCTGCTAAAAAGCTTTAACCCGCAGCACAAAAGAATAGGAAGATTTAAAAATCAGTTCTTTGTGCGCAAAGGTTCCGAAGCTGTTGCAGGTATCGCTCCGCTGTCTCGGCTCTGATCTAGTAGAACGCATAGCTGCACTTATGAAAAGTATGCGGCTCGAAAGCTGTTATTTCAAAGAACGTCGAATAATTTAAACTACAATTCAGTTTTGTACATCCCTATGGCAGACGCTACCACAGAGTCATAGAAAGTCCTGAGCAGAGGCCTGATCACTCCGAAGGGCCGCAGCCTCCTCAGAAGGTGGAGGCGGCTTTGGCCCTTTTTATACAGGGCGTTGGTGTCATGGGACTCGTCCAGTATTCCGGATCACTGTCAGATCTGTGCCTCTTGGTAGAGGTCTGCACTCTACGAGTGCCTTAATAATTGTTTTAAATTTCAATCCACCAAATTATTTTGTAAGATATTTGATCACATTTATATTGTATTCAAGAATATATAGAGTCATTTTGAAAAAAAAAGGATTTCTCATTTTAAAGAAAAATAACACATTACTGCAATTTATTTATATCTCATGCACATAACAACATGTTGCATTTACTATTTACAATTTACTAATTTGTCTTTTCAGGGAGACTTCTCCTCATGCATTTCAGCTGGAAATTTTCTTCAATAATGTCACCAAGCCCAACTGCTCCACCTTTCACAGATTGGGCAGGTCAGAACTAATCTTCCACTATTATTTTTGCATCTGTGGCTCGCTAATTCAGATGATTCTCAACAAGTCAGTTTCACCTGAAGAACCGGCTGTGATAGAACATGAGCTCTTTTGTCAAGGAGCTGTGTGTTGTGTTAACAACAACCTATTCAGGCTCTTTGTTCCTCACCCAGCCAACTGGTCTCTCCAGAAACACCGCTCCACCCACACAGTAGCTGAAAGTCACACTCAAAAGATAGGAGTTTCCAAGGATATAGAGCGGTTGGTGTTTAGAGTCAAGGTTTTTCATCCATGAAGAGACAGGTGTAGGTGTAATTATGCAAGAATGTAAACCTTCTGATGGTTTATTTAAGATTTAATTATAATATGAGAAATCCTATAGTTCTGAAATGATTATCATTATTCCTATAAGGAATTCTTGACAAAATCATAGCAAATTAATTCTAACCCTAAGGTGTTTATTTTAAAGCTTTTGTCCTTTTTTCTGTAGTCTTGAATATGATGAGAACAAGTCTATTGTTTTCCGACCAAGCGGAAAGGCAAGTAAAGACATCCTCAGAAGTTTAAAGCTTTGCTCAATTGGATGAACTAAACGTGTTTCTTTTGAATGAACAGGTGAACACAGATGGCCTGGTCCTGCGTGGCTGGTACACAAGTCTGACTGTGGCCGTGTATGGAAGTGCAGAGCGTTCACATGGACATGACCAGAGCTCCCCCCCTCCACCCCCACCCCCTCCCCCTCAACAGCAGAGTGGACTCAAAAGATTAAAGCAAGGTGTGTATTGTCCTAGTGAAAGCCCCACACCCAAAAACTGAAACATTAACCCCAATTCTACTTCAGCCTAATTTCATTGCTCAATTTGTTTTCAGACTGGGAAAAAGATGAGCATTACAATGGAAGTCCTCCCAGATTAGGTCCCAGGGGTCCACGCACCCCGCCTGGCCCTCCTCCACCAGACGATGACGATGAGGAGCAACTTCCAATGACAAGTAAAACAAATGAAATAACGATGAATGTATGTGTGTATCTTTATACTGTAATGTGGTATCTTCTTCTGGGGGTGCAGTGGTAATGGTGAAAGTGGAGCCAGGTGATGGTCGTGACGACTACCTGGAGGCAGTTTCACCTGAGCGGTCGCTTCCTGCAGATGAGCCGTATTCTGAAGCGGAGGAAGAGGGTGAAGAGGAAGATGAAGACGAGGACCCGGACGAAGCTCGCAGTGACGGCAGTGCTCTGGAGGATGAGGAGGATGATGATGAGGGTGAGGACCAGGACTTAGAGGAAGGTAGGGGAGGTTTATGAGGAACAGGAAAGCCTGACTTTTCAAATGGATTCCTATCACAATCAAAGAGTCTGCACTGAGGGCTGCGCTGGCATGTTTATCCTTGGAACCAACTGGAGAAAGATCCATTTGATACATGATCCAGCATGATGGTTTTCAGATGGTTTAAATATGGCACAACTTGACATGTGCAGTGGCTCTGATACAATTGCATCATGCATGAGTTTAATTTGCATGTCTGGAGTGAGATCCTTTTGGTGAGGAGTTGCTATTTCATTTCTATATTGTTTAATCATTTGTGGTTTTGGTTTTCTCAACCTGTTAAGTTATGAAAACTGTTTATTTCTTCTCTCTTCTAGATAATGATGGCTATGAGCAGATTTCCAGTGATGAAGATGATCTTGATAATGGCAGCTTCAAACTGCCAACTTTCGACATGGACTACACTGCTGAGGACCTGGCTTCAGTTCCACCTGTTCAGTATGATCCATATGAGCGAGAGCTCAGGCCGATGCAGTATTTCTGTCCTCCATATAAAACTCGCTTTGAAACACAACTGGAAAAGGCCAGTATGGAGGAGCCGATGGACCCTGGTGGCACTGAGGCGAGTGTTGTGGGAGAGGAGGCCGAGGCCATGGCTCAGTTAAAAGAGCTGCAAACATCTATCGGAGTAGACAGAGACACGCGCTGGGTCATTGCACTGGAGGAGGCACCGGGACTGATGTCTAAAGGATTAGCTTCTCTAATTAAACAGTGTGAAACGGACGATAAGGTTGAAGAGCAAATCACCACATTTGTCCAATGGTCTCTCCAGGCTTTAAATATGGACATTGCTCTGACACAACCTATAGCACTAAATCTCAGACAGCTGAAAGCAGGTGCCAAACTCGCGTCTAGTTTAGCAGAATGCCCACAGGGTCTAGCCATGCTGCTTCGAGAAGGAGCCTTGAATGTGCTTCTGCAGCTGCTTCACACTGACCACATCTCCTCAACACTGAAGCTCTGTCTTCTGAAGGCTCTGGATGCTCTGATCAGCAATCCTGCTGGTGTGGAGGCATTCCTGCAATCAGAGGATGAAGAGAAGAGTGGATACCAGGTGAGGACATAAGGGTTTTCTGGAGGTATACATTTGTGATAAACTATGCATTATTCTAATTTTTGTTGTTGTCAGCACTTGGTTCACTTATTCCTGCGTGATGAAACTGTGAGGGTTATCACGGCTGGTAATGCCATACTTCAGAAAAGTCATGTCTATGAGGCCCTGGCAGATTTACAGCGATCTGCAGATTCTCTCAGTGAGCGTGAGCCTGTTCAGGTATGAATCATTGTCATGTGATTTACAGTTGAATGAATATATATAATGATCATTGTCATGACAGGAGGACTTGGAGGCCACAGATAGCCCCATGGAAGAGGACCCTCCCGTCAGCACCTCTGCAGTGAGTGAGGCAGAGCTGGAGCGGCTCGCTGGGCTCTTGGAGGAGTTGCATCATTTGCTGGAGTCTGCTCCCCATTGTATGGTTCAACCTCCTGGAAAAGCATTCCCCACCACAGCCAGAATAACAGGACCACAGGAGAGAGATGACCCATACCCAACGTTGTACAGGTCAATTTAAAATCTCCTTACATGTTCCTTTAAAAAAAATATTTCTAAGAGAAAGATGAACTGATTGATATGTGGAAAATGTCACCGTCGATTGTCAATTTTATTCGATACACTGTATTTCATGATCATATTTTTTATGTTCACTCACTTTATTTGAACTATTATTACAGTTGTAGTTGTAGTAACCATTATCTCCTCTCGCAGGTATATGCATGCGTGTCACTTCCTGGAGAGCGTGACCGTGGTGCTGTCCTCTGCCGCCGCAGCTGGACACGTGGGCGTCATACAGGCCATCAAGGAGCTCCTGCGCTTCCTTTCTCTCACTCAGTCAGGTCTGTTGTTTCTCGTGGCTCAACCCGCAACCTCAAACCTTTTACTTCGACTCCTGGCTTCTGTGACGGAGGCAGAGACCGAAGAGACGCTGTTTAACGGAGGGGAAAACGCTCTTACCGGCCCTGGCTTTGGCGAGGAAGGCTTTGGCGTGTGGCTGATGCAGGCGCTACACGCTCTTCAGAGTGTTTCGGAGCTGATGAGTCACGTGAACGCAGGCGGAGAGGGAGGAGTGGGGCTCGAAGAAGGCGACAACGCGGAGATTCTCGGGCTCCTGAACGGCCTCTACGTGATGACATTCACTCAGACCGGACGCAGCGCTGTGGCTCATGTCTTTAGCTTGGAGAGCAACATATCGTGTCTGGTCACGCTGCTTCAACACTACAGCAAAGAAGGCCAAGGGTAAGACAATCTGATAGAAGTGGGCGACATGAAAAGGTTAAAAAGTGTGATTCAATACAGGAATCCTTCATGGTACTCAGAAAATAACTAAATCCAATATGTTATTTGACCAATGACAAAACAGAGCAGCATTGGTTAGTGTTGGCCTAGCTGCAAAAAGTCAAGACTTCATTTTTGGAATCTGCTTGTATAGATTTTAGTCTAGACTATAAAATTACTCACTTTTAATGTATGTCTATATTGGGTATTTCGATAAGTCGTTACTACTATGGAGAGCTTGCACAAAATATCATCATTGACTCAGAGTTGTTTGGAGGCCAGATGAAAGTCAACAAGGCATGACAAGAATTTGCAAATTTACTTTTCTAGCAGAATTTAGACATTGAACAAATCCTTTCAAAATATTTGTCGGTAAAACTATACTAAATACTACAATTTACTTAATTTGATATCTTAACCATCAATGCAGCACTGCTTTGGGAAACTATATCTTCAAAATCAGCCCTTTTAATTTTCCCAAGTTCACATGTGTTTAAGTATTTATTCTGAAATATTATTTTTTTTAAAGTGTCCACCTGAAATAAATAGTTCAAGCTTTCATTACTGTAATGAGTGACTAAAGTCCTATTTTGTTATCTAATATAATTGAATGATTGTCTAAGGGGTGTGAGATGATGTGTAATGAGGTTCTAAAAGATTTTCCCTGTATTTCTATATGTTTGACACAAATCACAATTATTTAGGTGAAATTAGTCGAAATAACAACAAATGTCTGAAATAATACAATGTAATATTTAGCCACATTTGTGCTTCAAGCTTTGTTGGTTTTGTACATATTTTGGGGGTCCCTGGTGGAACCTCGAAATCGTTTGTGATTAGTCAAGATATTTACCTCCTCATTCACTTGTAAAATAACTTCTTGCCCAGAGATTGAACAGAATCGTTCTGTTGCAGAGACACTAAAGCTCGCAAAGCTGTCACCTACAACTACGCCTGCATGCTGGTCTTACTGGTGGTGCAGCACTCCAACGAGCTCCGCATGATGGAGCACTTTGGGGCCACCTTGTCCACCATTGCAAAGGCCGATGAGACCAACGCCAAGTTACAGGGTGAGTTTAGAACAGGGCTGTCCAATGGTAAATGTTGTTTACAATGGTTTTGCAAAAACGATTTTATATATTTGTAATTTTCATTTTTTAGAGCTTAGTAAATGGCTGGAGCCTTTGGAGAAGCTCCGGTTTGAAATGGCCAGTATACCCATCCTCATAGAATACATTAAACAGGTAACTATTGTACGTCAGTCAGCTAGTGGAGTTTTTTAAGGGGACAAAACTAATATATGTAAAATGTAAAAAAAAATGCTTTCCCTATTTTACAAATATTCAACTTGTCACTCTGGAACTTGCTTAGACTCAATCTATACCGAATTAATTTTTGTTGCATCTGTCTGTCTTTTATGCAAACGCAATGTTCCTGTTTCACAACACCTTTTTTCTAATGTAGAATGTAGAAAATGTGTTGATGGCTGATGGGACTGGACTCGTCACTGCTCTGCGAATCCTTGGACACCTCGCCTGTCCTTCTAATCCCACAGAAGGTAATTTATGCATGTGTTTGTAGATATAATGGATGTTTTCTTATTCTACACCATTCTGCTGAAGGCTGCACCTTAACAGCAACATGCATTCTAAAAACAGCTATATAAAGCAAAACAATGATAAGCTTATTATCGCATTATTTTGAATCCCAGACAATAGTCAGAGTTCATCATTAAGAAAAGATGATAAAGTAGTAAAAAGGAAAATGGCTGATCTGTGCAGGGCAACAGAAGGACCTGAAATGGAGCCTGGCGGTGGTGCAGCTGTTTTCAGGCGAGGGTCTGGACACCTCTGTGCGTGTGCTGCAGAAGCTGTGCAGTGTGCTGCTCCAGCCATGGCGTCTCCACGGTCACATGGGCCCCACGCCACAGCGCTGCATGATAGTCAGCATCTGCATCAGCGCGCTGCGCCTGCTGCGCACCATGCTGACGGAGCTGCTGAGGGGAGGGGCCTTTCAGTTCAGAGACACACGCGTCGCCAGCGTTTTGGTCTCACTACACATGATGGTCTGCTCCATCCCTGCGACCGGCCGCCTGGACGGGGAGGAGATGAGAGTCCAGGCGCTCATCGTGGACATCCTACTCACTTTCACACAAGGGGTCAACGAAGAGGTGTGTCTTCAAGTGCTTCTTATTGTTCACTTCAAGGAATCAACTTTTTCAGGAATCAAAAATAGACCTTGAGTTGTTTTCATATCCACCCACAATAATATCCTGAACTTCTGGCAAGAACATGTATCCCTGCCCCTTCTGCTTAAAAGCTCCTGTCTTAGTTCTGTAATAGTATGATCATTCTCAGTGCAGATTTCTGCCTTTTTATATGCATGCATTTTTCTGGTGAAATAACCTTCTTGACATGTACACGGCCAAACACAGCCGGTAATTTTCTAATTTAGAAACAAATTAAATAAACCCTTGCTTCCCGTAGTTGCTATTACAGAAGTAAATGGACTTTTGAACTATATTCTATTTTTCCTGTCTTTAGTAGTTAGTTACAAGTTTCATCTGTGATGTGCATTAAAAACATTATTGGCTGTACTTGGGCTTGTGGTTCTTAGTGTCTGGCCTGTGAGCTGTTAGTACATTTTTTCACAAACTCTGGTACGCGTACCTCTGTCACCTTTCATTTAAGAAAATCTTTACAAAAGGATTTAATTTTGTCTATTTTGGTTTCCGTAACTGACTTTTGTTTTTTTCTGTAGGTGACTCACACAGAAGAAACGCTTGCGAACAACACGTGGTCCTTGATGCTTAAAGAAGTGATCGCTTCACTTCACAAAGCTCCTGAAGGACTGTTCTCAGGCCTCACGTTACTGTCTGAGCTGCTTCCTCTGCCCCTCCCAATGCAGAGCACACAGGTATACCTATACTTTTTCATATTTGGTGCATTTCATAGCTTTTTATGAGTACAGATGCATTTTCCCATTCTGTGATGTCTCATGATTGGTCTGAACAAATATCTGCATAACACAAATAGAACCCCCTTAGGTCCTGTTCACACATCTCTGAAATTGTTTTCAAAATAGTTTCCATCTACTCAAATCCACTGAAGTACGCCATGGATGACATTTTGCCAGAGTAATGCAAAAATCTGTTTCCCTATCGCGAGATTAGTAGGAATTTCAATTAATCAATTATTTGTTGATATTGCTGGTTTGATTAACATATTCACCTTCCTCTTGTCTGGAGTCTGCAGAAGGGGGGCTGCATTTATGAAAAGTGAAAAATATTTGAGAGACATAGAAATGCAACTGCTCTCCTGCTTGCCCTCATTCGTCCATCGTTCCCCAAGCAGGGGAATGATGGACGCAAACTGTGATAAAATACCACAGCACATGTGAACAGGGCCTTAATTCTAAAGGCACAAACTCAAATTAAGAAATTATTCATATTTTGACTTTTGTTTCACTTTCAGGGCATTTCGGTTCAGGACGTGGCTGTGGCTCTAAACACCAGGAAGTTGTGGAGCATGCATTTGCGAGCAAAGTGGAAGGAGTTCTCTGAGGTGTTCACTGTCATCAGTCCCACAACGTGCCCCCCGCTGCTCTCCATGCTGAGGAGGGTCTGTGTGCAGATGGCTGACCTCTCCTCCACTACCGCCACTCTCATCATGAAGACCATCCTGGAGCAGCTGATGGAGGAGCTGCAACCGTACGTCCTATACTTTTAATAGACAAAAGCAATAGACAGCAAAGAAACTTATGTGTAGCATTTTATAACAGTAGAGGTCCCAGTAGTGTGCTCTGTGGCACAATTACAAAGTTTAATAGATATTAAAAAATCAATGGAGAGGTTTTATACCATTTTGCTAAAAGAACAAACTAGCAGGATGACTGCTTCCAGGATCTATACGGATACTGGCCCCTGGTCTTCATCCTTCAACAAATTAATAAATCTTTGTCACATATTGGCTGAATCACGTTAAAACTCTAAATGATTTATAGATATATTATTAATTTTATGTTACCTGTAAAAACAATGCTTTGTCTTCACAAAGTTCCTCATTTTCCTCATGTTAATATCAGTTGTTACTATCTGCTTGTGTACTTTAGTCCTAACCTTGTGTTTTCCTCTGTGGTTGCAGTGCGGAGGGGAAGGGTGTGTGCTGGGGGCAGGTGGCTCGTCTCCTCTCTCTGGCTGATGCACTGGTTGCACAGAGAGCTTGTAAAAGTGCAGCGCTACATCTGCTGTCAGGATCTGTCTCTGGAGACGAACAAATATCAGAGCTTTTTCCCCTGCTCCTGACGCTGCTGTCGCCCCCTTCAGACCAGACTGCGCAACAACAGTGCAGCGAACTTGTGGGCACCATCATACAGTCTCTGTGTGACCAGGTAATCAGACATCCAAATGAACCCAGGGAATTTAAAGAGCTTTCCTACTAGAGCCTCTTTCAGCTTTGCTTTATTAGATTTATAATTTTTAATTTGTTTCCTTCATACATTATGTATGGTAATTCACACATGTACGGTAACAATTAATGTACTTTTATTTATAGGTGCCTTTTTAAAGAACTTCTCAATTGGAAAACATTTTAGAAAACATATATTCATAGAAAGGCATTCAAAGGAACTGCAAGTTCCTTTGATAGTCTTTTGAGCAGATGTTTGTGCTCTTGCTCTTTCATTAGGATATTGCCCTGATGGTGCCAACTCCCGGTGAAGGCTGTGTGTCTGAGGTGGAGCAGTTGGCCAATTCTCTTCCAGGACGAGAGATGATTTCTCCAGTGTGTAACGCCTTGTTGGAGGTTTTGGGGAACACAGACTGCTCAGTGTCTCTCCTCCTCACCTGCATCCGGACCCTGACATTCCTCTCAGAACATGATTACGGTCTTTACCACCTCAAAATGTGAGTCTGTGGCATAGATGGATACTGATGCTTGATACTTTACTGATCCTTCTCAGGTGAAATTCTTGTCTTTTTTATTGTTATTGTTTTAGTTAATTATTTGATGTGTAGTTACAAAATTTAAATTGGACTGACCAGATTTACTGCCTTTAGTGTTATAGCAAGTAAATATTTGCCAAATGGGTTACAATAATGTGCATTGTATTACTGGCTTTGCTTATGCACATTGCATCCTACTGAATAAATAGCAGATAAAATGTGTCTTGTCAGTACAGTTTTGCACAATTTTAAACATGGAATCACTACTTTGATTTTATGTAGTTTTATTTTATTTTAATTTTTTATCACAAATACAATTACAAACCCTCTGCATTTGAGAGTCACATTTTTTACCCTTAACCTTGTTGTGATTCTTCCACAGCACATACACAAACAAAGCATCACTGAATCATTGTTGTTCACCAGATTCTACTCACAACATTGTTGCTTACGTCATTTTGTATTTCCGTGTTACAGCTTTCTAAAGAAACACAACTCAAACCTGTGCTCGCTGTTGAAGAGACTGGCTTTTCCGTTCAACAAAGATTCTGTAGATCTGCTTTCTACCTTGTTGGACTTCCTAAGGCAAATCCTCAACACGGAGCCAATGGTGTGTACCCTTCTGTGCCGAAAAGTGGAACCACAAGGCACTGAATACATGGATGATTTTATTTACGTTTCCAGTGTGAGGAGGCCCAGTCACGCAGCGAGGAGCCCGGTTTTGCGGCCCTGCGGCTGCTCAGCGGATCAGAGATGAAAGTCCTTCTCCAGTGGGAGAACGCAGAGACGCATCCACTGCCAACGTTGGAGAAAACAATCACGGTACAGGAATATATATATTTTTTATTGACACATTTGAATAAAATAGTGATTGAACTTCCACAATATGAATGCATTGGCCGACTTGCGTTGTTTTCGTGTCACGTGCGCTGATGATTCCAGGTCTGACTTTTCCATGTTTAAAACCAGTCTTTTCCGTGGGCTCGCTGCCGTTCGCCTAAACTTTTTGTATGCGTAATGTGTGGATGCAGCGTTTTTGTTGTTGTTTTTTTACCTTAAAGATGTATTATGAGAACGTATGTATTCCCCTGATTTTCAGAAAAAGTAGTAACTGTAACGGAATACAGTTACTCAAAAAGAGTATTCTGAATACGTAAATGCGTTACATCTATTCCGTTACTGCCCAACACTGGCCTTGGACACTGCCATTTGGTTTAATTTTGTCTTGTCTGTTTATTCCCATTTGTGCTAGTGTGTGTGTTTGTGTCATTGACTTATGTGTTTTGTTTGGGGGTATTGTAGGGTTCTTATTTATTTTCATTGTATTGTAGTGTGTGTCTGAATAGATGGGAGGGGATTGGTTTAATAATAATGAGCTTTTTGCTTCGACCAATCCCTTTTGAAGCCATGCACAGATTTTCTAATGTCATATTTTCCTTTGAATTTTTTTATCTCTTGCATGTTTGAAATAAAGAAAAAAATGTGTCCTTAGATGGTCTAAAAAGTCATTGTTATGGTTGGATATTGCTTGATTCTGCTATTTAAATGGATGCATTGAAAATGTCATTCCTGGGGTCGTCCTGCTGTATTGCACTTGTTTCAGTGGCATTAATTTGTCTCAATAATATTTTTTTTATCACAATCGTTTTCTATATTGTTCATCAAAACGATTATTCACAAGTGTTCATGGGGTCCCTTTTTAATATAAATTCACAAATGATTACATTTTCTGAAGGTGCTGTAGGTTTTTTGGGTTGAGATGATAATAATGGATCTGAAAAATAACCTTGTGACCGTTGAAGTCAGCTTTCAAGTGTTTACCTTTTACAGAAATTATGCAAAGAGGACGAGTCTCTGGAGACGATGTTGGAGAATGTGGTCGTTCTGAGACAAACTCTGGAGTCAGCCTCAGACTCTGCTCCAGCTTTAGAATCAGAACCCATTCTGCCTCCACCAGAGCCGCTGCCCCTGCAGTTCAACCACAGGTACGACATTTACCGGGCTCCTCTCAGGCCTTAAAAGTCTTCAAAATGTTTCCAAAAAACACAGTATTCATGTTTTATTTAAGTCTGAAAAAGGTACTTGTGCTTTGACAAAAACATGTATATTTGACTGAACCAAGTTGGAATTTAGTGGGAAACAAATCAATGGACAAAATTTACAAATGCACAGATGTATATATGTTAGGGCTGTCAAAATATGGCGTATTACATTTTTCTTTAACGCGTTAATTTTTTTTCAACCCATGTCTGAATGACCCGCCCATTTATCCATAATATCACTCAGAATGCCGCGGATACATGCGTGTGTGAGATGGCAACAGAGCAGGTAGGCCCGCTGGGAATTACATTTTTAAAAGAATACGCACGTGGCTGCGGGGCTGTTGTTTGCTATGAACTGAAGTCCGCCTCCCGGGGCACACCCCGGGGGCAGCTGCGGCCGGTCTGGTGATTGTTAGCTGCTGTGAGCCGCTAACAATAACCCGGAGACTGGCGCCGCGCTTAGACCATACACGCCACAGGACTATTCTCTGCATGTTGTGTGCGTGTCTTTGCAACCTGTGCGTAACCTGTGCACGCAAATACACCGAAGAAGTGTCCGTGTCTCCTCCTGAAACTAAAGTAAACTAAACGCGCTAAATTAAAACTGGGGTACGTACATTTTCCCCTTTCATTAACAGCTCATGTTGGTTGTGAGCAAATCAAACAGACTTAAGTACATTTGGTATGAATGACAATGTGTCATTACTTTTGATAATCTCATTTAACTTCAATTGGAGTGGATTTGAAATAGAATGTTAAAAATGTGATTAATCGTGAGTTAACTCACCATTACTATGCGATTAATCGGCTAAAAAAAAATAATCGTTTGACAGCCCTAATATATGTATATTATTAAATTAGACGAGGATGAGTAGGAACAAGATCTATTTCCCAAGAACAATTTTACATTCTTAAAGCAGTGTTTGTAATAGATCAATAGTTATTATCATTTTCAAAATGTTTGCAATTTGAATGAATGCATTTATCTATGTACAATTAAGCATGTGTATTTTCTTAGCCTTTTTACAGCCCTTTTATCTTACAGGACAGCTTACATTCTGTCTGAAGCTCTGGATGAACAGCTGAAGGCTCTGTGGTTTGCTCCTTTCCAGAATGAGGATATCGAGACTGATCTGGACATGGTATCTTTATCTTATATGTTTCTCAACACACACAACTCGACACCTGTTTTAGCTCTTCATGTGTGTTTCTGTTTCAATGTGGCAGGTGAAGGTGGACCTGATGGGTCTTGCTCTGGAGTGTTGCCCAGAACTGGATCTAAAGTCTGAACTGGAACGCTCCTTTATGTCCGAACCGTCTTCTCCAGGACACGCCAAACCCTCCAAAGGCTTCAGACTGGGCAAGCACAAGCACGAGACGTTCATTACCTCCAGGTATGAAGCGTGGTCAATGCTAGTTTCAGAGTGCCCAGGGATAGATGTCAGGTTTGCGGTTTATAAGTAAAACAGGGAATATGTTTGTGGAGAGAATTATTCAAAATATGAAACGTATATGTCACAAGTACAACGTTCAAATTTGTATGTAGGATTTTTCATTTGAGATTAGTATGGCTGTCACATTTTCACTAAGACTAATTATAGTTGAATGATCATCTTCATTATAGGTTCTTCCTTCCTCATTCATGTTCCAAATGATCCTACACGAGGATGGACTCTGATACAGTTACGTCATTGTTGGTTCTTTCTTTTGTCAGTGGGAAAATGGACTACACAGAACCAGCCAAACGAGCCCACATCATGGCGGCTCCTCGCGGCCGCGGAGGTCGAGGGGGATTTGGACAACACATGCGTCCTCATGACATTTTTCGCCAGCGCAAACAGAATACGTCGCGTCCGCCCAGCATGCACGTGGATGACTTTGTTGCCGCTGAGTTTAAAGACATTACCCCAGTCGGGCTGCTTCCCCCCAAGCGGCCCCCCAAGAGCGCCCCCAAACCCCCCACCAGAGGAATGTTCACGGGCAACAGAGGCAGAGCAGGTTTCAACAGCCAGACGCGGTTCTTCACCCCGCCACAGCCTAAAGGGGTCCTGCTCTCTGGTACGTACACAGGCCTCCTGCTGGCTGTTTAACAAAACATATCACACATGTGTTGGTTTTACCTTTCCTGGGTCTTCACTACCAACCTTTGTGTTATTACAGGTAACTACCCTCGCAGAGAAGGTGGACGTGGCTCCTCGTGGAGCCCTCAAGTACCAGGGGTCACACACAGAGGGACGTACAGTGAACCACGCGGCGGTCAGGGCAACTTCGCCCGGGGACCTCTGCCTTCAAGACAACCTCCTGCTGGTGCGTATGACCAGGGCTGCACTCGGACCAAAAAACTGAATTTTTGCCTCCTAAAAAAATATCTATATATTTTATCTGTTCTGGTCACCATAGAGACGAGCAGGTCTTGTTACATGTGAGAATTTTTTTTAAATGAAGCCCATTCAAGAAGAAATTCATGTTTTTCAAAAATATAGATGAACGTTGTACCTCACTGAAAAAATGTTTTCTAAATAATTTCATATTGTGGAACCACAGACTGTAGAAAGAAGTGGACAAAGCGAGTGCTGACATTACCCATACTGTTTAGCTTTAGCTAAGTGATTAAAGCTAACTCAAACGAGCTCTGGGGGTGGGATTTTGGAGCAAAATTATATGATGACTACTTTGTGACCAAATACCAATCAGGTGCGAGGAATATCACAAATATAACCACCAGGATCATATAGAGCAAAATCTTCAATCCCCTTAATGTGTGACACAAACAATTGAAAAGTAAACTCCTCTTAATCTTTAACTAAGTAAATGGAAACCAAAGCGCGTTGGAGCAATATGTCTCCCATAAACTCTTCTAATAATAAGTAATAAGTTTCATCTGTCCACCACAGTCTGCAACATCAAGAAGTGAAGTGTTGATAAAGACCACTTTTGTAAAGCGCTTTGTGACTCTGCTCTGTGAAAGGCGTTATATAAATAAAGATTACTTACCATCTGTGAAGTTACAGTTCAATGTGTTTTAGAGATTTAAGTTCTGAATTACTGTTAGATCCGTAATCCATCGTACTCTTTATTGTTCTTCATCTGTTTGCAGGTGCGTATCGCCTCGCTCCGCGGGACAGAGCACCGCGGGGTCGGGGAGGCACGGGGCTGTCGTGGCTGAGCGGAGGAGGCGGCGCGGGGGGAGGTGGGGGAGGAAGAGGGTCCCAGGGCAGTAAGTTTGGTGGAGGAGGCAGTGGAGGTGGGAGGGGCCGACACGTGCGCTCCTTCACCAGGTAAACGGACAAGGACTCGAGCTGCAGAAACTTGAGCAGTTTTTAGCGCTGGAACAATGATGATGCGGAGAAATACAGACTTTGTTTTTCGTTTGTTTTACATGAACTGTTAGGAGGCGACAAGTCATACCGAGCAAGTGACATTTTTTATTTTGTGGAAGTTAGTGAGTCTAACTGTTGTAAAGATATGACAATATTTAATAAAACCAAAAAAACAGCCGTTGTTTGGAATATGTTCTCTCCAATTATCTTTTTCCCCACTATAAGCAACAGAAATAATGGCTGTTCTGAATGTTTGTATTTATGTTATGTTTTTTATTGATTTTTTTTGTATTCTTTTTTAACAGACAAAACAAAAGACAATTTTAATGTGTTTTTTAAAATGTATTTTAATAACCCTTATTCACCAACAACATCCTGATATCAGGGCACTTTCAATACAACAAACGGTTTTCTTAAAGTTTCAGAGCTCCACCATTTGTCACATTCAATTTCTGAAAAACAATGGGGCCTAAAGGGTTTATTGCAAAGTAAAATGGGCAGCAGTAAACAGAAAGGGTAAAGTGTTTCTGGAGTACACAAAAAGTAGAAAAAGGGACATCAAATTGGATCAGCTGACAATTTGTTCCTCGTTGGCAGATTTCTGTAACGTAAGTAAGTAAGTAAGTAAGTAAGTAATCTTTATTTGTATAGCACCTTTCACAGGCAAAGGCCACAAAGTGCTTCACAACACAGTTAAAACATCACAAAATTAAATACAATATAAAAAGGGTCAAAACAACACAGAAATCGTATCAGCCCAAAAATAGCTAATTAAAGGCTTGAACAAATAAATGAGACTTAAGATTGCTTTTAAAAGTATCAACAGAGTCAGTAGAGCGCAAAGAGGGCGGAAGATCGTTCCAAAGCCTGGGAGCAACAGCCTGGAAGGATCGGTCACCTCTTGTACGAAAACAAGTGCGTGGAACCTTTAGCAGATTTTGATCCATAGACCTCAGAGCCCGAGCAGGGGTGTGAGGCTGGATCAGAAAACTGAGCGTAACATTCTTATTTCAGTCCCAGAGAAAGGGAGTTGGGTAAGAGAGGGAGACACTGTGGACCAGCACACCTCAGATGACTGTGACCTCGCGGGTCTTCTTCTTGATGCAGTCCAGAGTGAGACTGCGGGTGCTCCCCCTGTGGACAGAGGACTGAGGGGAGAGAGGGGCCCCTGGAGCGCTCAGGCTGGAGGCTTCTCTCTGCTGCAGACGGGCCTCGGTGAGCAGGGCCCATTCAGATGACTGGGCAGGCTCCAGCCGCTGGTCCCTGCAGAGATGGATGATCAGTTAGGAAGGATAATCAATACGACTAGTTGTGTGCACCTATTAAAGGTCTTACTTGTCACCAATCAAAAGGTGGTTGCCTTCGGAGTTCATTTTTCTCACTGGATTTGTATTTAAATGCTTTTCAAATTTCTAATTTCAATCCATGATAGACATTTTTTCTGTCATGAAAACTAATTACTATTATAACTGCGGCTCAAACCGCTGTAACACCCATGATGTAATTCCCCTATCATTTATCAATATTACTTTATTTTAAAAACATAATAGATTTTTGAAGGGACAATGTGGAGTAACAAGTTATTGGTTTTAAGAGTAAGAGAGATCCTTTATTTGTCCCGCAGTGGGGAAATTTCAGTGTTGCATCACAGGACAGTAGGTCTGAGGAGCACACCCACACAAAAGAAGATTCCTGTATATTAAGTATAGCACAAGTCTATTCTTGTATGCTTTAGCTTTACTCCTACTGTTACACTACTTCATACAGGAGCAATGGTTGCCGCAGTGCAGGATGTCCAGATGTTGATGCTCGGCTTGGTCAGAACAACTTTTTATCCCTTTAATGGTTTTCCTCAACCTTTTGAAAGATCACTTTTTGTGTCACTATCTACTTGAAACTTGGAACTGAAATCTACCTCATTGGAGCATCTCACTTTGTTTTAGGCACTTTAACCATCAAACTGCATCTCAACCATTTGGTAAGGGCCTATAATTAAAAATAACAAACCTTTTTGTGCTCCTACATCTTAGAAAATAAAAAAATACATATTTGCTTTAAGGAGTGAACAAATAATAGCACATTTGATTTGTGTAAAAGTAAATGCTGTATTTATCTTATCCGAAGACATTGTATCTTTTGCATACTTGTATGAAAGACCTCTGAGTCACAATTCGACGCTTTGGGTTTTGAGCTGATTGGCTATTTTTCACTTTTATGACTGGTTTGAAAGTTAGGGAACCTCATCTTTAATTGCAGTGTGTGCATCACAAGATCGGCATTACCTTGGTTAAAATTGCTATTAATTGGATACATTGCTAAGTCGGCTTTTATTGTGAAGGACAAACATTAGCTACACAAATGACCACATTACAACAACAGTGACGTGTGTGTAGTGTTGAAATGTCTCAGGACAGGTCACTTTCACATCAGTTTTGTGATCACCATAAATAAAAGCTAGAGGACACATGGCTGCTCTCCTCACCTCTGCTCTCTGGATGAGGCTCCTTCAGTGAGGGCTGTTCTGTGCGGAAGGTCCCGGAGGAGTTCTAGGAGTTCCCTCTTCTCCAACTCGACCTCTGCCAGCTCCTGCCGCCTCAGACGCTCTGCCCCCAATAGAGCACGGACATCACCCATCACCCGGGACAACTGGCCCTGCGCCAACAAAACATGTGGTGAGAGGGGCTATTGGGGAAAGCATACATTATCACAGTTGTTTTAGTGATCTGAACTTAAAAGAAATTTTGAAAATCTAAGTTGGAATCATACCATTGATTTATACTTATGTGCTAATGCAGTATTTACTGTACAGCTTTAGCTCATGTATATAATTTATCTATGAAAAAACAATCATCACACAAATAGTCCCAACAATATGGAAATTGTACTTCGAACAATTGTGATGTAAAAATAGACACTGCCACCATATCACCTTTCACTAACAATGCTCTGAAGTCAATGTAAAGTTCTTTTTATTACCACTGGATACACACTGATACACAGCTGAACAAATACCTTATATTTGGTGAATACAAGCTTTTACTCGTCATGCAATTAAATGTCTCAAAAAAAGATTTGCCAAAGGGACAAGTGCGGGTGATCTTATTTCAAGTGCAGTAGTTTTCATTCCAAGTGACAATTGTCTTGTCTTTTGGCAAATCCTATTTTGCCACTTGACAAAATTGATGAAATTCAAAACAGATTTTACTTATTTTTTGTGTATTGTATTTTCTGACTTACTTTGTCTTTTGTACAGTAACAGTGTATTGTTATTATGTATTCTCTTATGTATTCACCAAACTGTTACTGTCATAATAATATACAGATCTGCTGACCTTGAGCTCTTCCACTTCGTTCTTCAGCTGTGATTCTTTCTGAACCATGTGCCTCCTCTGTGAGTCCAGACGAGACTCCATCTCCCTTCTCACCTCTTCCACTTTGCACAACATCTCCGCTCTGTTTCAAACATATATAATCATATATCGTATTTGCCGGACATTAAGCTGCTGCTTTTGTTTTAGTTCCTTGAATCCTGCGACCCATACAGTGATGAGGCCGATGTATGTTGTTAAATAAAAACAATATTCCTGCACAACAAATATAAGATAAACTCCCATCACTGACAAACTGTTTTGGCATCTGCAATCTGTAGACAAACTAGGCTGAGTTACAGGTCGTATCTCCATGATAACAAGTAAGAGTTTTTAAAAAGTGACAATACATCGTTTTTTTCCTTTTTTCCTTTTTTAAGCTTGGGTACATAAGTAACTATGTGATAAATTCAATTTAACTATCTCAAAACAGGCCTCATCTTCATGTCACATCTTCAGCTTTTTCAGCCAATCAGCTCTTAAGAATCAGAATAATTTTATTGTCATTGTGAGTAACAGGAATTCCCAAACAATTTGCTTTGGCTCATGGTGCAGAGAAGTTATCAGAGTAAAAAGTAGATAAAAAATAATGAAAAATCTTTATCAAAATAATTAAGATGAAGACGTAATTAGTTCATAACATTTTACTTTTACAGGACTGTCTGTTGGTACAATAAATATGTGTTATTTATGAAAAAAACAATAACGGTTAGTGCTCATCGGATGTTGCTTTAAACATTTGCGCTCTGTATACAGTGGGATGAAAAAGTTTGGGCACACCTAACGATTTTGATTTCTTTATTTAACTTATATAATATGAAATTTCTTATCCAAACAAACAAAGATTTAATATAGGAAAATCATACACATTGTTAGGGCACCGCAGTTCATGTTTAATGATTAATTTCCAGTTTCTGGGAGAGTTTTCACCTGAGCATTTCCACCTCGGTGCGCAAGTCTGCGACACAGTTGTGCTGGGGCTGCTCGGCGGACAGCAGCGTGTGGCCACAGCCGTTTGGACAAGACCGACTCCGGAAACTGCACTCTGCCAGATGAGCCTCCAGCCCCCTCCTCTCCACCTGCACTGGGCATCCTGGCACAAGCATTCAAGTCACATGTCATCATCATCATCATTATCTTCATCATGCAAGTATCTCAGGCACGAGTTTAAAGCAATCTCTATAGCCTCTGTGTATCACTTGAGACATCCTTATATACATATAACTGTTTTTTTTTATATACTGTAATTGTGTGTAATTTTTGATACCTCTTAATCTCAACGGGACTTTCCTGATTAAATAAAAGTTAAATTAAATAAAAATATATTAAGTATAAATTTCAGATGAACATTGCAATCATGGATTTGTTGTGACAGTAGGATAGTCGTCAAAGTGCATGAGGAGAATATACATTTTAGAGAAAACTGAAAGATGAAATATATGCTTGAAATAAGATTAATTTTTCTTTATTCTGTGAGATTTTCACTGTTAAAATGTGTCAGCCATTTGCAGTGAGAAAACACATTGGACAGTCTGTGCAAAAAAAAAAAAACTGCACAATAGGAAAAACAAAGCTCAAGTCTGAATAATTCTTACTTAAAATAAGTAAGTAAGTAAGTAATCTTTATTTATATACCGCCTTTTCACTGCACATCGGAGTCTCAAAGCGGTTTACAATTGTTATTTTTGGGAGTGGGGGTGCCAGTACAGGAGGCACATGCCAGACCTATTGTACATATTTTTAGTGGTAGGGGAAACCGGAGCACCCGGAGGAAACCTACGCAGACACGGGGAGAACATGCAAACTCCACTCAGAAAGGCCCTGTTCCGACCGGGATTTGAACCCAGAACCTTCTTGCTGAGAGGCGAGAGTGCTAGCCACTCAGCCACCGTGCTGAAAAACTGCTGAAAACTAAAAAGAACTAAACTGAACTTGACTTTTCCATCAGCAAATGTTATTTTAAAACACTCAAAATGCAGTTTATTCCACTTTTTGCAGTGACCCTCGTATTTCTAAACCAGTTTCAGAGCTCTAAACACAGGGAAGCCTGATATTTGTTAACATATATTATAAGAACATATCAGATGAATGATTGGGGCCACTACATTTTTTATTGGATTGCGATAAACCTTGCAGCCTTATGTTCTGTCATGTTTGAATCCAAAAGTAAAAGTAACCATCAAGTTATACAAGTAAAACATGTTTAAAATAATTGTTTCTCAACATGTTTAGACATGTTTAGAAACGTGCAGCGTGTTCGGCGTCTTGCTTCCGTCATCACTGTGTGTGAATGGAAAAATATCTGATTTCTGAACATTGTAAAGCGCTTTGGGACCTTGGTCTGTAAAATGCGCCATATAAATAAACACTACTCACTTGAACTCAGAGACGTAAGATTAAAAATTCATATTGTGATCTGAAGTAAGGAGGAATGCGTTTGAGTTTAATTAATATATTGCCCTGTTATCCCTATGTTTTTTTTTTACTGCAAATGGCAAATAAACTGAATCTGCAGTTGCTGACAGACGGGGGGACAGATTACCAAAGAAGAAAAGGTGGAAATGGGATTAGGATTTAAAGATCTGTCCCAAACCCTTTGGCATAATCATCATCAGTTCAGTATTCACATGCACACTGGATGTATCTAAACATAAAACCACACACCATGCACAAGCACGACCTACCACAGTGACAACATATGTACTCTGCATCTGCCGAGGACAACCAAAGGATTAGTATGGACGAGCAGTAACCAACAGACTACATAATAAACAAAACTGCACTTAAAAAATGAGAAAGTAACTTATTCGTAACCCTGAAAAGAACCACACTTGTCTAAGCAACGAGTAGGCGACGAGTAGGTGGAAGACAAAAAGGGAGGGTCAGCTTTGGACTGGTCTGGATGATGCCTTAAAGGGGATGTCAATAACTTTTATTGTATTTCATTTTTAAAAGAAGGCCTATTTTCCTTTTTGTAAAGTAGGTATTTTCAAAAGCAATATATTTAATACAGTCTCTCTCAATGGCATAACCACCACCAGTAAGATTTTTTGGAGGAAAATAGTCCAATGGTAAGGGGCCTTGTCTGTGTATCAAGGATTTAAATGTATTCTGTCCAATCACGAAGCAGTGGGGGCGGGTCTAACTGGTGCTTGTCAATGAAAAACAATGCACTCACTCCACAACTCAAAAAGTAAGGGATATTTACTTAGAATTCAAGGTAAAATCTTAAGCATTTGATTAAGAAAGAAAATATTTGTATAATGTCTGAATTGTTTGAATAATAGTAAACAAAATACCGTGTTTGTTGTTGTATGATCAGATTTGAATTAAACATTTTTGCCACATCTTCAGTCCAGCCCTTAAAGACTGTAAAATCCTCACGTTATACGAATGGAACTGTTTTTGCTGTATGTAATTGGTGTATGTAACAACGACAAAACCAAACCTGTGCTATATTTGTTATTTGTGTCAGTATTATATATAGATCTATGGAGTATGAGGTCTTTATGCTCAGAGGATACAAACCGTTTAATCTCAAACAATTCAAGTATATTTGGTCCTAATGTGTCACTACAAACTCTCAATGTCTGTGAATGAATTCTGGAACCGTAGATGTTGTCTTTGTGCTCCTTCTCGTGTTGGTGTGTGAAATCCTGAACCTTCAAAAATCCTTCATTGCCACTAATAAAACTCATTAACTAAACGACAACAGATGTTTATCTGCGGTATGGTACATTGCACAGTCTATTTACTTATTTTGCACAAGCAGTTTAGCAAGTATGTTTAAGTACAAAATACTGCTTATTTCAGAGTTTCGCGAAAGACACAGACCCTTATAATATGTGTGAAATCTGTCAATTGGTGTGTTAATTCAACTAATTTAAAATCATGTTGCACGCCTCCATCTATAAGATACTATCACAAATATTGGCCTATGTGAGAGAGACTTAAATAACCAATATGCCAACATACATTTGTGTAGGTGTGGATACTGTCACAGTAACCATAGCATCAGCAGAAGCCACCTGTTCTCTCCATAGTGTCACGTTACTACTGTCTCTTTGTGTATCCTCAAATAGCCTGGATATGAAGTTACTTGTCTAATTGTGACTATTTTCCCTCGTTACAGATTTTAATATTACAGCATTCATATTAACAAAGTAATATTCATCATGGCTTCATTATAGTTCTCACTCCTTTAAAGCAGTGGAAGTATGTGGTCAGAATGCAGGTATCAGACCTGTGTTGGGACAGGAGATGAAGGCAAAGTCGCACAGGTCTTGGTGAGGGTGTATGTTCTCCAGGGAGCAGACCACTTCACAGCCCTGGTCTGCGTTCACACAGCGGATCTGCAGCCGGTTGAGGTCATTACGCATGTACCTGACATGTGTCCAAAAACAAGAGTGAGAGTATAGGAAACCATAGTTCCACTTGGATTTCATTGATCATGTGTTTTTTTGTTATATATAAATCCAAAAATGTTGTCCAAAAAGTATGAAATGTATTATGTGACATTAGAGTGTGATATTTGCATGAGTGAAGGTGTACGTGTCTATTGTGTGAAGTCTAAATGGACCCAAAATTAGAATACAAATTTCTTTAGAAAACCTGTAATTCTTTGAATACTTGAAAGAAAGAGCCAAGTGAGTCACTGTTTGACGGTTTGGGCTGAGAGCTGAGTGATCGAATGAGGGTGAGGGTGGACTTCACTTTTCTGTGTAAAAAAGCTGATCTACACATGTGACTGAGGCCTGAGGGGGCAGTGTGTATTAGCATACACCACTGCTGTTAATACATCGTATTGTATTCCATCTGTAGTGCCACAGTCAAACTCACAAACTCACACACTCAATCATTCTTCCTGAACCATTAAATGTCTTTAGTAGTACCCTGATGAAATCTATGAATGACATGCAAACTCCACAGAAAACCCCTTTCTGTAAGGATGCGAGAGAAAACCAGATAGTCTTGAAAAATGTGGGTAGCCCAACTTTGAATAATGCACATGATTTACTTTTATTTGTGAGTTGGGAGTGTAAAATGGTCCTAGAAGGATTTGACTTCATTTGGATGTTCCATAAATAGAGCTTGATACATCGTGTTCTACAATGTGTCTGACACAACAGCGCAGAGTGCAGGGCTGACCTGTAGAGAGGCTTGAGGCTCCCGGACTCCAGCGGTAGTCTGTCTTCAGGGCAGGAGCTGTGATGCACCAGCCAGCTGCTGATGCACGCGCTGCAGAAGGCGTGTTCACATGGCGCCTGTAGAGGGCGCTCCAACACGTCCCGACACACGCAGCACAACAGCCCTTCATTCACATAGCCCACAAAGCGCTCCAGGTCAAAGCCCATCCTCCTGAGGACACAGCAGAGGGCAGTGTGAACAAAAGCACCCAAACATACTGTAGGCTCAGTATAATGTTCTCAAATATATGGGACTGACGTCGAATGAGGATAAAGTGATATTACTGTCTGTAAACTGGAGAGTTGAATAACGTTTTGACAAATACAGTATCAAATTCTCTGCCCAAATTGCAACTTTAATATAATATAACAATATAACAACAACTTCACACACACACACACACACACACACACACACACACACACACTGATTTAGTATTTGATAATAAAAAACTAAAATGAAGTAGTAAATCCTCATATCCTGCGCCGTGTAATATCTTGACAGTTTCAAGAAAATATTTAAAACATCCTCCTTTAGAGTAAAAAATGCTTCTGAGATGAAAAGAAAGGTGAAAGGTCTTCTAGCTTGTTGGTATTAAAACTATCAAAATACATTCAATTGAGATACATTTAAACATTTGTAGCATATTTATGCCTTTGTTAAAAAACAATCCCCCAAAAAATTTTTTTACCAGTATTTTGGGATTTAATTTCTATTCTGACTAATCTTTGAGACCTATAGAAGTTTATACTTTTATATTCAGCTTATGTTTCAGAACATGTGCACTGATGCATCATGATGTATTGATGAATTGTCACCTGTTATTTGCTGCTCAAGAAAAAAAAAACAAAAAAAGTTAAAGGAATTGTTTGTTAATGCACTCTTAATGGTCTTGAAAAGTCTTTACAATTACATTCCAAATCTTGTTGCAAGAAACAGTACAAACTATGTGTAGTATGTATGACTTCTTATTTTTGTATCTGCTTTCATTTAAACAAATGTGTGGTGATTTTGTCCTGTTTGTAAATGTTGTTTTATATCTATAAAGACAGAATCAAACCAAGTACATTTCACCCAACAAACTGGAAAGCCTAATGAAAGTCTTGTTCTACTCTCTGATTGTATAATATGCAATGTAAACATAGGAGTTTATGTCCTTGGAATTTTTAAGGAATAAGGAATGAATAATTGCAGTTTAAACTTTGAATAATGCCTGCTATAACGTGGATATACTTTCAAACACTTATGAACTTATGAACTCTACTTTACACACTAAGTGAAGCCAATGGTCATAGAGGTATAGTCTAAAAAGGGTTACAGTTTTTGCTCAAAATATTAACAAACTTAAAGAAAAAGAAAAATCCATGCAGCTACAGTATTTGTAAAGAGGACAGTTTAAGGAAGAAGCCGAGGTTATGAAACTGTCTTGTTAGTGATGCAATAAACAGGACAAATACACAGGACAGGGAATCAAGGCTCTCTTTTGGTATATTTCTTATAATACAATCATACCATGATTGTACAACCGTGCCACTGTTATGATGAACACCCTACCAAAACCCTTTAAGCGCCAGAGTATTTTCAGAACTGTGATGTAAAACAAAAAACAGATGGATGGAAAGTCAGCATGGAAAGGGCTCTGGAGTCATGAGCTCTTATATCAATTCTATTTGGTGCCGACAGCATTACAGTAACAACAGGATTTCTTGCAAATTATAAATTAAAAAATAATCTATATAGTAAACAAGTAAAACGTTTTTTTTTAATCACAAATAGTTTTCCTGGAATAATTTAGTCTAATGTTGCTGAGTAATAGAAATATACACTATAAACACATTGAAATTTTTTATGTTGAGCCAAGCAAGTTTACGAGATACTGACAATAAAAGCACCACTCACCTGTCTTTACTTTCTCTTTACTTCTTCTGCTGTTCCTTCTGATCCTACCTCCCTCTGCGGATGGGTACAGGTGAGGGCCTCTTCCTTTGGGACGGTGTTTCCATGGAGATCCACCCTGACAACCGGACCAGCAGTCCACCAGCTGTCATGCGAAAACCATCTCTACATTACAGGAAATGAAGACAGCACAGCAACCAAACGCTTCAACTAGTCCCCATTATAATATTGTTGTTTATTTTTGTCCCCGGAGATTAGCGCTGTCCTGCAGTTCTCCCGCTTCCATCCTTGCCCAAGTTTCCCTGTGAACACGGGATTAACATGGATTATACACTCTCTCCTTCTCTGATTAGATTATGCGCTGAACCGCATCACATTTAACAAACAGCAGAAATCAAACAGCAAAAAAACAAACATGCAATTCACTTTACCAATTTAATATGAGTTGCGTACTAATAATGCTGCAATTATCCCAATCCCAATTGTATAATAGGAATTACATTTTTCTTCCCAATCCAAAAATCCCATGGCATAAATATGGACATTTAAATGAAATAAAACTATATCTGAGTATAAGGGATGGTAAAAATGTCTCCTAAAAATGTAGTAGTGCCTTTATTAGTCTTGCCATTGTTAACAAAAATGATTTCAGTTAATACAGAAGTGGATGCAGAAAAGCCAGAGTAAGGAGTACGGATTAATATGGTGTGGATTATCTTTACTTGCAGATTTAACACACTCATAAACAAAATGATTCACGTTTGTTTCCAGAATCATTTTCATATTTTTCTCACTTCATCAAAGCAATAAAACGTAATACTCTCTTTTTTGCCTAAGGTGTGGTTGGGGTTAACATTCAGCTAAATAACACAAATAAGTACAAGAAATTAAAAACATATTGTCATTGTACAACAGGCCTGTTCAAAAAAAGGACTTGCAAGGATGGACTCACTTGGTCCGTGTACTTTTGCGTTCAATACATTTTCTGTTTTTGAAGGGAAATGGAAAATCCAAAAAGGACTATTTTGCACTTTCAGGCACACGGCAATATACAAAAATTACCTTTTTTTCATTGCTTATAAGACATGTATATTATAATAACCCAATTAGGGAACTATAAAATGCAATAATTAATATTTTTTATTATGTATTTAACACAATTTGGCGTCCATCGATTACCCAAAAGACAAACAAGTTTGTTTACTCGCACGGTATTAGTATTACCTGTGGACCCCTGGTACAATGTGATAATCACGGAGGACGTCCGAGATCCAGTCCCGTGCGAATGTCTCTGTGAGGTCTGTGGAGAAGTGTAGATGACAGTGTAATGTGTTCACGGTAGGGCTGGGCGATACGGCAAAAAAGTAAAATCTCGATTTTATTTCCTGCTGTGGACAATTTCGATTTTAAATCGATTTTAATGAAAGTCACCAAAGACAAACTTTGCTCTTTAAAATATTTTTTTGATCTTTCCGCCCAACATTAAAGTTTCAAAACTATTTTCAATTTGTTTCCCCCAATACGTATTATAAAATTCTTGTACAGACTGTGCTGATATTGCAAGTAGAATTCAAGTGCTGCTGGAACTCTCACAATATCCTTCAGCCGATTTCACGATTTTCTGATTTTTCACAAAATCGATTTTTTTCAAAAGCCGGTTAATTGAGTATGTGGTGCGTTCACGGGTAGTACGTACAAACTATTATTAAACATTGCAGACAGTACGGGCCATAGAACTGTAGAGCAGTAAAATGTTTCTCCTCATGGTCTCTTTGGCTGCTGTGGTCAGACTCAACTCTCTATACTTCGTGAAGCGGAGAGACCCGCGCACGTGCGCCGATTATGTCAGATGGCAGTGAAAATATAGTATTTCATAGATATTGCTTATCCCCTGTGAATGCACTGCAAGATCTCAGACGTCCTCCGTGATTACCACAAATTACCAGGGGTTCATAGGTAATACTAATCCCGTGCGAATAGGGCTAAAATAAACAAACTTGTTTCACTTCGAATCGATTGATCGATCGGTAATCGACTAACGCCGAAATGTATTACATACATAATACATTTTTTTTAATTATTACAATTTCTAGTTCCCAAATCCGGCTATCATAATATATATATGTCTTATAAGCAATCAAAATAGTCATTTTTGTATATTGCTATGTGCCTGAAAGTGCAAAATACCCTTTTTTCGATTTTCTATTTCCCTTCAAAAATAGAACACAAAAGTACACGGACCTGACTCCTCTCCATAAGCAGGACTATAAACAGAACATAAGTGGGTTTCAGTAATATTACTATTCTAGTGCCAATATTAGGTACCATATTTCTTGTATAGTATTCAAAGGATATCATAGTGATGACAGCAATCAACAATTCTCAATAAAATATAATTAAGAAATGTCTTCATATCTTCTTACCATGTTGCAAAACCATATCGAAAATAATGTCAGCGCAGAAAATATCTGAAAACTCGATCTAAGTTTACATTGAAAGTTTAAGTTTAGTAAATGTTAGTTTTGTGTTTTGTTTTTATTTAGCAGGAAACGAACCATGGGGCTTCCGTTAGACCCGCCCCTGTTGGAAATGAACCAATCAGGCTGCGCGGCGCTGTAGCGGGAGAAAGGCTCTCGTTTTGAGAATCAATGCAAGAAAAACACATTTTGACTCTGAAAGCGTTTAGATTTGACACAGTCAGTAAACCACGTCTATCTACGGTATGTATAACAGGCTGCTCAAGTGAAAAGAAGCTCCTCACAGTTCCATAGTGTTGGGAAAGTAATCATGTTTTTGCTAGCCTGCTGTTTACATGCTAACTTCAGCTGAGCGTCAGAACTACATGGATTATGTTCTTGATCAATGTGTATTTACTACAGACGTTATGCTCAGTTTAACCTTTTAATAGTGACAATTCTTGAGTGGTATTCAATAGCTGTCTACTGTATTATGTTGGGATTTAATATTCCACGAAGAGCGTGTGTGTCTTGGTGGCAGCTGCATGGATCTATGATAGGGCAGCTGTCATCGCTGCTAAATTAAATTCAAATGTGTAAATGTATTTTTTATCAAACACCTTGGCAATAAAGATGTTCTCATGTTAGGTTTGTATTAGTTACATTTATTTGGTGTGCTTTACAACTAAATAGTTAGATTGTGCTCCCCTTGGGTCAAAATGCCACAGTGATGATCTTTTTAAAAATCCTTAATTAGGGTCTAAAAGGGTGTAAATGACCCAGGGCTGGTCAAGTTAGGGAAAATCATCATCATTTCAAATACACAATTGTATAGATCGAACAGTAGCATTTCCAATGTTTTAATTGGCTGGTTGGCTTGATTTAAAAGCTTTATGTTTTGATCTAAATGTAATCCACCACTTAGTTATTTTGAAGAGGAAGATTTCACCGAGAGCGAGCCAAAGGGTGTAGCCAACTGTTCAATAAACCCACAATTGTCTCAGCATTTTAACAAGGCCATTTTATTAACACTAACATACAACAATCTCACTCATTAAGACAGGAGTATTTATTACATGTTTTTCTTGCAGAACCTTTCATTGCTGTTGAAACAATGAGGCGTTCAGGGGCCCCCAGTCAGCTCCTGAGTAATCCAGGTAAAAAGCCCAGATTTGTGTCTCCTGCAGCATCAGGATCAAACTTCTCCCCACCGTGTCCCAAACCATTCAGTACAACACAAAGTTTCAACGTACTTGATAAGGTAAACCTTTTAAAGGTAAATTATGTTAAAAAAGTGTAATGTTTTCAATATTGTAATTCACTGTTAGTATAAGTATGTTATCTGTTTGCTTAAAAAATAGACTCAGTCTTGCGCAGCAAACATAGCAAATCTGTATCTAAAGTTTCAACCATGTCCCAGACTAATATGTGGAGATTCAAGCAAAGGAACAGACAACCCACACTGAATTCTGATGATTTGTTCCAGTAGCAGCAGCAGCAGCAGTGTTAGTATTTATTTTTTATTACAGATTTATTAAACCTTTTTTATAACTTCTAGGTTGGCAGGCAACAATGGCTATTCATATGAATATTGATTGTTTACACACCCTCAGAGAATACTGTTGACCTATGATCTGCAGTTACACACTCTGGATTTCTCCCCAATAAATCATCAGCAATGCATCTGTCGTACAGTGACCCCTTCAGTGTGACTAGTCTGCAAGTCTCTGGTTTTGGACACTTCTCTGTAGTCAGCAAGTATTGTGTTAATGTCCAATTCCTAGAGTTTTATTTGGCCTTAAGTCCATCTCTTTGGCTGCTACACACTGCTCACCACCAGATAAAGCATAACTCTTCTGTCTGACAGCCCAGTCTGAGAACTTGCTGCTTCCATCATGTGTTACTTGATATTGAATGAATGAAATATTTATTTCAAAACCTGCACACATAATTTTACAGAAAACAAAACAAAAGCAAAAACACGTACAGGGATTGAAAAGGGGTTGGAGGAAGCAGAATGCTTATATTAATCCAACCCCCCTCACCCAGACTCACAGGACAATCAGTAAGACGGAAACAATACCATCCTGGGTAAAAACACATAATACAAATGTTTACTGTACAGTACATACAGTAATATTGAATTTAGTGCCAAAGGTTGTGTATTACATGTTCTCATTAGGAAAGCAATAAAACATACTACAGCAGTATACACTAGTATATTCATAGGGAAAATAACATAATACACATAACATACTTTGCTCTTTATAAAATATCCATACGTTTTACCTGCAAATGGCAAATAAATTGAATATCAAATACTATAAATGGAGGTCTTAACCATTTCTACCTGGTTTACTTTTAAAGTATTTACAGTACACTGAATCTCCTGATAGTAGAAGGTGAAACTCCTCAGTGACTCCCAAACTATGTCATCATGGGAAAAGATAAAACAGACTCAATTCAAGATCTGTAATGGCAAGCATTGTCCTGTTGAAACGTGTCCACTGCAGCAGAAGAGATGTCTGTGCTAATTTGTACATAGACTGAATCCACTGGTTATCAAGTATGTATACCTCCTATATGCTCCTATAGATCCAAAGAAGTCTGAGCCCGGTTGGTGCTTGTAAAGCCCCAGATGCCCTCACTGAAGATGTCCAGGTCGTTACGCCTTTGTCTCGTGCTCTGGCTCGCGTCTTAAGTGCAACAGAGAGCAAGGAAAACACTGAAATGGAGGATTCTGATACATCTGAGCTCAATGAAGGCCCTGAAGGTAACACAAGCAGTAAACAAACAGGATAATAAACAAGGAGTGTCATTATATTCTCTCTTATGTATTCACTGATAAGCATATACTATGTCCTTGGTACATTTGAGTGTGTGTGTGTGTGTGTGTGTGTGTGGTGGGTGGGGGTGGGGTGGGGGGGTAATATTATCACTCGGTGTTGAAAACTGGGTGTAAATATTGTTTTGTGAACAGCATGCTGGATTGACTCCAGGAAGAATAGCTGTACTTATTACAGCTAATGGAGATCAAAATAAATACAAATACAAATAAGCAAAAAAGTACATAATATCGATTGTATTGTAGCTATATAGTTTATATATACTATACTTACTTAGTTTAGTAAGTAGTACTAAACTAAGGCTTAGTAGTTTAATTTAGCCTTAGCATTAGTAATAAGCAAAATAATGAGTCATTGGTCATTCATAATTAGTTAAAGAAGACATTACTGACTTTTAATTCTTTGTCAATTGAAGTGTACTAATTGGCCAACTGTAAGTGCATTGTTTGACCACTAGGAGGGGGAAACTGCTAGGGGTATCACCTCAGCTGTCTTTTGAAGAACATTTAACCAAATAAAAATGTAATGTTTCAGGGATAATCTCAAGATTCAACCATTATGTTCTATGAAAGACACTTTGTGAATGATTGTTGCTACTGTTAAGTGATATCATATCATAAAGACATAAAGAAAAAAATCAGCACAGAGGTTATACACAACAACGTGTGTGATTGTTAGGACAGCCATCAGCATCATTATTCACTTCGACTTATTTAATAACCAACAATAATAATTCTAATATGTAGATAGTTAAAACATCCCTCCTTTTGCACTATACATAGATGTAAGGTCTAAATGGTGCTTACTGTAGAAATGTGCATATAAAAAAGCTACATCACATCCAAAAGCGCCACATAAACTGTACAGTATAATGTTTTTTTCTGGTTTGGTGGGATTGAGGGAGTCTGTTCATTTGTTTGGGTTTAGCGTGTTCCTGAGTTGTGGGGGAGGGCACACCCCCGGAGAGCAGCAGCATAATCCTGTAGATTTGATTTGGAGACAGACCACATGCTCAAAAATGTCTCCTGGATTTTGTGTTGTCTGAACATGTTTTAAATTGTGGTCAATCTTGAACATCTTAAAGAATATATCTTGCTCTGCGGAGCGTAATGACCGACACAGCTTCCATTACGTATTTTAGAAAAACCTACGCCGTGTGTTCTTGTTCATATTTATGGTTTTGGGTCGATCCTTTTGAATCATATATTCTTGCTTCACCCCTCGTATGTTTACTGTCATTTTCTGTGTGAATGGCAATGCATTATATTGGACTGTGCTCTGCGGACTCCAGTCCAGACTGGTCTTGTGGCTATAATAAGCTGCACGGCAGACGCAAGATGTTAAACCCGGCTGGTTTATGCAAATGAGCAGCGCTGCACAGATTAGGACTGAGCCTGGGATCAACGAGCTGCGGCAAACAGCCTCCTTTTCTGTGTCATTGTAAAACACGAATCTAAAGTCACATTGTGTTTATGCGCGCTGCCTCCTGCGCCCTGCCTCTTGCGCCCTGCTCAATGCTCCGTATAGATCACGTTGTGCAGATGTAGTTTATTTAAATAAACTGATGGCAGACCGCTTCTGTCTAATGCGCATGCGCGCCAAGAATCCCTCCCCCCGCGAGTTAAGCCAGCACTATTTCTAAACCCTGTAAGTTTTAGCGAAAAACGGGCACATCATCAAAGGAAATGTGTGTTTACTGAACATGCATGTGATCCCTCGTGGGGAAGGCACCACAGACATCCCTGTGTTGTCTTTCACGCACATTGTGGCCATTTCTCTCCTTTAGTCTGCACTATGCCCGGTTTGGGGTTTACAGAGACCCAGCTGTAACTAGGTCGGGCTGGGCTTAAGCGGCTTAGCTACGTCAGTCTAAGCTGGGAGGAATTCATCCAAAGCCTTTCCCGATAGGCGGGGGCCTAAAACGAGGCTGGCCTAGTTAAGCCTGATTCTTATTGTGTGCAGCACAGTCTGTCTTTGTTGTGAAACGTAGCTGAGAGGAAATACAGCAGTAGTGGTTCTGTCATAGACCTGAGGAAGAGGGAATGTTTGATTCAGGGAAAGAGAAGAAAAATTACAGATGTGTGGGAGTTAGTCCTAGATTTAAGATGGACCAGGAGAAGGCAGCAGCAGAGCACCCAGGAGGGAAGGCTCTGGGGACTGCCAGCTTCAGTCTTGACCAGGAGAGGGCTGCAGCAGTGGCAGAGAACATGGGAGGCAAGAGTCTGAACAGTTTAGTAGTAGGCCAGGAGAGAGTGAGAGTTGACCACTCTGATGGGAGCAGCATGAGCAGCATTGGCTTTGTGGACCACGAGAGACTAGGGCAAGACCATGCGGATGGGAACGGCACTGCGGAATTTGGACTACTGAAAGGTGAAAACTTTAGGCCGGACTTAGTTTGTGTTAGTCCGCTCTATAAAAAGATGATGAACAACAAGATGACAACAAGCATGATTGGCTCCAACTCCATGTTCCTGTCCAGTATGGTCGGAAAGGCTCGCTCTTCAAACTTCACTCTTTCGGAGAAACTGGACTTGTTGCACCTGGTGCGCCCTCATATCCGCATCTTGGAGGAACACACCAACAAACATGCGGTGATCGTGGACAAGAATAAGTGTTGGGAAACTGTGGCCGAACAGTACAACACTTTAGGAGGAGACCGACCCCATCGCACCGCTCAGGGCCTCAGGACTCTCTACAAGAGGCTGAAGGAGTCCGCGAAGCAGGAAGTGATGCTGAGGAGACACGCCCAGCCCGAGTACAGATCCAACATCTCTGAGCCCACGAGGAGAATCATGGAGATGATCCCTCACCTGTTCAACCACATGCCATTCATTGACAAGAACCTGTATAGCAGGTACAGTGCACCTACTCAAAGTTACTCTAAAGAATTTCATTCATGTTCACCTCATAACTTTATATGATTGTTACAAGTAGTTCTAAATAGTTCCAAATCAATATAATGTCCCTTGTTGTGCAAATGGCGTATTAATTTAAGACTTTTTACATTTTCAGATTAATGATAAACAAACATGGCGTTCCCATTGAACATCCTGGGAGCAGTTCTTCTACGGCAGGAGTCCAGGATCTCTCCGATGTCCTGAATGTGTCCCAAGAGCCGGTCCAGTCTGAGTCTGACAGTGAAGCCCTGCCCGCCTCGGAGGACCCTGCCCCAGCCCTGCACCCTGGGCTGGGGCAGGAGGGGGCTGAGGAGGAGGAGGCAGAACAGGAGCTGAGCAGTAACCAGGACTATGACGCCTCGCTGTCCCCTGACTCTGTGAACATGCCCATGCCCGTCTCTCCGGTGGGACTCCGACAGGACCATTACCCCAACAACATTTACCCCCAACACGAGGTGGAGCGGGTTCAGGCTCTGCAAATGTCTTGGGAAGAACAGGAGCTGGTGCTGGCTAATCACAGAAAGGTTTCGCTTTACTTGCAAGAGAAGAGAGAAGCTCTCAAGAGGAAACAAGAACTGGAAGAGGAACTCATTCGAGCCAAAATCACAGTAGAGATGCTCCGAGCAGAGCGGCTGAGGCAAGGACTGTCACTGCCTCAATAACCCAGTGTGAAGAGGCTTTCATCGTGGCTTTTCTGAGCCTTGTGAAAATCATAGTGGTGCCTCTGATTTATTGTGCACTCAGTCTCTGTTGCGGCGGACTGTGGCTGTGGCGATGTGGCATTTTAGTCAAGTTCAGTACAAAATTGGAAAAGCACTATACACATATTGAAGACATCAAAATAATCAGATGGTTTTAAATAAGCTGTACTTCCATTGTTTTGGTTGTCTTTTGCTTGTAGAGCCGCTAAGTCGATGAGTAGCACAACATTTCTTGTTACAACTAGTGTTATTTGTTGTCTCTGGGATTATTCAATGTTCAGCCAATCTGCCTGTTTTGTGGGTTTGTCAACATTAATTAAGGCTTGTGGTCATGTGTGACCAGACATATACAAAAACAAACGTTCCGTCTTTACACATGATGTTGTCATTGTTAAAAGCCTTAACTATGTGGTCAGTGGAGTGGTTTGAAAGATGTGTCTTTTCAGCGTTCCTTGTGAAAACACTTGAGTGTTGAGGCTCAAAATAATCTAAATGATTGTGTTTGTAAATGTTGTAATATACATCTTTTGTAAATGTCAGAGTTTTGTTTCTTTGTTCAATCAATTGACCATTCATACAATCACCTTTCATTAAAGAGAAACTCCTTTTGTTAAATCTTTTTACCGAGCGTTCATTTCAGGAGTAATGTGTCTTTCTGTCACGTCTTTGCAGCATCAAACAGTGACCTCTGCTGGCTTTGATGCAGATGCTTTATTTTACAGGGGAGGTAATTGGGGCTCAAAGTCCCACTGGAGCTGTCACTGTGTGCCCTCAGGATGGGCCACAGTATTTTAGTGTGATGTGGTGCAAAGCCAGTAAGAAGAAACACAAGCGCTGGGAAGGAGACGCTGTCCTCGTGACCAGAGGAAGGACCGCAACCCTTAAGGATACTGAGGGCAAAGATATAGGAAAGGGTGAGGATATAGTTCAACAATAAGGTATCTGGTAAATGCGTACACGTCCAACACAAAAAAGGACTGGAATATTGGCAATTATTTTGCTGGAGTTTTAAATGACTTCTGCAAACTGGTGGAAGCGGATGTACAGAACAGCAGGTGAATGCAAAGTGTCAGGACAGGACTCTTTCTTGGAAATCATATGTGAGGTCATTACTTCTGACTTAGGGTTAGGGTTAAATATAAATCATTCCGAATTCCAAGTTCTGTCACTAGAGCCAATACAAATAATATTTATCATTATTATTATTATTATTCATCACAACCTCAAACCTCAAATTTAAATTAAAATCCCTTGTATTTGTGTAGCCCGAATTCACAACAGCAGTCGGCTCGGAAGAATTTACACAATTGTCCATTTTCCACAACAGATTAGAGTATAAAACAATTAGAACACAATAAGTCCATTTATATTTTAATGACTGATTACATACTTTTTACAGACTGACTCACAATCTCTGTCGTAAATTTAGTGGTCATAGATAACCCATAGCAAATACTGCAAAAATAAGGGTTAGGGTTTGATTTAAGGAATATTATGAATATTATGAATGTCTTGAATTAAGTTTCTCTATAGTGCATGTTTTTGATCACTTTGTTTGATATGTAGGCAGTGGCTACAAGGTGTCGGAGCTGGCCAGCCTGTGTGAAGGTCAGACTTTGATGATTGGGGGGAAGGAGGTGGAAGTGATGGGAGTCATTTCTGCAGAGGACTTCGCTCGCGGACGCTGCTTTCAGGACGTTCAAGTGGAAAAAGCCGATATTAGGCCGCCGCATTCCACTGCTCGACGTTTTTCTCTCAAGCCTTTTGCTCCTCCGAGTCGCGCTGGATACGTGCCCCCCAGTCCTGAAGAGGAGCAGACTTGCAAACCTCGACACGATCCTCTCGCCCCCGGTACGCCACAAAGCTGAAAAATAGCTTGAATGATTAACTAGATAATCGCCCTCCAATCATTTCCCTTCTAAACTTCATGTTCAATTCCAAAGATAGTTTTTTTTATTATAGCATTTTTTATGGATCCTGTACATTCCTTGATTTCCACCTTAAAAATCAATTTGACTTTTTCTGTAATAATTTTTTTTTCTATTTTAAAAGTAGAATACATAAACCAGTTATTGTAGAAGCTTAGCAAGTAGTTTTACATCAAGGATCTTTAGAGACCACAATGCACCTACATACAGAACCAAAAAACTGGTCTACGTATTTTTCATTTTATTTAGTCTCATCCTCTTTCTGCTGTAGGAGCTCTGGTCATGCCTCGTCCATCTCCCAGTCTCCAGTGGTCGAATAACAAGTCGGGTCTTCCAGTTGTGGATGTTGTAGTGGACCCACACGTCACTTCAAACCTGCGGCCACATCAGAGAGATGGCATTCTGTTTCTGTTCGAGTGTGTTATGGGCATGAGGTATATTTGGTTGTATTGATTCAAAGAGTTTTCGTCATGACCGAAATAAGTTTCCTCCAAATAGTAAGATTAGATGAGGGAACCCTCAACATCTCGCGTTTCAGAGCACACATTACAGATCTATACTAACACAAAACAAGATAAGTATATGTAAATATTTGTAGAATAAGAAGAGTGGCTAATGGAGGGAGGTCGACGAGAGCGCGAGGAGCTCCAGTCACAAAGGAGAGGGGCACCAAGAGGAGACCCCAGGGAAGACCCAGGACACTCTGGAGGGACTTTGTCTCTCAGCTTGCCTGGGAACGCCTCAGGATTCCTCTGGATGAGCTGGTGGAAGTTTACATAGAAGGGGGAGACCAGGCATTTCTGGTCAGATTGCAGACTGCATAAAGTAGAAGAAAATAGTGAAAAGCAGAAACAAAATTCTAGATAAATTTGATTGGAATTGCGTGAAAATGAATGAAATACGCCTTTGCCTTCTTCAAATAGTGATTTTGAATGTGGTTATTTTTTCATGAAAGCATATCATCTTTGTCTGAGAGTAGCTCAGTTGGTGAGTGAGTGACTTGGCAGAAACGAGCTCCCATTGGTGAATTCTGCTATGAGCCTCACCCAGTGTGTGCACTGATGTAGGAATGGGTGAATAGTTCCTTGAAGCGCTATGAGTGCCTTGAAATGTTCATAAATGCAACCATTTATTCACTATGTAGATTTCCAAACTTTATACAATATTGAATTACTATAGTTTCATTCCCATTTCTGCTGAATCCACAACATTCACATCTGCATGAAACACCCCTCTCCCAGGGCTGTTGGTCGTTTCGGTGCTATCCTGGCAGATGAGATGGGTTTGGGGAAGACCCTTCAGAGTGTGGCCCTGGCCTGGACGCTTCTAAAGCAGGGTCCATACGGCGGCAGAGCGGTGGTGAAGAGGGTGCTGGTGGTGACGCCTGGCAGCCTCGTCCAGAACTGGGGAGCAGAGTTCAACAAGTGGCTGGGCCGAGAGCGGATCCAAGTGTTCACCGTTGATCAGGTCAGGAGCTGCTTTTGTCCATTCATGCAAAAAGTGCCAGGATTAAAGCTGTGGTGCCTGACCACATGTTGTATGAGTACATTTTGTGTAAACCGAAAGAGAGTTGTAAAAGTTAAATGTTGTAAGGAAATTAGACCTCAACTCATATTTTTGATTAGATTATTTAGAAAACCTTGTATGTCTCAGAGCTGATTGGCTGAGCAATAGTGGTCCTCTGGGTTCTGAACTACAGATGTGACAGAGGGAGAGAGAGGGACCAATTACATTGATTTAATTATATGCTGTTGTTCAATATATTTATTGTTTGAAAGTTGGTTACCAAAGATGGAAAGCCTCTAAAACAACTTCAAAGGAAGTGAAGGTCATACGTGCACTGGGGATTGTTTCTGCTCTCACTGGTTTTCTAACGTTAGATCAAATACAATCTAAACCTTTGTCGCCAGTGTCTTCCATGTTAGGCACACACTCCGGTATCGCTCCTTGAGCTCGGATCACTGTGGGTGTGCTGCTGGAGTTTAGGTAAAACCAAAAACACCTTGAGAACCAAAATATCAAATGTCGACATCAATAATGTGGCCTTGTCATGTGTATTGTTTTTGTCTCAAGCATTAGCATTCACGAAGTTCACAAAGCCACAGATGTAGATTCATCAATTTAAATAAAAATCTTGCATATTGTACTTTTAAAGTGGTAGACTTAGGATACTTAGAAATATTTTAAATTTTTTCTCAAACTGAATAAGACTAAAAATAAAGTGAAAAGGGGCGTAACGTGCAAATGTGACTTTTTACAGATTTTGCGATTTCGCATGTTGTAGAATTTGTCTCAAGTCATTTACAGTCATGTTTTTTTAGTGTGATTCATGTTTTGTTTTGTATATTTTCTTCCAAGTTCCAAACATATTTGATTTGAATATGTTGACCTCACTACTGGAGACATGCAGATAATACACACCTAACAAAACCACAAATACTGTTGTTGACACATAGATAGATAGATCATTTATTGAACCCTGTAGGAGAAATCCAGGTGCAACAAAAATAAAAAGTAAAATCTATCATTTTAAAAAGATAACAATAGTAATAATCAGCAAGAGCCCTTCAGACATGACATAAATCTGAGGATATATTTTTCTCAAAAATCACAAAATGACTGCAGAGATTCTTGTCTGTTTGTGTGTAGTCAGTAACATTAAGTTAGATTGTCCAATGTTGCTCGTCAGAGGGAAAAGACACTGTTGTCTTTTCAAGTAGTTGTAAGTTGTGTTTATAGTATAAACATGGCATTCAAATGCAGGACCACCGTGTGGAGCACTTCCTGGCCTCTCCTCTGCACAGCGTCCTGGTGATCAGTTATGAAATGCTGCTGCGCTGTCTGGAGCAGGTAAGCTGCACTTGTGTGAAAAGTGTTTTATAAAACAATAACTACATTTGTTTCACTTTTTCAGGTCCAGAAAGTAGAATTCGGTTTGATAATCTGTGACGAGGGCCACAGGTTAAAGAACAGTGCCATCAAAACCTCCTCCGCTCTCAGCAGTTTGTCTTGTCAGCGCAGAGTCATTCTCACAGGTGACAACAAGCTGCAGGGTATTATCAATACTCTACATTATTTTCATTCATATAACCTTGTTTCAAACAGGGACCCCTGTTCAGAACGACCTGCAGGAGTTCTTTGCCATCATAGATTTTGTCAACCCAGGAATTCTGGGATCATCTACTGCGTACAGAAAAGTGTATGAAGAGCCAATCCTCCGCTCCCGACAGCCCTCATGCTCAGAGGTAACATGGGGTACATAACCTTTGCCCAAACAAAAAGAACCTGGTAAAAGGTTGTGAACAAATCAGACTACAACAAGCTGTCTTTGTCTTATTAGAAAGATCTCTTCACTATTTGAAGTGGTCCTCTTTTTTTCTCTCTCCACTTTTCTGTCTGAAAAGGTTGATCTGATGTGACAGATTCCAAAAAGACACATAAATACATGAATATGAAGATTAGAGCAACACCAAATGTTCGAACTAAGGCCTGTAGGCCAAATGCGGCCCTTTGTGTCATGTTATGTGGTCATCTGCCTTGCTGACATAATGTTGTCTATGAGATCATGAATACAAGTTCACTGTGTCATCCAGCCAACTTCAGCTCTACCAGTACAGGTTATGTTATACAACAACCAGTTCAGGCCTGTTTTACCTCGTGGTGAAGCTCAGGATCTCTAGAATCCAGTCGTTGATTTTGTTTGACTGTAATGACATTTATTTTTGATTGTATAATTCTTATGTATCATGTGAATAAATATTTGTCATCCAGCCAACTTCTTCTCAGTCAAATGTGAACCTCTTTAGGCCTCCTTTCAAAGCTCAGTACCCAGTCAATCTGTGTTGTATGGCCCGCTTACTAAAAGGTTTGGAGACCCCTGAGTTAGATGGATTCTATTTTATTGCATAGATATTTTTTGTGGTTCGAAATTTGGGTAACTCTGCTTTAATACGTTCGTAATTGTAGTTAAAAACATTCACAAATCCCCTATATATATTTACTGTAAATGTAATATTTTAAACTTGCTTTGAGGACAATTTCTTTGGGAAGCCATCATCGTCCTTTCAATAAAGTATTGTGTTTACTTTAGGAGGAAAGAGTTTTGGGAGAGGAACGGGCGGCTGAACTGTCACATCTGACCTGCATGTTCATTCTGAGGCGAACCCAAGAGATCATCAACTGTTACCTGCCTCCGCGCCTGGACTGGACCGTGTTCTGCTGCCCCTCTTCACTGCAGCTGGACTTGTACAGACACCTCTTAAGCCACCGCATCTTCAGATCCTGCATTCTGGACCGGGCACAAAGTCACACACATCTGGCCTGCATCACAGCGCTCAAGAAGCTCTGCAACCACCCAGGACTGCTCTACAACACTCTCAAGGTTCTATGCTTTCTTTGGACATTAAAATTCCAATGAGTCACATTTATATGTATAGCACAAGTCATACAGAGACAATTCAACATGCTTTACAAGACATTCACACAAGTTCTAAAACACCGTACAAAGTGTTTCCTGATTAAAACACAAATACAATGTTCTTAGTTGACTATGTGTTAGACCAGCCATTCCCAAACTCAGTAACACCGAGGCCCCCTTAAAAATCTGACGGGTCTGCGTGACCCCCCAAAATAATAACCAAGAAGACAACATTAAGAATAGGCTCTTCTGGTTATTTTATTTTGGGGAAATAGCCTCTGCTACAAACATTGTAATACAAAAATGATTACAGTGGATTATTCAAGTCAAATAATGAATACAAATATTTTAATATTACCAGCAAAACATTATAAATTTAACATTAAATAATTATATTATTTTTTTATTTTTTTTATGACCTCCCGCGGCCCCCCTGCAGTACCCTCGCGGCCCACCAGGGGGCCGCGGACCCCACTTTGGGAGGCACTGTGTTAGACTATCCATCCATCCATCCATTTTCTACCCTTTAATCCATTTCTGGGTCAGGGGGGTGACAGTCAGAGATGCCACCCAAGTCTCATAGCACCAGCCCTGTGTTAGACTATATGACTTCATAATGATCGAGTTATGACCCTTTTATTTTGGAGAAACTATCAAAATTTTTGAGTATGTAAGTCTAGCATACATAAGAAGCGATTACCTCATACAGGAGTCCCACACTGGTTATTTTCTAGTAGAAATAAAATCTTGAATACAAGTTTTTAACTTTTCACACAACATGCCTTTACTGTGATCAGATTTGTGCACAATAATACCTAAATAATCAAAAAGGTCTGGTCTCAAAACAAACTTTTTTATCTCCAAAGAACTTAAATGATTGCTGTCTTTGACCACAAACATTACAGCTGTATCCCCATCATCGTATAGATAAACCCAGGGTAGTGCCACAATGGCCAAAATGCAAACAATATATAAAGCGTCCTCTTCTTTCAAATGAATTGTATTTGACACATAGTTCTAAAGAGGACTGAGCCTTATTCAATCACACAGATGGGATTTATTATTAATTGAAATAACCGAAAGGCAAATTGTATAATGTTGTAGCAGTTACTGCCCCTGAATAATAAAATGTATTGTCTCCAATTTTAATTAACAGCAAAAGATGCTCAATGAATCTGTGGAAAGTTCGATATATGAAGGACTGGCCGACTGCTTCCCAGACTCTTACTCCTCACTCGGGCTAAATGTGTCTGATTCGGGAAAACTACAAGTTCTTGCAGACCTGTTGGCAGCGGTCAGACGCACCAGCCCTTCAGATCGGCAAGTATTCACTCTACCACCAAGTTCCAGAGTTTTATTTAGTAATTGTGACAATGTGTTTTCCATAGAATTGTTGTTGTGTCTAACTACACACAGACCCTGGACATGCTGGAGGAGCTCTGCACACTCATGAACTACACTTTCTGTCGGCTTGATGGCCACACCCCGACCAATCAGAGGCAGCGGTTAGTGGACAGCTTCAACAGCCCTTACTCCCAGAACTTCCTGTTTCTCCTGAGCTCTAAAGCGGGTGGAGTCGGGCTCAATCTGATCGGAGCCTCTCACCTTGTACTATATGACATCGACTGGAACCCGGCCAACGACATTCAGGTGATTCTGCGCTGCTCTCATGTCCATGTAATTGCGTCGCTTGTCCGCCAGGGGGTGCCATCGTACCATATTTTGCTGTTTGCGTTGGACTAGAGATGTATGTAATTTGTGTCAAGTCCACAGTTAATACACTTGTCTAAAAGACATGACATGATTTCATCAGATCTCACATGCTAAGCAATGCAGTCCTTGTTAGTACCTGGATGGGAGACCACTGGGTGTAACATGTGTTGGAACGTTCTTTGGCAAGACACTTCATCCCTATTGCCCCCCATGAATCTGGTGGGTGTGTGGATGGCTTATAGATGTCAGAGATTGGCATAATTCAGTCTCGTACTAATTAGTAAATTAAGGATTAGGGCTGCAACTAACGATTCTTTTGTTAATCAATTAATCTAGTAGTTATTCCTTTTGATTAATAACAAACGCAGATGTAGTTTTGATCTGAATTTTACACAGTTAGTGTGTCGGGAGGCTATAAATAAAGAGTGTTAATGATTAGTCGATTACTGACATTTGGACTAGTTGCGATTGAGCGAGTAATTGTTATTATAAATGAATGATATACTACATTTCAAAGTGGCTTTGTATTACAGTATATGTCCGACTTATAGTATGTCCGACTATAAGTCAGTATATATGTCCTGACTTATAGTCAGATTGTAATTGGATGAAAGTAGAGAGAGACAGACTGAGAGCTGATGTTTTATAGCACAATGATGGGTTTACTTTGCACAATAAACATGTTTAAGCCCAAAATCAATTTCAAATTATAATTTGTGAGTTTATGGACACAAAAGTTTTGCAGAAATAGCTAAGATTGTCTACACACTTTTTATTATGAGGTCCAAGTTTATTTCTGCACATGTTTGTCTTTGTTGTTGTCTTGTCTGTCTGTGTCTGTGTCTCTGTCTGTGACTGTGTCTGTGTCTCTGTCTGCCTTTCTCATCTATCCCGCTGCTCTGTGCTTTCTTAGAGGGTAAATGTAAAGTACTAAATGGCTCCAAATGAATCCAAATTCTGCTTTTGTTCTGTGCAGGCGATGGCTCGAGTTTGGAGAGACGGACAGAGGAAGACTGTTCACATCTACCGCCTCCTTACTGCAGGTTAAATCATCAAAATGCTTTCATATATTGACAACATTCTTCCTCCATTGTCCTCTATTCACAGGAACCATAGAGGAGCGTATATTTCAAAGACAAGTTTCCAAACAGGGTCTGTCGGGGACAGTTGTGGACCTTGGAAAAGGGGCGGAGCACACTACTTTCTCGACCAATGAACTGCGAGATCTGTTCAGTTTGATTGACAGCCCATGTTTGACTCATGACCTGCTCACGTGCACCTGTAGCATGGACGGAGAGCTGAATGGTAGTTATATCTGTTTTATCATGTTGTCTGTCATTCCTCTGAATATGTACTTCTTTGACTTATAAAGTATTGGTTGTTTTCTTTACTTCACAGAAATATGGGAACACATTTGTGTTTCTCCCTTTCTCACTATTAATCACAGATTATACTGCATAAACAACACAATAAGAAGCATCTGTATAGAAATAAAAAACCTGTAAAAGTCTATTAGAAAAATTTAATCAACTGAATCAACTGAATTTAACTTTTTAAAAGTCATAAAAATGTAAAATATGATTAGGTTGAAAAATTTGTGTTTAATAATATATGTATTTATATAAATGATGACGGCCTTCAAATTTCTCTAAACTGCCTTGTAATAAAAAAATCAAAATTCAAATCAAATTTAAAAAATTACCACTCGATTGTCAATAATGTAATGTCACCTTGGAAATTGCCAAAACGAATTTATGGACAATATGAGGATGAGAGGAGTTTTTAGACAAAAGGGGTGGAGTAGCATTTCGCTGCTAGGACTTCCTGATATTAGCGTTGAAGTTAAAAGCTCAAAAAAAGCTGACATTAGCATAATATGTGTCCTGTACATTGTCCTGTAGCTTTAGAACATGTCTAACACTCTTAGCTCTGCTCACACCAGACCTGTGACTCATATTGTCGGTTGTACATTGACAGCTGTGGAGGAGGCGGAGCCAGCGCAGAGGTCCTGTCAGCTCGGCCGCAGAGGAGAGCGCGACCCACAGAAGAACCTCAGCATGTCGGAGCTCATGCGCTGGAGGCATTTCTCTGGCGACGCACACTCTTTCTTGGACCCTTACCTGGACCAGGCACGAGACAAGGTCACCTTTGCCTTTCAGAACACTCTCTCCCACAAGGCGCAGTGAACACACCACAGACACACTCAAAATCCCACTTTGGAGCTGGCAATAAACACAGTTTTAATATTTGTTTGAGAAAAGACTCTTTGATCTCTTCAAACCTGTTATACATTAGATTATTATATTTGTCTAGTGGAGGACTGAAGAAAATGCCACAGCTCTCACTGAATGCCATTGAACCTTTTTTGTTATTTTTATTTATTTAACCTTTATTTAACCTGGAAAGACCCATTGAAATTAAGAAGGGAGTACTGGACAAGTCCCACAAAAGTACATAAAATTACAGATGTCACATGTCAATGAGGATGTCTCAAGTGATCTCAATCTGGATTTAAAAGCATTCCATGAAATGAATTTAGTTAATTTCCAGTCTTTTTGCAAGTAGAAGAAACCGTTTCAAAAGAGAACCCACAGACTAGACCAGTGTGTACTTAAATCCTGCTTTCCCTTCTCCACATAAAGAGTATTTTGCCTCAAATGAAATGAAATGAGTCCAGGTCCAATTATTGAAGCTTGGTTCATGTGGTGTCTGTGGACGTCTTGTTCTATGTGTTTATAATGTAATATGATCATTATCCTATATTGACATTGAAATATTTCCTTTCTGCTTGGATTCTTGTAATTACATTCTTTTAAAGACAAAAAATGTAAAGAAGTTAGTACTGCTTAATTACCTGACATGTTTTGGTGGTCTGCTTCCGGTCGAATCATGTCATGTAATTAAGCAGTACTAGCTTCTTTACATTTATCTGTCTTTATTAAATGAACCTTCCAAGCCTTAAACATGAGGAGACAAAAAAACGTTTAATATCTAAGTCTCATAAGTCCGAACGTATTTCATTACACTATAATTCTATTTCAGTCTCTGTCTCTGTATGTCAACAATGATCTCAGGTTAGACGTACATTTGGCACATTTTACATTACAAGCAAAATGCATTCAAAAATAATATTTCAACAACTAAATGTACTTTTATTGCTCGTAGACTATATGGCGGCTCCAGCTCTGATTAATCATTTGCTGAGGTGTTGGAGTTTAGGTAGAGCTCAAGCCAACGATTACTTTTGTGTCCTTAGTTTAGCGTTCTTGCAATACTGAGAACTACAAACTGGATTTTGATACAAGATAGATTTAATACTCAATACCAGATTTGCCTATAATAAAACCGTCTCAATCAATCTCACATTTAGTCCTGTTTGTGATCTTTTCAGTATTGATAGTTTCTCAAATGAGTTTTGATACTAGTTTTAATAAAGGTCCATATCGGATTTTCTGTACTTTTTGACACTACCTCAGTATGTAGGTAAGTAGGTATTTTCTATTTATAGAGCGCCTTTCATGACATATTCACAAAGCGCTTTACAAATGTGGTGGGCATTCGTCTTCTCACTCCACACAGAGATGGGAGCGGAGACGTCATACTTGCATACATAGTAATTTTTAGTGGTATATGGGAAACAAGAGCATCCAGAGGAAACCTTAGCAGAAACAGTGAGAACATGCAAACTCCACACAGAAAGCCCGAGTCTGGAGGTGGAATCAAACTCTGGACCCTCTTGCTGGGAACGTAGCACACTGCACCACAACAACAGTAGATTGGTGTGTCTCACTAACAAAGAAGGACTCAGCCAAACCTCCTGAATTTCACCAACTCAAACTGCAGCCTTGAGCGTTCGCTGTTCACTAATTCTGTCTCATGTGTCAAAGAAACTAGCCACACAAATGAGAGAACCGTATGAAGGACATTCTGCTTTCTGAGTGGATGCCTTGTTGAGTCACTGTGGCCATTGTGTGTATGTTTTTTTAAATCAATAATAAACCTGCTTAAAGATATCTCTCTGAAAAGGTTTGACCATGTTAATCTCATGTTCAGGGTTATGTTATTGATGTAATTTAAAGCACAAATCTCACGCTCCTTAAACCCGTGCGTGAAGTTCATAATATGAGACTTGAAAAGAGCGTTTATGAGTCAGGTATGAGCGATGTCATGGCAACTGTCACCAAGCAACTTGGTGCAGCTCTTGAGGATTTGAGTGTGGCTGGATTTAGCTTTGAGTTTATATTGAACAAAGCTCTTTAGCGTCAGATAGGTGTTGGGTCCGCAAGCATCAACATCTGGCAGCTCCAGATTCCAATGGGGGTTTTGTGAATGAATTAACAAGTGTGGAAAGGCAAGTTTGTTTGTGTATTCATTCACAAGGAAGCTCAAAGTGCAAAACAAGATGGAGACGGTCATTAAAATCATAAATAATAAAAGCACTTTAAAAAGAGTAAAGATACAATCCCTCAGTTGTATGCACAGCCAAACAGATCTGTTAGTGCCATGAGGAGCACAGGGACTGACCTGCTGCTGCTGCCCAGACTCGGATCTAAACATGGAGAGGACGCATTTTGTCATGGTTTAGGTTTTATTTTGTAATTTTTTAACCCCTGTGTCTTCTTAAGATGCACTTCCTGTTCCTGATTCCTTGCCCTGCCCTCACTTACTTATTTACTACATACTTACTATTACATTTTATTAAATCCTTCATTTTTGCAGTTTTGGGTTTATTTTTTGTTTTGAAACGTAACAGAGAGACAGAGCCACGCAAGGCCCAAGCAGACTGTCCATTTTTATTTTTGTCATCTCTGGCATTTGTCCCCGACTGTCTTGAGAGTTGCTGCAGAAGCTGGATGCACAGAAAATGTGAAAATAATTGACTAACAAAATAGTTTGTAAGCACTTAGAGAGGCCCACTAGTCAAAGGACTAGCTCATGAAAAGAGAAACCTTCTGAATGGCACGTGTCTAGAATGAATCATTGTACCGTAATCGCTCTCCTTCTATTTTTTGTAAATGCCACAAAAGAAGATATAAACGAGGTCATGTCTAGCCGAGGCCATTCCATTGCTGCGTCTCATTCTCTGGTCTCGCTCCAGCTCTTAACAAGGATTTAATGCCTCGTCATCTGTCGGGGCGATCTGAGCCGTGATACACAGCAGCTTGTCCCAGATGAGGCACATTCACAAAACAAGCAGCAAAACACAAGAGGTAATCCAACTGTTAACGTAATAACTCGCTGTTTCACAATGCACTTTAATGTCTCTGAGGACTTCTGCATAAGCGGCTTATTCTGGGGCTATTAATACGCTGGTGCACTGTCACAATGTTAGAACTAGATGTTTTTGTCTCAACAAATTTCAGGACATTGCTTTATGTTTTAAGCTAAAATTGATTTGCTATTAAGAAAAACACAACTTTTCTATGAAACTTTCAAACACCATAAACTTAAGCTTGTAATTATATTCATGTGACTATAGTTCCTCGCGCTCACTAGTTCTTGCATTAGTTTTCACCTGTCACTTGTGGCCAGATGTGACGCAGGTAAAGAGATCCTTTATTCGTCCCACAGTGGGGAAATTTCAGTGTTGCATCAACAGTTACAGAATAGTACAAATGAGCACACGGCACTAAAATAAAATAAATTCTCTAACTTTAGCAAAACAAAAAAGTTAGTATACTGTATATTCTAGTACAATATCAGACAGACGAGTGGAAAGAAAGGCCCACCCTCGATCAGCTCCCAACCCAAACGGTCAAATAGTGACTCACAGGGCTCGTTTCTGATTTCTGAAAAGATATTCTTGTATTATAAATGAAGACGGCATGTCTTGATGTAATCGGTTACATTTCAAGACTTTCTGTTGGGACAAATATGGATTATTTTTATTGAAACAAAAAAGTGAGGTACTCCAGCTTTAATTTGGCAAATGTATTGCCTTGATTCAAGCTAAAGTTTCTTTTAAACAATAAACATCTTCGTCAAAACGCTGAAACGCTCCTGGTGACGTAAGCAAATGATATTTACCTGAATTTAAAAGGACTGTATGCAATAATCAATCTTAGTTATAACCCACCTGCTGGAGTTTAGCTAGAAACCGTACAGACTCTGAGAGGTTGTAGAATCTCTCAGGAGACCAAATGAACCTCAGACTATTTTTGTATCTACTTTTGTTTGTTTGTCCATATTGTTATTACAAATAATGTTTTTAAAAAAAATACTTATGGATTGGGTCCAACAAACTGGTAATTAACTGGATAATTTGATGACTTGAGGTGTCAAGATAAAAATTATGTTATTATGTAATATTAGCTAGATATAAATCCAAATGAAATACATTTCAAACAAATAAAAAATCCATTTTACTATTAGTATCATTGTATAGCTCTATAAATAAACTAAAGATAAAGAAAGATGAAGAAACCATGTGATTGTATTTTAAAATCATTTGCTGCTTTGGCGTTTGTCCCAGAGTGAGATTGGCCGCGGTGTGTTTGATCTATAGTCAATATTAAACTGGGTTATCATGATGTGACCACTCCTTCATATCGCTCTGACGCTTTGTCAGTAAGAAATTAGGTTACAATCTTGACTTGTGTTTGGACAGAACCTAAACATGGTTTAGAAGTGTGATTATGTGTGCTGTGTTGCCATCTGCAAAGTAGCTATTTATTTTAATAATGTAAGGGGTACATTTTTGTTTAAAAGTAAGGAGTAAAGGTACAAAGGTTTCAGAAAAATAAGTAGTAAAGTAGTAATACCAGGAATTCTTGTAATATTCAAGTATGTATACTCCATGCATCAATTTTCTACCCCTTAATCCATTTCTGGGTCAGGGGTGGCAGTCCGAGCTGTACCCAGTACACAGCACCAGCCCCTCACTGATCCTCCTGCAGGTGGTGAGTCCACAGGAGCGATCTTTCAGCGGAGGCCTCAGGCAAAGAGGGGTTAAGTGTCTTGCCCAAGGACACAACGACAGCAGTCATCAGTAGGAGTCGGTGGAGAAGGTCTCATGGTGGGCTCGAACCCACGATCTTCAGGCTCTACCAATCTAGGCCAATGCTCTACCAACTGAGCTTCTGTCGCCCCACAATTATACACTGTCATTATTCAATCACTTCATACACAGAGGTGTAAACTCCTGTTGTAGCCACAGCTGCCCATGGGCTGACTGGTGGAAACAAGATTTCTAATCTGTGCCATCTCCCCCTCACATTTCTGACCACTAACCATTCACACCAGGTTCATGAAGACAATGTAGGTGTGTTTGGAGAAGTGTCTTGCCTAAAGACACAACGATACATGATGTCACCTCCACATGTGTTCTGTCCTCTTCATAATGACTTCATGTTGTTTTATTCCCGGGGGCTGCGTCTCTGCTGAGGGTGAAGTCAGATCCTGTGCGCCCTCTGGTCTCATGGCACCGGTCTATTTTACTCACATTTAATCTCTGGCGCATTGATCTAATCCCGCGGTGGTCCATTAGTATAAACATGAACTCACAACAACTAGATCCAAGTCTGCGCCCCCGCCCCCTCCCCGTCCCCGTATAAAGCCCAGGGAACCCCCATCCCAGCCGCCACTTGGAGCTCGCATCACATGGAGATTACTGCAAAGACTTGCGTGGATTTATTACGCATCAAATATCTCTACGATGTCCTCATTGTCACTTTTTTCTCTTTTATCTCATATCTTATTCATTGCACGTGTTTTTGAGTTTTTCGCGCGGAGAGGTGAAATCTGCAATGATGTATTCTAGTTGTTGGGACGAACGATATTGAAATCTTGGCACATTTATGGATTTATTTTTCACTTCGATATTGAGACGATAATATTTTGGCATCCAACATTTTGCTAAAACATAATTCTTAAATGCCTTCGAATACCACTTAAATGCCTTCGAATACCACTGACCAAATTCAATCATAAACTCCAATCGGTGTTTATAAAGTATTTCTCTAGAGGAAAACATCTCTCAGAGTTTATAAATTTGTTCCTATACGTTGCATATATAGTTTTTGAGTCCTTGGCACCATGTTGTCCAGTATGCGTCGCCACAGTCTGCGCCTGCACCGCTGGAGCATCTGTGACCCGGGCAGCCAGCGCCTCTCGGACAGCCTCTTCTCCCGCGGGCCCAGCTGCGTGTCCCGGTCCCGGTCATGCGGAGGAGGTTCTGCTGGGGACTCGGAGGGCTGTGCGGCCGGCTGGTCCTCCACAGACTCGGTGATCTCCTCTGATTCAACCGCAGGAGAGTCGCGCGCCCCCGCTGCGTACCGCGTGGTGCTGCTGGGGGCCAGCGGGGTCGGGAAGAGCGCCTTCTGCAGCATCTTCGCCGGAGCTGCAGACAGTCTGGACAGTGACGAGTGTGAGCTGTGCGGAGGTGATGCCTTTTACATTTAGGATTATTCACATGTTTGTTTGTTATTCACATGAGAGGGGTAGGCTGTGCAAACTGGGGCTGACCCAGATCTGAGACTTGTGTCCCAAAATCCAGTCGATTTAGACACAAGTTACAAAACCATGGATTTATTATTGTTTTACATATGTTTCTGTTTCTGACCTATTGTATAGGTTAGTGTAACACAAATGTCACCCTTTTCCTTAAGAACAATAGTTGGGCTGACTTTTTTGTCGTGTATTATTTGATTATTAAAATTAATGATAGACTTGGAGATTAAATCAAATGACTCTCAATCAACCATAGAAACAGCAGAGTTAATGACAGCAGAAGTGGTCTTGTCCTTTCAGGCATGTTTAAAATGCTTGTTTCAGGAAATCTTTTTCGTTCTCCTTTTTGTTTTTTGTTGCACCCCAGTTCAAAGCTTTTTCCGTAATTTTCAGAATACTGCTTGCAAATGTTATTGAACGACACTAACTTATAATGAATAATATAGATAATGATGCAATTTACATATGCAAACATACTTCAATGCTACAGCAGGTTAAAATCACAATCATATTACTAGCAACTAAGGCTTCCGATCCATCATCAGTGGAGGAGGTCAATTGTGTTTAATCACCAGAACACAAAAATGAAATGACCAAAGCCTCCATCTTGGACTTTAATATAGAGACCGAGAACAGGTGTGAGACGAGCATTTTATGTTTATTATTACCCAAACTCGCAACTTTGCTGGTCACCCTTATTTATCTTGGTATAAGCAAATGTCATTTTTACATTGTTCTAATACACTTTTTGCGTCACCTTTAGATGAAGTGTTTGAAAAGGAGGTGGAAGTGGACGGAGAGGCGGCTACAGTGACTCTGATTGACACGTGGGATTCTGAGGTGAGAAAATGGCTGCAGTCGTTTTCATCCTCGTATATTATAGCATTACAATCTTGTTTTACTTTCTCACTTCTTATCGTCATCATAATAGATTTGCAAGAATTACATAATTGTTATCCCGGTTGCATGATGTTGTTGAAACGACCAAAACAATAAGTGATGACTTTGTTTGTGGTCATTCCTCAGATGGGAGATGACCAGGACTGCTCCATCCATTCGGGGGACGCCTACCTGCTCCTGTACTCTATCACTGACCGCTCGTCCTTCCTTCGAGCGTCCGAGCTGCGGATCACTCTGCGTCAGCTGCGACCTCCGGAGCACACCCCCATCATCCTGGTGGGGAACAAGTGTGACCTGGTGCGGCGCAGAGAGGTGTCCAGCAGCGGTAAGAGGCCACTGCTCAAACAAGTCCAACGTCTGGGATATATCTATCATCTTGGGTTGGCCTCAGTAAATCCTGTTGTACTCACTAAATCACAGCAGACATTCAAAGAGAACAATATCACAATGGAAAATAAGTTGTAAACGAATTTCTGAGTTGTGTCAATAATACACTATATTTAAACCAGGGGTGACACCACTGAGTTTCAATTGTTATTATTAACTTGCTTCAATGATGTTAGGAGGTTATTAGGGCGACTGTGGCTTGTTACATACGTTAGATCAACTATTCTTAAGAAAACAACCGTATCATTCATGATATTTTCAAATCCGAACCTAAGCCACAATTAGTGATAGAATAAACTAAATATATTTGGCCTACAAGAATCCGTCCTTAAATTTGGTCCAGCTATTGTTCAATCCAAACATTTTGTTCAAAAAAAGTATCAGAAAACATAACATTCTCAAAACAAATGTTAAATAAAAGTAATGCTTTGATCAAAATGATTCCATAATGAAAATGAAATGAAATGAAAAAGATATATTTTTAGAAACTTTCCAGCAAGAAAACTTTAATAATTTTGGCCTCCGACTAGTTCTTATTTTTTGGATTAAGCCCCAGGAAAATGTGAGTCTGACACCCCTGATTGAGACACTTTCAGCCACCATATGTCAGTCTCAATTTGATTAAAGAATTGTCGTGTACAAATGAAATGATAAGCAGAAGACTATAAATGGATGGATAGTAACCAGTAGCAGCTCTGGTCTGTCTACTTGTGTTGCTCTTGTTGTTGTGAGACCTCTCCTCAGCTGTGATCTTCTGTTGCAGAGGGCCGGGCCTGTGCTGCTGTGTTTGACTGTAAGTTCATTGAGACGTCAGCCGCCATGCAGCACAACGTGTGGGAGGCGTTTCACGGCATCGTGCGGCAGCTGCGTCTGCGCAGAGACGTGAGGGATGCAAACCAGCGCCGCCGCTATCTGAAGAACAGCTCACGGAGAGAGAGTCTGCCGCTTAAAGCCAAACGCTTCATTGACAAAGTGGTGGCCAAGAACAACCCCAGTGTGGCCATCTGGCTCAAGTCCAAATCCTGCCACGACCTGTCAGTGATGTAGGTGTGAAGACATCGCTGCTCTTTTTCAAACTGGAGGAATCCCCCTGATCCAAACACAGAGCTGGTGTGTTTAAACTCCTGAGCGCACATTCCTCTCTCATGAGCTGCTCCCAAACAGACAGACGTGTGCAGCACATGGACACGCAACATGTGAGCTGAGGACCTGACTGCTGTGAGGCACAAGTGCTTAGCCACTGTGCCACACGAACATTTTTACTCTGATCTGTGCTGTTCGTAACCAGTCACTGACTTGAATGTTTTCCTGTCGTGGTCAATATCAACGTAGACTTCAACTGTATTTTTGTATTGGAATTATTCATGTTGTAAATCGACAGAAGAAATAAGCTGCAGATTCTTATCAAGTTTTGTAAATATTTTTGTCAAGTCTATCTTGAGTGTTTACAGAGGATTTCAATGTATTTTCTTATCTGTCCATTCAGTGATGCCAAATAAAAGTGAAAAAAATTAAATGATTGTGTCGCTAATCGTCAAATAAAATTATCCTATTTTTGTACTTTTACTATAAAATACTGGACCCAAACTGCACACTTACCTCATCAGTCTTATCTCCACAGTACATATTACTCCCATAGGTGTCATTTACAAAAACACATACTTGGCAGTTGAAAGATCTCTAGCTGAAAACTTTGGCTGCAGCTGAATTCAGTTAAAAATACCTCCTTCCTCACCCTTCCTTATCATCCCTTGTACTATTCATGCATACTATACATTCAAACAAGTCCAGATACTAGACTCCTTGATATTTATCTGTGAAACTGCACAAACTTCTAGTGTCCAGTGACAAAGCAGACAGACGCAACCAAAGGAGCATCTCTCATCTCTGCAAAGCTTGTTATATCACATTTGTTTAGTGCAGTTAAGTTGTTGCCAGGGAAACTCTCCAAGTGTTGGGCTTTGTCACCGTGTTGCATCCTGGCGGTATGCAGCAGATGGGGCGCATTGGCTGTGAAATGATCCGTCTGCACTCAGCATCACCGTGGCCTAATACATGGGATGTCTACATGAGTTAAAATGGCGTGAATAAACCAAACAGTGTGTTATTAACCCCTCCACTGATCAGATCAACTTTCTTTAAGGCATAGCTTGTGTTTCACTTCGATTCTACTTCCAGACCTTTCTGTGTGGAGTTTGCAAGTTCTCCCTGTGTCTGCGTAGGTTTCTTCCAGGTGCTCCGGTTTCCCCTATCACTAAAAACATGTACAATATGGATGGATGAATGTATTGAGTGAGTGAATGAATGGTGTTGATGCGCCAGTGTGATCCGTGTGGAGAGAATGGAATAATATCTGAACTCTGAACATTGTGAAGCGCTTTGGGTGACCTTGGTCTGTAAAAATGTGCTATATAAATGAGCAGTACTGACTGACTTACTTACTTTAAGCATTGAAAAGTTTTGCTTGAAAATTACAAAGAGTAATTCAATCGCTCACCTTGAGAGAGCACATGTATGTCTGATCTGGCGGTGGTTCGTCAACTTTGTCACACAAAACAAGAAACTATGGGCTAAGTTAAGGCTGTAACAGATCTTGGTTATGATCTCAGTTACCGGTATTTATGTTATGTCATTGTCTCCCCCTTTATTATTCAATTACTGAGTCCTTTGGCCATCAGACTTGGGTGGCAATCACCCAAGTTTCATAGCACCAGCCCCTCGCCGATCCTCCTGCAGGTGGTGGGTCCACGGGAAGATGGCTTCTCTGTCACTGACGAGATGGCCTCGGATTTTCAGCGGGAGCTTCGGCAATGCGGGGTTAAGTGTCTTGCCCAGGGACACAACGACAGCAGACATCAGTGGGAGCAGGTGACATGGGTCATGGTGGGCTAGATGTGTTTAAATTATGGTATTTCATTGTTTCTATTTATTTGTAAGTGTTTTATTTTTTTATCTTAATGTTTTATAAAAAAAAAAATTTGTGTCTCTGTGCAGCAGTATGGAAACTAGTTTTGTTACAATTAGTCTCATTTCTTCTGTCGGTCTATGACGGGGTGGCTGTGGCGTCAAAAAGTGCTCAAAAAGTGTTCAGAAAGTGCTCAAAAAGTGCTAGAAAGAACTTTGAGTATTTTAGTTTAGCATGATTGTGGTGATGGGGCTGGTTTGTTACACATAAGAACAGAACATTTGCCACTGTTTACTGACCTTCTTCTGACTATTATTCACAAGGAGGCGCTGTCTGTGAAACGCATTGTTTAGAAGTTCTCCTTATCAGACGCTGCTAATGGAAAATCTAAAGGACCGGAGGAGGGGCGAAGGTCAAAGTCTGAGATCAAATTAGGAGCTAAAGCAAGAAAAGCTGTATTCAGTCTGGTACGTCCTTGGATCGTCCTCTTTCATTTTCTCCTTTATATTAGAGATGTGTTATGTCCAGGCGTGACAAATTGTACAGAAGATAGCTGTCTGCATTCTGTAACTGTATAGATGTAATTACAGTTTTACTTGTTAAATGAGGAGTCAAACTTTTTTCTTATAAATGTACAATTTACCTAAACAACATAATTATCATTAGGTATTGAATCAAAATGAGAACTAACAAAGGCATAAGTCACTTTGCATGAACTTATTCTGTTTCATACTGTACATAGGTTTTCTTTCAGCTGTACCTACATGTGAAGCCCTGATCCAGTAAGACCTCAGAGGCTAAGCTGGGCAGAGCTGTGATGGGAGACCTCAGGAAATCAGGTGCCACAGTGTGACAGCTATAAATTGGTAAACTGTCATTGTGTCTTTAGGTCTGACATTTCTAGTGTGTGTGTGTGTCTGAATAGTTACTGGTGGTCTCATCACAGTACTGCCTCCTACACTACTTTGCTTCTGAGTGTGAATGTGACTAAATCAGGCTTTGACAAACAGGCATTGTGATCATACGACAGTTTAATCCTAAATGTAACAATGTAATGTAATAAAATCAGCTCACTGTCCCTCGCCCTCAAAACAGTCTGCTTCAATCACTTTTCATATATGTATTTTTTGGCCTCTGTCACATCTTTGGATCAGCTTTTTCAGACAGAAAAGGGAAAAAGAGAGGACCACGCTCACCTAGTCATTCAGCTCTCAACCCAAAGAATCAACAGTGAATCAAGGGGCTCTTTCTTTACCAATATGCAACAGATCATATTTTCTGACAATATTATCTGTTGCAATTCTCAGAATTTGACTTTGACAGTACTCTCTCTGTAGGGAAAGACAACTTGGGTTATATGAAAAAAAAAAAAAAGTTCAGTTCCAAGCTGTAAGGAAGAGCCTTGATCGGCTTCTGCAGGTATAATCCACTTTGATTTGTGTAGGAAAAAGGTTGTTAAGGGAATCTAGTTGTACTAGAGTCTAAACAGACAGGTCTCAAATACAAAAGAGACATCCACCATTCAACTATGTACTGTCACATGTTACAGTACATATATTTGTGTACACTGCTGGCCTTCCTATTACTCCCATTGGCTGCCTGTACAAGGGCAGGGTGATTAGACAATCATTAGATACAATAAAAATTTCAGGTTAGTGCCTAGTTAACGTTTGACCAAAGACGGAGGAAGCTGCTGTGATCTTTGCAAGCCCTGAGTGACTCCTTCAATCTCTTCAGAAAGGTAAGGATCTCCAAGGGCTTTGCTGTTTTATTTCAAGGTTTTTACAGTAAGTAAGCGTATGCATTCAGCCGTGTGTTGGTCGACAGGTAGATTGGGCTGGCTGTTTTATCATTATCTGTCATTTAAGCTTGCTCTTGACTTGACTTTGGGCCTTGTATTAAAACCAGGTGCCCATACAAAGCTAAGCAACAAACCTCTTACTGATCTACTCAAGGGACAGTAGACACAGATCTACATCTGGTGACATGTCATCAAAGTCTTTCTGCTTATGGAACAATGACTTACAAAATGTATCTTAACAAAACTGACTGAAAAACCTGCCTTGAACTTATAATGGGATTGGTTGTGAATCTTGGGAAACTGCAATGTTCCTCTGACTGAATACAGTTGTAAAGGTGAGCTCAGAGAGGTCATTAGCCGTAACTCAATGTCACCTTCACTCTCATATATTTGTACTTTTAGATTCACATGGATAAATGAGAACAGTTCTTTAGTAAATATTTTTAAGGCAGCTGTCATAATCATTTTTGGTTATTTGACTATTTACTAAGATGCAATTACCCTGTGCTACATGTAAGCACTGTTCATTTGCACATTAAGCATTTACACGTAATCTGAATGTTCACTACTTTATGAACTTTTACAATTCATACAATCTATTTGCCTTTGTCATGGTTGCTTTCGGTTTCCACTGCAGCAGGTGGAGTCACACATGAGTACTTTAAAGTTCACCTGGACAAGATCACAACGAGAGTGTGTGTTTAAGCGTTTTCTCATTGTGAATCCATCTGAGTGAATTGTAATTGGTCGCACTGCTGCTGTCCTCTTATTGTCACTTTTGTCTTTTGTTTCAGAGCAATAATGACTCCGAAAGTCCACTTGTTGTTCCTGCCTCTCCTCTTTACTGTTGTAAGTACATTCCTAGATTAGAGCCAGAGATAGAAAGAGCTTTGTTCATTTTAATCTCATCTTTTCCATCTCAAAGCGCGTTCACTTGGTCTGGTTCACGTGGGGCAAAAATGCTTCACTGACCTGTTTTGACAGATGTTATATGACTACTGGACACATGTTCTCTTGTGTGGTGGTTTTACATTAATTAATAAAGAAATAAGGCCAAATAAGAGCGCTGGAAGGCCAACCCTGCCCTGAAAATGCCGCTTGACCTTTTCAATTTTGTGTGAAATTTCAATCTAAACATTTGAAGACACAGTTTTGATGGATCCTGAATTTGTCTAGTTAAAATAGTGTGGTCAGTTTAGCCAACAGAAATTCACGCTATATGACTTTGTATGGAAACAGTAGTGTTCCGGTTGTCTTTGCTAAAATTGCATAAGGTGATGATGGGGTCATTTCTTGTGTGTAGACTTTGGTCTCATTGTGTGTAACTTTCCACACTTCTCATGTATTTAAGTTCAATAAATAACCACAGCTCTGCCAGGAGCTCTTCCAGAGTAAGAATGATTTATCCTCACTGCTCACTCTCAGTGTGTGTTTGTGTGTGTGTCTCCGCGTACGTCTGTGTGTTTCTGTGTGTGTCCGTGTGTCTGTGTGTGTCCATGTGTGTCCGTGTGCGTGTGTGTGTGGACCAGGCTACAGGGGAGGGACTCCAGGACAAGAAGGGTCCGTTTGAGAACACCGCTCTGGACGTCCCAGAGGCCACGCCCGTGCCCTATCCCATTCACCAGGTGAGTGTGCGGGATCCGGTGTGACTCACTGCTGCACTGTGCTGCCATAAAGTCTATACCTGACCAAAATTATACAGTACTTCATGTGACCTTGGTTTGTGTAATGCGCTATATAAATAAAGATGACATCCAATACTTGCTGGACTAATATAGTATGTAGTATTTAAACCACATCAGCAGAAGTTTAAAAGAAAGTGAATTTCGTCCATTTACAGGCCGCCAGCTGAGAGAGCATAACAAAGCCGATAGAAAACTGTTGGTACTGGTCACATGATTTAAAGACAAGGTGTTAGCATATTTACCTTAACTGTTCAAAATCACCAAACTGGAGTGGCTGAAACTCACTGTAGAACGAGCACCAAAATACTAGATTATCCAGAAGTAGAGAGGAAAAAACCAAAGCATGTCATCGTTCTATCTGTGTGGAAATTAAAACTGTATTTGATATTGAGAAATATCTGCTGTGTGAGAACAGAACCTACAGACGGTCTATTGTTAACCAGAAATAAAAGATTATCTAGGTTGTATCACAGGGCGATACAAGGAAACAGACATTTGTGCTGCTGTGACCTTTACACAGGTGATCATGTTGAGTTTCAATTACTGTTTGAGTCTGAATAATGAAGTTGTTAAACACAGAAATCATATCTTTGTCAGTATTCTAAATGGAAGCCCCAAAATAATCTGTAAAGTTTTAAAAGTATGTATTTGCTGTTTTGTCTGATTGTGCTTCATACCATTTATATATTCATCAGCAATAAAGAAATAAAGAAGGATTGCAAGTCAGGATTGATTTACCAATCTATTTTCATAATAATTAGTCTATAAATTCTGCTCTGACAACAGCCCTAATCCAAACCCTGCATTTCCTTGCATCAGCTTTCTCTGTGCTGTTCACATAAACATCGGCTGATAGATTACTTACTTACTTACTTACATATAATGGCTGCATCACTCTATAGGCCGTACTTCAAGGTTCATTCAACACCTGTAGAGGCTTTAATTCCGGCAATTACAGTATTTACTTACTTACTGACTCACTGTTCCTGTTCCTCCCAGTTTGAGCTGAAACATACAGTCACTGAATTCCGTCTGAGTGGAGAAGGAAGCGATGATGTGAAGATGTCAGTGGACGGGTGGCTCTTTCTGCAGCACCCTCTGAACTGGGCCAGAAACGATCATTACATTATTGGGGTAAGTTTTCGTTTTTATAGGGATCACCGAGAATAGGCATGTCCAAAACATGGCTCCAGGTGCCCTGCTCTTTGCTACAATCACTGATGAGTTGTACATTTATGACCTTTTTCCGACATGATCTAATCTTTCCGAAATGTATTCGCACATGAAAAGTGATCAAACCAAACCCCTTTGAGAGCTAGGCAGGCACTAGTTAAGATAAGATAAGATAAGATTACCTTTATTGATCTCACAAAGGATAAATGTACATGTCACATTTGGCATAGATAGAATCACTCAGATTGTGCAAAAAGACATGAAGTGTGCAAACATGTTAAGGTTAAAAAGGTTAAAAATATAGTCTGTGCAGGATATATTATGTACAACAAAAAGTGGGTAAAGCAGTGCTGGTTTTTCAGTCCTAGTGCAGGTCATTAGTGACTTATTGTACAGTCTGACCCCGGTGGGGATGAAGGCCCTGCAGTAGTTACAGTACATAGATTTTATTACATAGTTTATGTGGTTTCAAAGTTAACCTGAAGCAGTTTTCACAGGCCTGACTTAGGATGGCTTTTCCCAGTCTTCATACTCTCCAAGTGTGTAGTAATCAGCTGCTAAAGCCAGGGCTCGGTGTGATGACAGCAGTGTGTGCTGTCATCACACCGATGTATGCAAACGGCACAATATTATAGACATTATTATACTATAAGAATTATATCATCATTGTTCCTCACACATTTTGTTGCCTGAAAGCGTTTGAAAAGTTCAATTTATAGAATATTTTGCAGAGTTAAACATGATTATGCAGTAATAGTTCTAATACAAACTCTTGTATCACAAATTCAGGTAGAAGCTCTAGATGGAAGCACTGTTGTAGAAGGCCCCATTTATGTGACCATAAACGTGCTGGACATCAACAACCACGCTCCAGTCTTCAACTCCAGTGAATATACAGCAGTGGTCCTGGAGAACAGCCCTGCAGGTAAGACCACCACATCTTTCAATTTATTTATAGTTCTCAGGAGGACTCGACCTTACAAAGTTGTTTACACACACACTCCGAATTTTAGTAAAAGACAAATACAATAAAAAAGGATACAAAATATAAACAGCAATACAGTTTGTAAAGGGGTTGGCCGAAGTAGATTATTATTTGATTACAAACACTCTCAACACAAGACTCACTCAGACAAGACACCGGCCCAAACACTCTCTGACCCTACTATATACATATTTGTTCAGTTGACACACATGTGAACATAAATGGTACTAACTTAACCCTTACAATGATACTTGTGTAAAGTTGTGTGTTGTTGTTCATACAATATAATGTGTAATTGTGATTTAGGCGTCCCCTTCACTCGTGTCTTTGCTTCGGATCTGGACGACCCGGCTTCTCCCAACGCTCGCCTCAAGTACAGTTTGGTAAACCAGATCCCCAACAAGCACCACACCGCTATGTTCCAGATCAACGCTGACACCGGCGCCATCTCCACCACACCAGAAGGTACTGTGTGTTTTCAGCACATGTTGTTCAAACCTGAGACCTCGTTTTACTCGTTATGGGTCTTTGCAGTCCTATCGTTTCCCTGCTGTGTCCTCTTAAAGCCCCTGGTTCAGTCGTTGGTCCAAAGTGTGAGGACACTTTTATAAAGACGAGCTAGATTGGACCTTCATGTGTAAAGTGTTAGTGTCCACCGACTCCCACTGATGTCTGCTGTCGTTGTGTCCTTGGCAAGACACTTAACCCCCATTGCCTAGAATGAGTGTTGTGTGTGTGTGTAAAGCGTCTTTGAGTGTCCAAAAAAGCGCTTTACAAATCTGATGCATTATTGAAAGCTCATCTGATCTTCAACAATGACCTGATTAAACTGGAAAAGCAAAGGCAGTGGCACAGATCCTTAAAACAAATCAGGAAAATGAAATGTAAAATATACCCTTTTTACTTTTTGTGTAATGGTGATAGTGACCATAATGACAGCACCGAACATAGATTTTCTGCCAGAGAGAGGAAATATTGTCAATACCGCCTACAAGCGTTGAGCCCACAGAGATTGAACGACGGCGGCTGTGGCTGGCCTCTTGCCATGTCGGCGAGTAAAACCTGATTAAACAACTCGGGAGATTAAGATTAACACTGATTATTGACAGATTGACAGAATGTGTCTCCTGATATCTGCTGAGCTACAAACACGTGCACTGCTTTGCTCTGGAGAGGTCAGGAAATGTTCTACGATATCAATGGTGAAGAGAGAATATTAGTGTTTGTTGAATCTATCGCAGACACATTGATAGGATTATGAAATTGAATATCATCTCATGTTTGATCATTTGGATTCAAGTTATCAATCTAGTTTAAATTTATTTACAGTACATGCTGGACTATAAGCCACTACTTTTTCACTTTCTGTGATCTCTGCTCATATAGCAATGTGGCCAATGTATGTATTTGTATTTTGTTAGTGCAGTACCAAAGCACAGGACCAGATTTGGACACAGCTCTATGCAGATGAGAGCTGATGATGTAGTAGACAGTCCTGCTTCTTGACGTGTTTTTCTGAACAGCAGAGAGAGGCGAGAAAGTGCAGGGAAATACACAGGACTTTGTTTATATGTGATTAGGGCTATCACCAGAACAGAGTATATAAACTTATCATGTTGACTTTATTGTAAAAATATATTGCGAGAAAACACCTAGTCATTAAATCATGTTGTGACCAGTTAAAACCATCAGCTGTGTAAGTGTTATATTACAACATGAAAACTTGTGGCTTGTATTCAATTGTGGCCCACATGTGTGAACAAAATTGATTTTCTTTTCAAATTATACTGGTGCAGTTTCTATACAGGTGTGCTTAATAGTCCAATAGTCTAAATTGGCAATAGGCCATCGTTCACAACACACTTCTGACTTGTTGCACCAAAAGGTTTGCTTTAATAAAGAGATTAGCAAAAGTTATGTTGGTACAGAGCCCCTAAAGAAGAACTTAGACTTAGAACTTAGAACTTCCCAACTTAGACAGAGACTTTAGGAGCTCCGTATGTTTGGACAAAAAATGTGTTGATTTTTTATGAATGAATGTATTTATTTTGATAATTTCTTTGATTAATAACAGATATCACATTCACTGACTGTATTGCAACCAAAAGGATTGGGCTGAAGCAACTTGCTTATGTAAGCCCATCCTGACATCACTAGCATGTAAGAAATAAAAGAAAATATTGTAGGTTTCAATGGCATATGATACATAATTTTAAAGCGTTTTCGCATGCAGCCGTCACGTTTTGGTGAGTGACAGGCACTGACGCGTCTGTCACACACCGCGACCCCTTGCATTCACCATTGTGAAAGCCATAGGCCCTTACCCCAGTCGGGGCTCTGCCCTAATAAAAGAAAACCATTGCCCCCAATCAGCTCTTACTTTTTTAAACTTGGCCCCCAACCAAAACGAGTTTGACACCCCTGTTATAGACAAATTCTGTCAAATATTCTTATGACTCTGAGGAGCACAGGGACTGACCTAATGCTGGTGCTCAGAACTAAAAGTGGGGAGGCTGCATTTCAGATTCATGAAGCTAAAATCTGGAACAATCTTCCTGAAAATGTGAGACAGGCTTCTTCTCTGACAATGATCATATTCAGGTTAAAAACAGTTCTGTTTGTCTGTGCATACAACTGAGGGATTTCATATTTTTATCTTTCTGTACTGGGATTATTTATGATTTGAATCCCTTGTATGATTGTTTCTACCTGGTTTTGTTCAGCACTTTGAGTTCCCTTGTGTATGAATTGTGCGATACAAATAAACTTGCCTTGCTTAATTTTCATAAAGTATCTTTTGTTTTGTAGGAGCGCAGCTGCTGAAGGCCAGGGAGGGGATCCAATACAGCAGAGGGGAAGACCAGAGCCTCGAGGCCTTGAAGACTAAGTTTGACCACTTCTGCTCTCCGCTGCAGAACATCCCGTATGAGCAGAACCCTTTCTTCAGCTGCGTGGAGAGAGCAGGTCTGTAAAACACTACATCTACCAGCAACAAACCATGCTCTAAACATTCACTTTACACCTGCAAGTGTGATCAATGGTAGATACGTCTATATGTTGAAATGCATTCAACACGGATTTAATCTGGATTAAGACAAAAGACCAAAACATTGTCTAAAGAAAAACTGTGATTAAGTCGCATTAGTGTGGCTCATTGAGAATGTGTGTGTAAAGACGTAAGCTTCAGCCTGTAATGCAACCCAGAGTGACTTTCTGCTGCAAACGGACACTATAAATACTGTCATTTTTTTATTTCACATTTTTGGAACATCACTTGATTCATGTATCATGGTTTTAGACACAACATTGGATGTGCTAAGTAATAATGCTTTAATGTAATGTTTCTCAAACTATAGTACATGCAGCATGAGATTAAGGTTAAGAGATCCTTTATATGTCCCACAGTGGGGAAATTTCAGTGTTGCATCACAATTTACAGAACAGTAGGAATGAGGAGCAGACAGCACAAGATACATGAACAATAATTATTTACTAAAATAAAATCTATAACCCCAGCATAAATTGAATCTGTTTACAAACTATTTCTATTTCTTTAGCATAATAAGGTAAGAAGTCTAAAACATAAAATAATGTATATTCTAGTGCTAGTAATGTGTAGTTGTATGTTTATATCTGTACATTAGCAGCATGAGGTTCTGGGAAAGTGACTCAGTAAAGTGACAGTGACACTCTGGCAGTGTTTGTTAATCCTCATTGTTCGTTGTACAGTCTGACAGCAGCAGGAAGGAAAGACCTGAGAGGTATAATGAAAAACATATGTTTATTCAGCGGCAAATGTTACATATAAATTCTAACCTTCTTTGCTCTCCTTTAAGTTCTTAATCGTTAATCTCCTTTAGACTGTGGTTAGTACTAATTTAAGCCTGAATAGATCTGATGAGTACTGCTGTTGTGTTCTACTGTGCGTAATCTTGGGAGCAAGTTTACAATTGAGTCCTGATGTAATCCAGATTTAGAGCACATTTGGATGTGGTAACGCCTCCAGAGCAGAAATTATATCATCATAGTTTAGTTTTGATTTTGGACTATTGGTCATTTAAACTGCTTCCGTCTTAAGTCAGTAGAGAATCTTACATATAAACCGTATAGTTTATTAAGCGCATGTTGTTGTCCTCCAGAGATCAGGAGGAGGACCATCAACCCCCTGGAGGACCCAGACTACACACTGATCGTGCGAGTGCAGGATTTGGGGGGAGAGTCGGAGAATGCGCTCACTGGAAGCGCCTACGTGAATGTTATTGTCAAACAAAACCTCTGGGTGAACCCCGGGCCTGTCACCATCAAGGAGCACCTGAAGAAGTCCTATCCACTCTCCATTGCAAAGGTGACAACTTGTATAATCCCATTTTAACCATTCTGAAACCTCTGACTAAGTGCCGTAATAGTATGGTCTCATTGTGCAACTATGTCATCACATTTTTAAATGACTTTTTTTTTTACAATGGCTGTGTTTGGAAACCAACAAAAATTCTAGAGCAAACCAATAGTTTTGTTTATCCTTCATACTTTGTTTCACCATTTGTTATTTTCTGAAGATATTATTTCACATTCTGAAACACGAATGGAAAAGGTTTCATACATTTTAATGGTCATAAATAATGCATAACATTTCTTCTGTAATCTCAGGAACTGGCACACTTCTGTCTAAATTCAGTTTGTGATACTGCGTCCTCATGTCATACTATGTTTTTAACAGAGCCGTTTACTACATAAAACAAAAGTAGGGCTGTAGTTAATGTTGTTCACTTTATTTGTATAGCATATTCATAACAACACCAGCTGTCCAAGGTGCTCTCCATGTACAAGGGAATAATATGTAAACAGAAAAGTAAAAATAAAACAACAACACACACCTTCCTTCCAAGGATTGATGTGGTTAATCCTTGGAAGGCAAGGATTTCGGTCCTGTGGCCTTCCTCAGTACAATGTCATGATAGAAATGTCTCTTTGCATACATTTTAAGCTGTTTTTGTGCTGACTTTCAGGTAGAATCTAACGATGCAAACGCACTCTACCGACTGGTGCAAAAAGAACGAAGTGCTCTGAATTTCCCCTTCAGCATCTCTGTGGACGGAGACATCCAGCTGACACAGGAACTGGACCGAGAGGACAAAGATGGGGTAAAATATACCACTTCAAACATGTATGAATGAAAGCGGTGTTTGACGAGGCTGATTGTCTGTCCCAGTACATCCTGGTGGTTTTTGCTGAGGACCAGTACGGGAACCAGCTGGATCCACCCATGGAAATCCCAGGTGATCGTGGAGGACGTGAAGACAACGAGCCTCAGTGTGAACTCGAGGAGAACGTGTTTGAAATACAGGAGGACGAACTCGTCGGTACAAAAACACATAATGATAATAGTTATAAAGCATAAATTATTCCATTATATTTATGAAACCCAAGGAGGCCTTACTATAGAATACAACACCACACAAAATAGAAAAAGTACAGTATAAAATCCCATTTAAAATATTGTTATAGTGTGCTTTGAATGTGAAAAGGAGGATTCTGTGTTTTTATGGGGAGCCGTGTGGAGTTGGATGAGAACGGGAGTGATGTGATCTGTTGATTTAGTATGGGTGATGATTCCAATAACTTTAATAATGTCAGAATGAACAATATAGAAATACGTGTGTCTGTCACTTTGCTTAGC